TTGGATTGGAGCCACCGAATTTTGCGGCTGCGGAATCACCGTTTCCGTAAACGAGCGTGAATATCCTCCGCGATTGTTGCCATAATTTCCGCGGCCTCCCCGGTTCGAATAATAATTTGCTCTCTGAGACGAGCCACCGCGGCCGCCTCGATTTTCATAATTCGAATTATTATTATTATTATTGCCGGCGCTTCTAGGTTCAGCAGGTGCATTTCTCTGAGTTGACTCAGGTGTCTTCTTATCTTTATTCATGCGCTTCCACAGTTTTTCGCATTCCTGTAACTTCTTTTCAAATTCCGCATAATTTTTAGGTGCCGCATTATAAATTTCACGGAACCATGCCGGTCGATGTTCCTGTACGCCATCAAGGAGTGCTTCCACCTGCTCTTCGTCAGATGTTTTTAGTTCCTCAAACCATGGGAGGAAACTATCCCGGTAAGCACGAACTGGTTCATAGAATTCTAATTTGCGATTATTCATTTTCCTACGAATGTCGGCTTTAGAGAGAGAGCCGTTAAAGTGCTCAACAATAGCCGGCTTAAAGAAATCAGGCCACGATTTGCCTTTATTATCTTTCCAGAATTTTTCGAACCATTGAAAAGACGGACCGGTAAATGCGCCGATTACTCTGCGACACGTTGTTTCATCATTCCAATTATTTGTGGCTCTGCATTGTTCAACATTCATGAGCCATCTTTGGATTTTTTCCGGGTGAGCATCATCAAAGGCAAGTAACTTCATGCCTCCTACTGTTTTATCGCTGTCTTTTTCCACAAATTTTGCTAGAAGTTCAACAACGCTTTCTTGTGTCAGCGTCGTTCTATCCGAAATTTGAGTCTGCTTGTTCAGCCATTCCTCCAGCTGACGATTTCTGGACATAGACTCATTGCTGGCCGTGCTACTGGGGCGACGGTGTTCATCCTCCATCAGGGCATCATCCATCAGTTCATTTTCTGTATCGGAACTGTCCCTATTTTCTGTTCCTCGCATCTGGCGACTAGATTCGTCAGCTGTTCTTTTCAGAATTTGCTGGCGTAAATCTGTTGAGCCATTTTTCCTCTGTTTGGCAGGTGCCGTTTCCCTTGGAATTTGACTTTCTGACGATGAACGCAGCATGGTCTGAGCCTCCGAGAATTCGACTCGTGATTCCTGTCTAGGCCTGCGTAAGATGCCAGCGGGATTACTGCCAGTAGCTATAGGCTGATCCACGTATGACGAGAAATTTTGGGGATTATATGGTGTAAAAGCGGAAGGACGTAATACGTCTCCTGTTGCTACCGGCGCTTCCCTTTGAAAGTATCCTTCACCACCGCCAAGAGCAGCATCTGTATTTCGAAGCCGACGAAGTTCGTCATACGCTTGCTTTAGATCCACTTCCATCTTGGTAAGTTGGTCTTGTTTTTCATGCCATTCCTTTCGGCATTGCGCATTTTCTTCATACAGCCGATTACACCTTTCAGACTTTTCATATGCGTCAGCCTGTGCTGTATTCTTCGCTTGAATCGCGTTCTCACAATTATCACATCTTTTGTCCTTTTTCGAATCTTTTAATTCCTTTTGGGCCTTCTGAACATTCTCTCGCTCTGTGGTCAACAGGCCCTGCAACCTCTCAATTTCCTTTTGGGACGAATCATCCTTTTCCTTGGGAATATGCATCGGGCCGACCGAAGACTTGTTATTCAGCTGCACTCTCGCTTGTGTGAGTTCACGCTGTAGAGAGTCTTCCGCATCTTTAGCCCGTTTCTTTTCATCTTCCAAATCTTTGGTGAGTTTTGTGACCAGGTTCTGCGCATCCGTCAAATTTTTATTAGTTAATTTATGCGCATCTTTCTCAGAATTACAATCTTTCTGAGCTTTCGACAGCTTTTGGTTCAAATCAGTTATTTGTTTCGTTAAATCCGGTGCTGGTTGCGCACTGAGGCCATCAATCGTAGCTTTCGCGTTTGAAAGGTCTCTCTGAGCGTCTTCCAACTGTTTTTCAAAATTACGATTCGTGTCTGTTAAAGTATCGCGCTCATCTTTCATTGCATTAAACGCGGTTTCCGCGTTTCTGTTAGCTTGTCTTAAGGTGTGCAAATTATCATTCGCAATGCGTATTTCGTTGGCCAATCTGTCATTTTCTATTTGTTCATTTTCGAATTTAACACGCATTTCATTGAAATCGTTTTGGAATTTCAATTTTTCGTTTCGTTCCGCATCTACACGAGCGTCTAAAGACATTGTATTACCCATTTCATCTACTTTTGTTTTTGTGGATGCAATGAGTGTGCGGAGACTTTGGATCAATACGGGCATAGTTTGCCGGACTATCAGGCCCACGTCCTGGTCAGTTTCTGCCGCAGCTAACTGCTCATCGACTTCCCTAGCTTGAGTAAGGAAGTCCTCATCTGGTTGTTCAAAATCCTTTTCCGACACAAAGCTATGTAATTTTAATTGTGCCGGGTGGAACGTCATTGTTCCACCGCGAATGCTTTTAATTGCTCTTGTTTCAGATCCATCCCTCAGAAATATCCGCTTTATCCGCAGCCGACAATGCTATCAAGTTGTTGTCCGACTGGGACGACTGGGGTTCTGTCTGGCTCTCAGCCACGCTTGGAGTCTCCGATATAGGTTCGTCCAATATCGCAGCAGACGCCTGGGCTGGAATTCTCTCCTTGGCACCGCGCGTGACGCGCTCATTCGCTGCCTGTTTTTTGGGAGTTTTTCCCGTCGCTTTAGACGCTGTAAGTGCAGCTTGGGCCGCCTCTCTTCGTCTATTCAAATCTTCCGTATATTCTGGCAGCCACCTGTTTGCATCCTGCACAGCCGCTTTAAACTGCTCATCAGTGATGTCCAGGTAAGCTTTAGGGATACATCCCTCGTACTCAATCCAAGGTTTAAAATGTGCTGGCAATCTCGTTTTGGAATTTAAGTACCGCCTGATTTCCTGGTAATCAATCCATGACTTTCCACAGAATGCATCTTGTGCTTCTGGTGGTTCAACATTAAGAGCAAAGTACATCAAATTCAACGGAATTTCTTTTGCGTTGAATTTGAACCTTGTCTGAGCTCTCGACCCATCGTACGCCCCAATAATCACTTTGTTGTCTGGGATTTTACGCGGTGGTGGGCGATTTCTAGGAATCGAACCGCCCGACATTTTGCTTTTTATTTTAAATAACCTTTGCGGCTATTTAAAATAATACTTACAGTAGCGATTGTGCTACTGCTTCCGAAATTGCAATTGTGCAATTACTACTACGTCACTTCCCAATCCTCCTTTTAGGTTTGAATTGTTAAGTGAGTTTTAAACACAGTCGACCTTTGCGGTTTCGACTGTAACAGATTCCTAAAATTACACTGCTGCACTTTGCGTGCTGCCGTAATTTTAAGATTCACAGGTCAATCACCGTTTGCCGGTGTTTACCTTTTCACGGTCAACTCTCTCTAGCTGCTGATTTTGGCTACCGCTTGCGGCTTGCCTTTATCAGTCTAGCTGGAGATCGTTATCTCACCTGGCCACTGACAATGGCTCGGTGCTCACTATCTGATTTATCTGCAGGCCAGGTGCACTGACACTGCTGATTACGCTTTATTCCCCGCGGTTACTGCTTTGCGCAGACAACCCGGAAATTACCCACACAGTACTAGTTTTACTTAACACAGCCGACCTTTGAGGTTTCGACTGTTTTTCCTACGGTCCAATTTAAATTAAGCAATTAATTTAATTGGCGAGGAAGCTCACCAGTGAGGAAGCTCACAATTGCGAGGAAGCTCGCTGAAAATAAATTAACTAGGCCAGATCTGGAACGCTGACCTCCTTCGGCGTACCTTTGCGGTTCGACGCCTTTCAAAAACGGACCACTTTTACCAATTAAATTACCATCAAACTTTCCACCAATAATTTTCTGTTACATCGGGAAAATTAAAAGACACCGGTGGGCGCCATGTCGTGTATAAGCGTTCACGCCGTTTAAGGCTCCATGAACAATCTTTACTCTTCCACGCCTGTATATGTCAGTCGGTAGGCACTCGTACTCTCAAACTGTAACAGATAAACTACGGTGGAAATAAGACGAACGATTCAGGAACGCGAGAACTCAGGAATCCCTCAGGAACGAGCTAACCACAACTTCCGGTCGTAAGTCCTGTGAGGATCGGCAAGAGCTAGGACGATTGTGTCACGAGCAAACCTGTATTCTATGCAATAATCCGGGGGCGATCATGTACATCAGAAGGAACAAGTATTGCTGTCTCTTTATCCAATTCACATCACAGTTTACAACGCTAGGAAATCGTAATTAGAAAGCAGTCTCAGAAGTAAATCCCAGACTACTGATTCCGATATTAGGCATCACAAGAACTTATATAGACTTCGCGTTATGACATCATATACATCGCTAGTAAAAGAGAACAACAAATCACAGCATTGATTGACTAGATTATCCGTTGTGTTGCAGGTGGAAGGCGGACAGTCAGCATCCGTACGTACATCCGGCGTATGATCCTACTCCCATACGTCAGATGTACAGCATCTCTTCACTACTCAAATGGGAATCCGACAGAGAATCGGCAACTGAACAGACAGGATTGAGGCTAACCTTTAGTGTCCTTTGCTTTCCATCTTTTCCCCGTTAGAGGATAGACAGACGCAAAAGCTCAGAACAGACAGAATCATTCTGACCTTTCATTTAGAGAGTTCTGACCTTTCAGTTACACGCTGGATCCTATCAAGGTAAAGATCTATATTACAACGGAAAACCCCGTACGATCTGGTCAGAACAAACCAAAAAATTAATCGAAAAACTGCTAACGCCATTCGATTCAGCATGTCTGGAAACTGTGTCACATGCATTTTGCTTTGGTAATATCTGCTCCGGCTCCCGTGCACAGACGCCGGTGCCGGTAGAGAAGAAAGCTCAAGGTGACCTTGAAAAAAATTTCAAAGTCCTGTTGCATGGAGCAAAAAATCAGTAAATTTAAACTGGTACCCTTTTTAGATCAACAAATCAAAAGGTTTGAACTTTTAATCCTACAAAACTAGAAAAGCCAATTAGCAGTAGCACAAACGATACTGCAAGTGGATGGCTTCGTTTACAGTTTAAATCGTATAAATGGATGGCTTCGTTTACATTTGAAGTCAGCTGTAAAAGAAACTGACCATAGTAATCGTTCAAACGGGCAAACCTTTCATTGCAGTCCGAGCAAAACTAAAGACAGTGATTGATAAATGATAATCAGCATCTTCAGTCCGTAAATTATTTGGTATAATACGGAATAATAGTACGGTATCTACTGTACATTCTAGATCTTTATTACCACAAAAAATAAAAAGGGATTCACGAATGACCGAACGACCACTACTATCCAGAGCACGCAGCCCGCTAGGTAAACGAGTGACCGAACTACCACTACTATCCAGAGCACGCAGCCCGCTAGGTAAACGAATGACCGAACGACCACTACTACCCAGAGCACGCAGCCCGCTAGGTAAACGAGTGACCGAACTACCACTACTATTCAGAGCACGCAGCCCGCTAGGTAAACGAATGACCGAACGACCACTACTATCCACGCAGCCCGCTAGGTAAACGAGTGACCGAACTACCACTACTATCCATAGCACACAGACCGCTACTACTATCCATAGCACACAGACCGCTAGGTAAACGAGTGACCGCTACCAGCATCTATTGCAAGCATCCTTTAGTGGAAATTTAGTACCTGGTAGACTCGATCAAATTCGGGAGGGAGAATTTAACAAAAATTCCCTTCTGAGTGAAAGTGAATGCGTCTGCGTGCACAAAAGCCATAAATTCACTTTTTATTCTATCTGCGTTTTAGCGTATTTTCGGATCATTTTGTTTCGTTGAAGGAATACAGTGAAACCTGGTTACTACATACACCTTCGGTTAAAGCAAAACCGTATGTGCTATTCCGGTGTATGTATTACACAGAACTATATTGCAGTCTATGGGACGCGCCGGTTAAAATTTCCGCGTATGTAATTTCCAGGTGTATGTATTTACCGGTGTATGTAAAAGACAGGTTTCACTGTAAGATGTTAACTAAATAGCTGATCGAAATCATTTGAATAAACCGGCCGTAGACTGGAGACCACAAGAAAAGCGGAGGCGAAGCCGAGGCTGTTTCTTGTACTAATATAATATATAGACAGACTACGTCTGCCATATGTTATATTAGCTTGCCCGTTTCAACCGTGCAGCGCCTACGTAAAATTTGCAATTTTTTATACGCAAAGGGCATAAGTGTTGCTGAAAGTAAGATAGAGACGCCAGTAAACAACGAACGTTTCATGCAAAGCTATTAGCTCTTCTTCCATAATTATTTTTGTCTGTGCTTTTACTTTTGTTTTAGCATCCAACGAGCGAGTGGTGAATAAATTCGCCATCAACGTCGAAAATCCAGGCGCGTGGCAATTTTGCGCCAGCAGACCTAAACGCAATTCCGCAATGCAAATAATCACATCACCATTTTTTGTATTCCAGCTGGGAATATTTTGCAGATACGCCTGCAATACACAAAAGTAATATGTCCAAGGACTTCGACTTGATTCAGCAAAGCCGGCATATAAATCACTAAATAAGTAACAATAATCTTTGGTAACTTACTTTATTGTGATAGTGGGCAATTTGAACAATAACTCTAGCGGTTCCTTTAAAGTTTTTTACGGAGACCACCCGCATAATATTGGCAGCATCGTCAGCATCGGCATCCGCTGCAGTCCGATCAGCCAGAATCAAAGTGGCCGCCGCATCCGCTAGGTTAACACGGCGCAGATCTTTCAGTCTCATAATAGATCCGCGCTTATATTCCAGTTTATTAAAATAACGCTCTGCTAGGTTTTCCATAGCTTCGTCTGGTGGGTTGCTGCAAGACAGCAGAATCGTGACCTTTTCTAATCCCACTGCTTTTGCTTTCAATTGTGCTTCCCTTACTCGCTTAAAACGACCACTTTGAAGTGCTCTGCAAAATACCGGTCAATGTGGTAAAATTCCTTGAGGAACGCCTTCATTGTGTTGCTTGTAACATGACCGCAGACAATAATGTGCCTAAGCAGACAAAGCAAAATAGTCGGAGACAAAAACGGAAAATTAAAACCCAGAAACGGCTTACAAGAACATGGAGCAGGGCTCGTATTTTTTATCGTATTCCGCTTTAATTTTGATTTCTTGCAGAATTCGTGGAATGGCTTTTCCAATGATGCCCTGAAATCTGAATTTGCTTAATCGTAGCATTTAGACGAAATTTTCCCCAAGTCTTTTTCCACTATAAACAACTGCTTGCTTATGTCAAAATAGACATACACGCCGGTATTTTAAAAACAAAAGAAGTACGATAGGCACATGAAGCACAATACCATTGCGATAAGCTGGAAAGCATATACGATGATTCGACCGGTATGGGTAAGAACTCGGATGCCGCTAAGGTCCAGCCAGGTAATCCTGCCGTAGATAAACAGAAAACAACGCCAATATACCACATTCTGACCGTTATACAGGGGAGTTCCATCGGGAGCATAAATCCAAGGGTCACCGAGATTTTCCGCCTATCAATATGCAGCTGGTACAGTTGCAATACTTCGCAGTATCATTTTTTGCGCATTATAACTTGCGTACCAAATGCAGAAATCCAGCGGAAACAGTGACAAGCATAACCACCAACACTAACAACTTCAATAAGCGAGTCTTATTAGCCGATCGAACAACGCCGCGGTTAGCGCAAATATCCACGATCCAAATAAGATTATAAATGCGAAAATATGTGAAACCTGAAATGCGGACATGAGGAAAAGATGAAGCAAAATACGACCCAAAACCACGCTGTGTCAGTATACTCGTATACAAGTCGTATTATTCAAACCTGTAAAATATCTGTTCAAGCCAACCCCGATTATTGAAGCCGGTATGCAAAAGTAGTCACCGAATGCATGCAAATCGACGGCCACTTTCTGTTTCTTAGGATTCCCGGCTAGCTACGAAGAACAATGTTTATTCGCTGTGCAAATCGTACTGCATTCATTTGTCCAAAGGGCATACCCGTATAATAAAGTAAACAAGCATGTATAAATTCGCCATCACGTCCAAAATCTGATAAACATTAGGCATGGTTCCGCACAGTTCCAAACTGTCACGATGCCTGTAATTTCAAAAAAGCAGAAAATCATAAATCAGAGATGGATCGAAAGAATAATGAGGTGACATTCCTTCCACTCGATTAATGACTGATAGATTACAATTTCAAATGCTAACACTTTGTTCCTCTTGTTGTACTGTTACTTTCTGCGTCCTTACGTTTACAAATGGTATAATTGTTCTCACCTGTTCACATATTTTAAGTATATGAATAACGAGACGCAACTGAAAAATACTCCGACTCCCATCTGTGGAAAGACAAGAAATGCATTGGTTAATGTTATAACAAGCTACAGTTCGAAAAAGTATTCATAAACTAACAAAATTACGACCAGTGCGCAAGTCAGCTAATTATAATTACCAAGATTTGACCAAAAAGGGTTTGGGATGAAGACATTTGATTTAAATAGCGATGCCACATGGGACGTCTGGCTTTTCTCTCCATGAGCGACCGGACTCGCTTCAGCATGTTGAGCGATGGTACTATTTCCGTTGGTGCCGTTGGCGGCTGTTCCATGTCGGATCCAGCTTCCGACAAGTCATTCAAAGAGGCTCCTATGTCGTCTGCGGCTCTTTCCGGTCGACATTTTTCAACGAAAATTTTTTGGCCCACACGGAGAAAAAACCTGACAATGGCCATCCGCTGTAGAAATAACGTGGCAAGCAGTGGCAGGATGATTCCGATAAGAAAATACACGTATACCAACTCGGGCTCTCCCACCCGGAAACACGGTGCCGGTAACCTGTAAAGCAAGCCATTATCCGATCGCCACAAGTAGTATGCACACAACCGTTTTAGTACCTGCGTTCTTGTTTCACAATTTTAAGTAAAGTACAGTAATTTAGAAATTATACTCCCATCGAGCAATCATACAAACACGACTTACGTAATGTTATCGTTTCCCTCATATTTCACTTTCGGAATTAGCTGCGGTTTAGGAAACATGCAAGCGCCTTGTCCATCCATTGTACTTTAGGTCGAGTGTATGAAAGGCAGTGACGGAATTGGAAAAGACTTTCAATTTTCTTGTATCACCGCTCCTCCACTTTCCGACAACACAAATGATTAAAAATAAAATCCTCTTGGCCAAGTTCCAGCCCGCACACTTCGCTGCAGCTCTTCACAACAGTAAAAAAGGGTACACCACGCCCAGTAGAACATTATGTGACCATCTAACCACTTCAGAACACGGGAGAATCCTGTGCACCTGAGTACTGGTTCTTTTCAGTTTTTGTTTTTTATAATTCTTAAGCACAAAAGTTCCGACTATCTGATATTAGCGTGCTAACAGTGTAATCAGCAACGCAACACCATGGCCTGATAACGAACTTATCAAACGAAAACTTTATCGCCTACACTGTTGAATTATATAGATATTTGTATTATTTGTTGTTTGATTATTTACACAAACCCTTATAGATCCGTAGGTGACTAATGTGCACAGCCATCGTGCGAATTGCATGTGCCTTACGAAACACAACAGGCAGCGAAATGCACCAGAATGATGCAAACGTAAATGACTAATAAGATTCCATAATATGACTTACTATTGCGAATTCCGAACTAATTTAAAATATACATAGCTAAGAAGGCAACAAATCAACAAAGTAGACCGACAGATGTTTTCAGCTGATTTATTTTCTGTCACTAAATAAAACTGAAACAATAAAATGTAACATGAACATTTTAATGTTCTTCCATTAGAAGGTACCAAATATTATTATCTGATCAGATATCAGTATTAACATTTTAGTAATGATACAAAAACCAAACAACTTCTTAGCTAAACTTCCAAGATCATCATATTCGGCACGTTCTTTAACTCTTTAAGTAAGCAATTTTCTATGTGATATTACCACAACGGAGCTGCTGCAGTGCCAGAGATCCAATGCTAACTTTTTCTAGGGGAAAACGCAATTCTTTCCCGGCGCACCTAGAGGCTCTAATCTCATCTTTCGCAGAACTTATGGAATCAACCAAAAATCCGGATTCCTGACGTTCTTTTTCCACAAGCTGCAAGGCCAATCTCCATCGAAATTCGGCGTCGATGACCACTTCATAACAATACAGAAAAATCTGCAAAAGCACACAAGCGTTAAAAATTGTGCTTACGATAAACACTTAAAAAAGGATTTTTGACCCAGATGGCGCTTACTTTGCTTGTGCTACATTCTTCACCGAAGAATTCGGACAGAGAACCAGCCCAGCAGATGAGCCGCAAAACCGTGCAGAAATCCAAATACTCCATGAAGGTTTTGCCCACCATGAATTCCAGGGAGAGCTGACATCCCCTCCTCAGATTAACACTGTCCATCCTTCCAGTTACGGCTTTGGTTGTTAACATTTGCTCGACATATTCCAAAGTAATGCGCCTAGAAGGATGTTCGTTGAAGATGGAATTCATTAGAGCGATTTTGGCAGCACTGTGTTGAGCTTCCGATCGGCTATAACAATTTCCGCGGGAGGCGAAGCAGCTCCCTCCAGGGAGAAAGACATAACATGCCTAAAATTCAGAAAATCGTCGATCTTATTTTATGCAATCTTCATCACATTTTGTTTACACAATCATGGTTCTGCATGACACGAGTCACACAACTGAAACCCAATAGTCTACTGTACTTCTTGCAAATCTAGTATAAAAACGTCAAATGCAGATGAAGTCAATATTAGTCCAAGTTTTGAAAATTTTATTTAAGCTAGTTAAAAACTTTAGTTAAAGTTATACAACCTTAAAAATAATTATAGTGGCATGATCATGTTTCAGAAAAAACAATGAATAAAGCTCTTGCTTTTTACCCATGGTACTTCTCCATGATTTGATTCTTTTTCGTGTAGATCGTCTGTCAATTCCTTTTCGTGCAAAGAATTTCTATCGACATCGGCATCGCACCCGTATTCATACCGAATGAGGCTTTCCGAATCCGGGACTCTGATGTTGTATGTATGCCCATTTTTGTCAGGAACTCCAAGGAAGTAATTGCAGTCAATATCGTTGTCATATACAGGTGGAGCATACTCGTTTTCGGACAAATTGCGGGCATCTGCTTTGAGTCTCCAAAATTCTTCAAGGGCTTCAATGACATCAACCGATCCGAACTTCTCTGCATGACTTCTGAAAGCACTGATTACGTCCTCGATGGCTTTATCCAGGCTGTTCACTGATGAAATACCACAACTAGGCGCGCTACTCGATCTTTCGAAATTCTGGGATGCCTGAGCGTTGTCATATGCATTGCTAGTACTGGTTTGCTGACGACAATATGGATGAGCGCCATTCATCGGATACATGAACGAATCGACATGGGGTCTGGAGTCTCTGGACATTATATTATTCGAGGTTCTTGTTTCAAGGCCTCCACGCAAATGGCTTATAAAACTGCATAGGCGAACTGCTTTAATACTACATAGTGCATACTATTTAAAGTCTGTGCGACGTCTGACCATGATTAAAGATGTGGCAGAAAAATGTAATTTAGTTAAACTTGAAAAAAATGAAAGTAACATCATGGAGAAGTGTAGCAAAAATGTGCTGGTATAATTGTCAAGAGGGCAGAAAAACATCCGAAACACAGTCACTTTTTTGTGGAAAGCACGCAGGAATGCGTTGTTGCAGCGACTGACCAATGGCCGATAACAAAGTCTTCGTAAATGCCTCATGAGGTGGGTGCCCGTGCTATTAATTTTGATCGGGTTCGCCCCCACGAATACATTCGCCTACCTAGTACGGTATTACGTAGCACAGAATAATAACGATAATCTTATATTTTTCTTGCATTTAATCCATCGCTGATTTATTCTGAATCCGGAAGCTGAATAACCAAATCAGTTTGTATGTACTATCACAGAAAGTACAGTTTACCAGAATTCTATGGTACTGTTGTAGAGCTGCAGTAGGTATAGATATGCCTATTATACGGTCGCAGCGGGGCTCATTAAGTAACACAATACATATCACGGGGCTGCCAATTCCGTTGTATATATATAAAATTATAAATGTATATGAATGAGTATCTCACTATCTGTATATATATATATTTGTTTCTTTGATAATGAAAATATAGTACGAGGATGCACGCAGTCAAACCGACAGAAATTTTTTTCAGCGAGACCAACCGACAACCGTGCGTATAGTGCAGGCGACTGCCAACCATCCACGGATGGCTGTCAGCTGTACCACGCATACAGTGCAAACGATACCTCCCTTCCACGGGTGGCTGTTATGTAAACAAATAATCTGCTTGTGTGTGTGGTTGTCGGTTGGTCTCGTTGAAAAAATTTACTGTCGGTTTGACTGCGTGCATCCTCGTATATCACGTCATCTTTGGGAGGTTTTTTCAAAAACATCTACCGACAGCCCAAATTTATTTCCTTAAGTGGCTGATTGTGAAAATCACCCAGTTCTAAACAAGTAATTTGCTGGCGCGATGAGCCGGCAATTTTAGGCTCGCATGGACCCCACAAAAAGGCATCCAATACATCCAGGCCTGGTCGCCGGGTTTTCCGAGGCGACCGGACCCTGGATCATTGGTTGCGCTACTCGGAGGACATTTTTACGCGTTATTTCGGACGCACTTTGAGCCCGCGATGGGCCTAAGTTGGCGCAAAAAACAGCTGTTTTGGGGCAAGAAATAGGTCATTCATAGGTTTTATTAGAACACCAAATTACCGCTCACCGGCCGATATCGACACCGTCCGTACACTCAGCGACCAAAATTTAAATGTAATATGAAATTATATCATGAACACTGAGGATACACAAAGCAGCGACCGATTTCGCCGTCACACAACGACATACCCGCACGAAAAATTCCACAAAATCAAACGAAATTTTATGATCTAAGCAAATGCCTTAACAAAAAAGCTGCGTCTTCGAACATAACTTTGCAACAGTAGAACTCTGAAGATCGCGCTAATTCCAACTCCTCTTCAGTCCTTCTCGATTTCGACTGCTTCGAACATCGCACTAAATCCAACTCTCCTTCTCAATTTCGACTGAAACGCGACGGCTCGTTTCAACAGCTCCTGTCATAAAATAAAACCACTGCCGATTCCAGTAAAGACGGACATTAATTGCACAAATAATGGGCAGAGTAATTAACACAAAGACTGCGCTTACAGTAGCACCAGCCAAGACAGCAATCAGGCGATAACCGAACCACACAGTTTAGATTTTTAATTTACTTTAGTTACAATAGACTTACCTTGGTTAATTTCTTGGTATCGGGGTTTCGAATTCGACGACAAATAATGAAAGTTAGAGGGTCTCCACATCCAAAAGGGATGAAAGGGAGACTGAGAAAGTTTTCAGACGCTCGATCGCAGACCCTTTTTACGTCAGTATGGAACTTTGTCAGTTCTACCTCCTTTTGTACGCTAACAATTAAAATCAAACTAACTGTAAGAACATTTAAACATCCTGCAAAACCAATCTCGAAAATCGCTCGAAAGATTAACTGAACAAAAAAATCAAAACACAATTCATAAACATATACAGGACGAGTTCGCTGCAGCTAAAATTTTAAACTGGTAAGCGAAAACTGAAAAGTTTTAAACTTGCACAAACGTGCAGCAGTCATGTCAATTTTCGAATTCCGAAACTGAATGGGCATTGGCGGAAGTTTAATGCCCGCCCCTTACGCAGCTTATACACTGGAAGCCGTGGCAGCCACCTGTGGGGGTGCAGTTTCAACATGCCGTTTATTTCCGGTGTTTCGCCCGCTCACTGGCGGCTTACAGCTTAAATTGTGTTCAAATGCGGTATTGCGGCCGCACAAACGCCCCAGCAAATTTAGCCATTCCGGCTGGGTCACTCCACACGTACTGTTACTCGGATCAGATCGGTCTTTCAATCCGCGGAAACAACTGCAGCTGGTGATACCAATAAAGAAAAATGTAGGAATTTACAGAAAACCGGAAACGGCACAGTAACTGAAACACGCCAATATACTGGCAATACAAGTAAAGCGAGATAAAATCGTTTTTCGTGGGGTGCGTGTGTTGACGGCTGTAAAAATTGCAATATCAGTTTGTAACGCTAATATTATGACATGCGCCCGGTCCAGCTGACCTTTCACCTCCGCTGTCTTGCTACAAAAACTAAGCTGGAACCATGTGTAGGTTGTGGTGCATGATGTTTCTGCTGCAAGCTAATAACTGGTGTGCAATGGTAACCGAGTTTAATGTAAAATATATCAAATGCATAATTTCAAATCCATTTCGTGCGAATACTACGACTGCGAAAATATATACTAGCGGTTAACCTAAAAATATTTCAGAATGTACCATGTAGTCAAATGTATTGTGCCGCTCTTTGTGGTGCTTTTGATGATTTCTGTAGTAGCAGACGCAAAAGTTTTTGGAGCTTTGGGATGCTGGCGCGATCATCCATCAACCAAAGCAGCGTTCAGAACAGGCGTTGACGTTATCAAAGACTTTTTGGATGCCACCGATGCCAAACAACCAGGAAGTTTACTGCTACTCATAAACGATATAATATGGCCAACTAAAGATGTGCCTGAAGATAATATGTATTGCTTTGACGAGGAATTTCATGGAGCTGTCCAGCTGGAAGACAGGAGAACGTATTCAGTCCAGCTGGAAGAGTACAGAGCAACGATCAAACAAATCCTGAATATCACGTCTCGAAATCCTCGAAATGCAACTCTATTAGGCCGATTCAAAAATTTTCATGTAAAGATTTCTGGCACATCGAGTACGTTTTTCAAGGTCCACGAGATCGAAAAATCATCGCTATACTTTCGAGAATATTCATTACTGCTTTTGGGCAGTCTTGCAGAATACTTGAATTTTTGCCGCTTTGGTAGCTGTTCGCCAGTGGAAATGGATAGATGGAGTAAAACACTGGAAACCACTTGCTACATTCTTGCAAAATTTTCGTATTGGTTTATCAAGTAAGAATCTTTATAGTTCTGCATTTTATATCAAGTAAGAATCTTTATAGTTATGAATACGTACCTGCATTTTTTAGCAAACAGGGGTGAGAATAAGATGTGAAAACTTGCACACCCACGTTAACGGACTTAGCAAATTTAATTAATTTTGCAATTTCCGAACCAGAAACCCAGCAGATACGTATAGAAATATGGTTACATGACTATACCTTATGAAGGTACCTGCCAAAGAAGCTGGCCGATGCTCTGGTGTTCGATTCGCAAAAGCTTGATATGGGACAACTCGGACTCGTTAACCGAATCAACGGTAGAAGGCTCAGCGATTATGACGAAAAGTTGTCAAAATGTGGAGCAAATGATAACAACAACTGTAACGACTATTCTCTGGGAGCCCTGAAAGCAGCTAGAATCACGTTTAGAATAAAAGCGGAAGAGTACTGGAAGGATCTGCTATACGATTTCCGCACGACCTTATTTAAAGGCTACTGCACCGCATCACCGTGCCGCCACGATCGCTATCAAGAGTTTTTCATTAAGGCCGGAGAACTGATTGCACTGCAGTATCAAGCTTCAAACGGAGAAAATAATAAGTTCTGTAGCAATAATTACTGCTCGACTATGTGGATGAGTACAGCTGGATACAAGGATTACGCGTATTACCGGTAAGACGAATGCGGAGCAGATGCCGGTATATTTACTTTTTGAGATAAAAATAAGAAAATTATTTAGGCAGTGCCTCGGCGACAATAATCTTAATCTTGACCAGTCGTTGTGCACCGATGATAATTGGAAAATTTGCAACGCTCAGGGCAGTTGCGATGGGAAATCCATTCTTCGCAACCGCGACTTTCCAGTAGCATTGCAGTCGGCTGCAAACGGGAAATGCCTTGACTGCTCCACACATTCCGCTTGGTGCAAAATGGCATCGTGTCCCGCGTACACTGCCACAACCATCACCGAGCAGCCCTGTCCACAAGCGGAAACTTGTACAGGACCACAGTTCCAGTTACATAATTTTCGAAGTGCAAACGAAGAGCCTTTGGAAGTATTGGACGAAGTGCATTTGGGTTATGGTGCGGTTGATGGTCATGTCCGCTTAGTGTCCGGCGATATCTATTCCGGTGCCTTCCTGCGCACTCAGTATTATATGCGGTTGGAGCATAAGTTTTCCGTCACATCCAGAAAGACCGGTATCACCCATGGTCCCTTTTACTGCCCGACCAAGAACCACTGGAGTATGATGGCGGATGAAGAACACGCAGGTACGTAAAAACATTATCTGATTTGGTTCCCTATAATGTCCATAATGTACGCGCCAATGAGAGTTACTTGTGTAAAGGCTGCAGCAGTATGAATTGCGCTTCCATCTGTGTGTTTACAGTGTGCGCTCAATCCTCTTTCACAATATTTAAAAAAATAAGCGAGGAAGAAGTCTTATCCCCGGATGTTCCAAGTAATCTACTAACATCTCGCCTTGACGCTGATAACAGCATCGACACTCACAACAACCAGGAAATCCAACGCATTGTAGGAACGGCAAGGCAGCTGCTGGAGCACGAAATACCATTTAAATAAGCACTTTTCCCGTATGAATGTGTCTATGCTAAATGGTAATCTAATAATTAACAACAGTCTTCCTGATTGGCAACAATTTACCAGAGTTAAAGGGCTGAACGGATTCGTTGTTGTAAACATGTTTACTTATATAAGCAACTAAAACTTTCCGTAGAGCTCTAGTTGGCTAGGAAAATAATGGTATAAGAAAGATAACGAAAAAAGCATGCGCGCAATTAATGATAGTCACCGTCATTTAAAAGCGGCTTCTTTTGTTAGAATTAGAAAATGATTTATTCTTCTACCGTGTTGCAGCTGTATGTTTCTGATGATATCTGTACAATACATAAGTAGTCACCGTACACCCATACAAACGCGGGAACCACGGGGTGCTTTTAATTATTACAAGCGATTACAATCATTTTAAAAAGATAATATCAAATACCAGCCATCAGTCTGCTGCAATTCACATGATAAAAATGCTGCTGCATTTGTAAAATGGATGTGGGAGTGTGTATAGTAGTAATGTGTTGTGCGTAATGCATGAGTTGGCAAGGAGTGTTGCATCTGTGTATCCTCGTATGAGTATAGTTTGCATCATCTTTAAATTTTTGATTATTATAATTTTCCATTTTCGAATATTTTTGGGAATTTCTTGTCTATATTTCGAGAATTCCGCGATTGTTAGAAGCATTTCATACCATACATACCATAAGAAAACCTTGTTTTGGGAAGTCAGAAGTCCTTGCATAAGATTTTATTAGATATTGGAAGGCGAAAATGACCTCAAGCTTTAGCCAAAATTCTCGTCTAAAGCACTTATGGTATACAATTATCTGCATTGGAAGCCTTTTATACATCTTTTCTTGCTGCGCCGTATCCGGAGAGAATGCTGCACCTTCACAACCGGGGTTAATTTCCACTTGTCGTCGGGATCACGAAAACACAATCGGCATCCACAGAGCAGCTATTGCCAAAATCAATGATTATCTCGAAAAAGACAATCCTGATTCCGATCCGACCATCAAACCAGGAGCTTTATTACGACAAATTTCCGACATTATTTGGCCCGCGGCTAACAAACAGGAATGGTACTGCATAGATAAAAGAATAAATGGTATAGTGGGAGAGGAAGTTCAGCGGAATTGTACGGACATTCTCGAAGGATTCCGTAATCAAATTGGAGTTGTCCTGAGACTAGCGGATCAACCACATCCTTTGCCGACAAGCCTTGGCCGCGCCTTGCAGGAACTGCACGTAAATATTTCTTTTTTCCATCACACCTTTCTAAAGGTATTGGATGTTGAGGCTGGATCATTGTTTCTTCGTGAGTTTTCTCTACTGCTAATGGGATCTTCGGCCGAATATATCCGATACTGCAAAAGTTCGAATCTACAAAACGAATTGGAGCGACATCAACAAAGAAGTCTTCCTCCAACCGCATATATCATGGCTAAATACTCTTACTTCTTTCTGCGGTAAGAACATCTGTTATTTCAGGCATTGCATGTAATACTAAAAATAAGTTTAGTTGGCCAACAAAACGTGTCAATAATAAACCATACACCATGCTTCTAGGTCACATCATTTTTATGGTATTTAGAGTACTAACTAGTTCGCGGCACGATTGCAGAAAGGGCAATGTATTATTACATATAATCACATTAAAATAATGTGATTAAAAGAATGCATAAAATAATTGCCGGTTCATATGAAACGTCGTCCGTATGCATGTCATATTCTGTGAAATGCCTGCGAACAGTTACACTTTTTTGGTTTTAAACGCGCTAATCTATGTTCCGTTCTGTAGGTTTATGCCAAAAAAGATGTCAGATTATTTGTCTTTTTCCATGCAAGCCTCTCGCAATATCAAGCTCAGCATTGTGAACAGATTAGACGATCAAGTTTTAAAGGAATACATTGAGCCTTCTTCTCATTATGATTTGGATACAAATGAAGGAAAAACCTTTGCCTTCGGGCTATTAAAAGTCGCCCGGATAACTATGAAAAAGCGACTAGAAAAATACTGGAATGAGCGCCTGAATGACTATCGTTATTTACTGTTTCGCCGGTACTGCACCGCACCAGCGTGCCACACAGAACGCGAACAATATGATGAGTTTGTCGTGACCTCTGGTCAACCAGTTACCTTGGGTTATTTGAGCGGCACAGCCGAAAACGGGAAGCTTTGCAGTAGTGACCTTTGTTCATCCATGTGGTTAAGCACCGCGGGCTATAAGGATTACGTTTACTACCGCGGCACATGCATGGATGCAGCGCATCCTCTGGAAACCACGGATCCGCAAGCTTGCGACACCGAGTACTGGAAACTCTGCACCGACTTCGGACGCTGCAACAGTGGCCAAAAGCATGTGCTTAAGGATAGCGCTTTTCCTATCGTTATTTTGTCTAACACGTCCGGATTATGTGTTGATTGTACTGACACCGAACAGTGGTGCCGACAGAACCGTTGTCCTTCGTCGGCACTCTTTCCTGGTTATCCCAGTCGGCCGGTGGGGGATATCGACAACTGCCTTAAAGGATCACACCACTGCGAAGGACCTCAGTTTCAACTTCATATACTGGGGAAAAGCAAAGGCAGTGCGTTGGAGATTTTGGACGAAGCGCTGTTCAGCTATGGCGGTCCGGTCGATAAATATTACCGGTTTTTGCGAGCAGAAATCTTTTCTGGCTCAGTCTTTCGTACACAACATTACGCGAAGGTCACCCAAAAGCACCAGTTCATCAATAATACTGTTGGTTTCGAGAAGGTGGTGTGCCCTTTGGATAAAGAGTGGTCAACAATGGAAATCGCAGAGCAGGTGATTTGCGCGCAGTCGTTGTACACTGTCATGCGACCAATTGATGCCGAAAGAATTCTACATGGTGACCCATCTTAATAATATTGGTACTTTTGTCAGAAATTTTATTGTTTTTTATGTAGCATATGGAAGCTGGAAAACAAATCGAACTGATTTAAGAAACCAAGGAGTAATAATTTTAGCGTTTATTGTAATAGATAGATCTAGAAGCACTTAGGTTGAACACTGTGCATTGCGAAACAAACTGTTGGTTATTTTTTAAATTTGTCCTAAATGTTATAATATACGAGTATGTCTTAACCAAATCAAACCGTGCTCATGCGCAGGGCGTCATATTATGCGTCATAAGGTTGGAATTGAATACATGTTTGACATAAATAAACACAAAACATGTTCAGTAAAATTATACCGGCCAACACCACTGCATTTGCACAGTAGAACTGCCAATGTAACGATTCTTTTGTAATTTGTAATGCCGACCTTTTCAATGACATGCAGTTAAGCTGACATGCCACGATCATCAACGATCCCTAATTAAGAAAACTTTTTAAGTAAAATTTGGGGATGATAATGGTGCATCAGTGACGACATGTGCTTTCAGCGGAGAAGTTTGTATGACCTTAAGAGCTCGTGGACAGGAATCATTTTGCATCCAGTTTTACCTTTATAAATGCGTCATTTCTCGAAGGTATCGTATGCGGTATCGCTTTTAGAACTTGTTCCTTGGCGTTTGACACTAAGTGTTCGGACCGAAGAGATGGATTCTGGTGACCTCGTCAGCGTATGGCTAGTGGGCTGAGGAGAAAACGGTCGAAGTGGGTACAAAACAGATTCCGGGTTCTGCACATTGGCCAAAGACGTGGTTGTGAATTCCTTATGATCCCTAAAGCTGGAATTTTGGAATCGACGAGGTGGGATCCAGTAGGAGGACTTCACCGTGGGATCGGCTGAGTTGGACTGATAAGCGCGGCGCTTGACCGTCATCGAGTTATGCTGAGAAAATCCGGACGACTGACGAGATAAGTGATGGTTCAATGTCGAACTGGAATGACTTCCTCCTGGAAGATGAAATCATGCCGTTAGCAGAATATTGTAATGCCCTGCGTACCGGCAATCAAACAGAATTATCACGAATTTGTACACTTTTGTTCGATAGGTATGTATGGCTTACATAATACTATAGTTCTGTGTCCAAACTTTTTTTCATCAATTTTATAATAGTTAATTCAGAAATTAATTACAAATACTTCTGAGAAATTGTTTATTGTGCTAGTATAACAGCGTAGCGTGAGTGATAAAAATGTTAGAAAAATATTGGACTTGTTGAGAGCTTGGTTTCACATGTTTACGTATGTGCGCCATGGTAAGAGCTACGGTACCGGTAGTCTTACGAAGAGTAGTGTTGCGAACGGATGAATTCCGAGAGCCCAAAAAGGAAGTGTTCGATGGAATATACAAAGACGGGCGCGGTTTGTAGCAGATTTTCTTCATCAGGGAGATGCATTCAGGGGTCATGAAAGTATATATTATGGGATTTAAGCAGCAGTTCAACGGTAGCACGAACACTGCAAGCCAGCTGTATATTTCGCCTAAACACAAATGCAGTAACATAACAGGACAAAAGCCCTTCACAGAAGCCTGCATGAACAGTATTTTCAAATAGGTTGATAATACGTACGCTGTCGCCTGATGCACATGTGTTTATTTATTGTATTGGAAATTGTGTTAAAGTTTCTTACCTGGAACAGCAATTTGAGCCATGGCTACAGCCTGAAAAAATAATTTTTAACAGTTTACCACTTGACGTTTTGTAAAGGGGCGATTTGGCGACGAAAAATGCATGTTAAATGAGAGAAATTATATCATTTTATCATTCGGGCGACGGCGATAATGTACAATGTCACCAATTTGTTTACGGTACTTGCTTTGATCACAATTAACGGAACCCAACACAAAAGATTCGAAATGGTAATGCCGATGAGTTTATTAAGGTGTGGCCGATCTCCTCGAATTTGATCGGTTGCTTGCCGAGATTTTTCAACATGACGAAGCACCGACACGTAGCAATACAGCATTATGGAAATCGCCAAAGAAGGGATAACCACAAAAATGGTTAATGACAGCCACCAACCCTTAAAAACAATGTAATTTTCGATCTGGCAAACCAACAGGGATACAATTAACGTTTAAGACTTTAAGCACACCTGCTATACATAGATGGGTATGTAAGCTCCATCTATATGTATCGCTTGAAAGTAATTATGCGTACGCTTTGCACGCAAAAACTTTGTGATTGACAATTGTAAATATTGTACCTTAAAATAGGGTTCATGAATGAACAAGGGAACGCAAACACCGTTCTGACCGTAGAATACTTGCACACCGTCAGCATCCAGCTGCATTATGAGCGGTAAAATTCCCGTGATCAGACCTGTAAGCTCAATAGGTACAAGTACGAATTATGTGCAGAAAATGTGCGTGCCCGAAAAGTTCGAAACTTTCAATATATTTTTGCTCGTATTAGTTACCAACTATCCAACAAAATACGATACATTCCGCTGCCGTCCTTAAACTCATTCCAAACTGGGCAAAAGGTTTATAAACCAGCCGGATATAGCGCTCCAGTGCCATAAAAGCTAATAACAACGCACTTGTATCGAACGAAACCACCGCTACGACAAGCAAGAAAAATAATGCAGTATTATACGAAAGTTTATTTTACGTATACTTGCTAGCTAGAAAGGTAGGTTTTGATTGTCAGTATTCTGAGTATGTTTGCTTAATTCCCTTTTATAAATCAGTGTTTACCACTGACCACTGGCCACTGGGTACTATAGTAGGTTACTACTGACCATGAGTAGATCGACTACCAATAAGAACTGCTTACACATGCTTCCACTAAACTGGCACAAAAACCCGTGGACCCACTGGTGAAAATATTGGTTGTACATTGACTTGTAGGAAGCATCCGCTGCGGAGATAATCAGTACATATATCCCCTACCGAGAAAAACGACGAAAACTACAGAATTAGGTATGTTCACGTTGACAAATATATTTCGTGTAAACTCACCATTATAAGGTCTGCCACTGAAATGCAAACTTATGTCAAATTTTTGTAACTGCATTATCGAATTTTATTATGTAATTCAAAAGGTCAGATCGTTGTTTGAGAGTAACTCCCGCGTTTACATGCCTTATAACATAACGTCTAATGTGATTTGATACACGCATCCATTGCGTAAGTTGATAAAAAATTTGCCATCAGGACTCATGTATTAAGTATTGTTCCTTTCAGGTAAGGGGTGCAATACTTACCGGTTAAGTTAATGATGCTTAATGAGTGCACTCGTGTCATCCCCGTGGTATTCTTCCAACGATAAAATCGGACTCCCAGCACAAACACATTAGCAATCATCGCTACAATGGCGATTGTCCAGCTGAACGAAGTTAAAACGATGCTGTCTAGCAAGTTTTTTGCAGACGAAATTCCATCTGTTTGCGGAGTGCAGATTTTAACGTGTGGTGCATATCCACAATAGTGGAACTTAGCAAAAGCACTGCAATTGTATAAAATAGTAAATGTTTAATTAGTTTTCCCCACTATAAAACGTTACAAAAACTAAAATTATAAGCGCATACATGTGCTCCAGATTGAGATTGGGATGAGTAAACATCCTTTTTGAAACGTTAAAAATTTCCAGTCCTTCCAATGATCTGTGCATGATCGTAATCCACAGGATTAACTGGCCGTGTACAATACATATGTTTATCTGGATCTCAAGTGCACGAAGTAGAACACATTAAACCTTGAACTGATTTACATTACTTACAATTTCCGTAAACTTTTCATGTTGTAAAACAAATCTTCCGGAATGTTTTGCACTGGATTATATGCCAGATTCCTGTAAAATACTCTGTATAGCGTGTTCAAATAGCAGACATACGATTAAAATTAGGAATCACCGAAAAATATCACAGTAACCAAACACTATTGAGTCGCTTAACAGGCGCGACGCTTACAAATCACTAAGGGATGGCTGAATTCCGAACTGATTTGCGTGAAACTCTTTGATTTTATTCCAGGACAAATCTCTGCAAAATCGGGCAGGGTAAAGCTACACGGCTGTTAACTAACCCACAAACGTTTGCCTTCTTTGTAAAAAAAACTGTAGAAAGTGATGCGGCTGCATCGGATCAAGAAAAATAAAAATTCTACTCAAAATAATACATACAAATCATTCAACGACAGCTGGCTGAAGGTACCTTGTCCAATAGTACCGATAAGGTTGTTGCTCAAACTCCTGAAAATTCACCGTAAGTATAATTTAGAAAACGTGGAAGAAACATTAGCTGTTAACTCAATTAATTAGGCATACACAAGCTCCAGTTTTTCGAGACCGGCAAAAGAGTTGTCATCCAGAATAGTTACTAAATTATGATCCAGCTCCCTGCCATACAAATGTTGGTTTTTGTGTCAGAATGCCTGGTAAGGTTGTTTAGGTTATCGTAAATACACGTACTCTTCCCTACATCGACTAAACTCAAAATAAGTCGTTAGAAAATCGTTAAGTACTTCGTATGTCTATTATGCCTAAGCGTAATAATTAAGCGAATAACTCATAATTGTCATTTGTACTCGATTGACTTGGACTTTTCGTTATAACTCTCCGTCCACAAGTGTTTAGAAAAGCCGCTAGCTACAATATAGACGTTACTCGTGACCTTTACACTAATTAAGTCACTTACAGATACTTCAATGCCGACAAATGCTTGAACATTCCCGAAACTTCCAGTCTAATCAAATTGCTCCTTAACGTCCTGTAAATATCAGGAAAAAACCCTGCATTGTCCCGGCTACCCATTGTATGGTATTAAGCAGTCATCGTCGTACAATACTTCCAATAAGTTGTTATTGCAAAACAGCTCCTTGTTCCAGTCTGTCAACTGATTGTAGGATAAATCTCTGCCAAAAACGCAAGTGTTGAACTCTAGATCTGGTTCGCGCACATTTCCTTCAGTTATAAAGTAAATACTGCATTTCAAGGATGTACAGCATATATTATTTGGATCTTTGTGTAAATGAACTTACAATCGCTTCAGCTTATTCAGGTTGCAAAATGTGTGCACTTCCAAGTGTTCTAGTTTATTGTGCTGCAGAAACCTGCAGAGAAAAACCGCAAAACATATTGTAGAACAACAAATTTTTAGTGGTAAAAATATTCCATAAAAAATGGTAAACCAAAATGAGTAAATTAAGAACAAAGCCTTGTTATCCTTTGTACCTATGAACGCAAGTTAATGAATGACGAGGCTTACAGTGCCTTAAGTTTTGGCAAGCCTTCAAAAGCGGCTTTGTCAACTTTTGAAATTTGGTTATCAGCGAGGGTGCTACAAAAAACAAATTCATTTTGAAGACAAATTTCACGTGGTAAAATACGACTGTGCTTTGTAGTAACGAATAAAACTTACATGACCGTCAAATTCGGGTATCGGATGAAAGTTTTAAAGTTTAGGAACGAGATATTGTTGCCTGTGAGATTCCTAGAAAAAGAACGAGGCTTCACATTGTCGCAGAGCTAACAATAAGTAAGATGAATTTTTTAAATTTGCTGCTTGTATTCGCATACTAAGGGATGAACGGTAAAATTCAATGCCAATTGTGTTTGCCGGCATATTAATAAAGACCGTTGCATAAAGACGGTTTGTCTGAATTTTAATAAAGACCTGAATATTATAAATAAAGTTGCACTGCTACTTAGGCAAACCTTTGTTTTAAAGACAGCTCAGTTTTTGAGATAGCACTGTATCTTATACGATTGTAAAATGACTGCTCTTTAATCTACTTTGCATGAATACACGCCTGTAGCCGGCAAAACAGTTAACATGTTAACGGTTAACGCATTAACATGTGAGCCGGGCTAGAATGTTAACGTTAACATTCCCGCCGGGCCCAAATGTTAACGACCAAAATCATGCAAGCTGTTCACTCAGTCTCCGCAGCAAAATAATCGCAGTTCACGAATCATGGACTAAAATCAAGATCAAATCACATTTAGACCCGGTCTGAAGTCCTGTACGAATTGCCTGTTATTAAGCAGTGACAATACTGATCTTGTTCGTGTAAATTAAAGTGGCAAAACTCGGTGCGGCACCGTAATGTACAGTAATACTGTACGCAGTAATAATAGCAATAGCCGTAATAGCAATAGCCGTAATAGCAATAGTTGGAGAAATACGTAAACATTTAACTGCGCCTTAATACACAATTGTTTGGAATCGAAAATTTATGTTATTTTCAAGAGCACGTTATTTTAAATTTTAGACATTTATTTTGCAGCTTTTCATGAAGCGGTCGTGTTATAGTCACATTTAAAACATAGAAGGTTTAAATTTCCAAAAGTGGACTTCTTTTGCGCTTGCTATTTGTTAAACAAGGAAAAGCAATTTTAAAGGAAGTAAAGCTTTTTGTTAACGCCGCTAACAGGCGAGCCAGGCTGGGATGTTCACGCTATAACTGTACGGTAATCGGATTCTGCTAAATTATCAACATAAACCGCTCTCATTAAACGCTTGTACAAACGCTTAATTTCCTGCTAAGGCTAATACTTTCTACGTATAAGGCTACTCGTTCTTTGTATTTTCTTTATTCTGTATATTTAGTCTACGATCTGCCCTGAATTTGAGAACATGAGTGCTCGGCGGGGATGCTCACATTTTTAATAAAATTATGCATGTCGAATATGCATGCCTACGATTATCGCTGTTGGATTAAATCGTAACTTGCTCTTTTATGCGATTAAGCATGCAATCTCAATGGGTGAGCTGCGGCTTATGAATATGTCACGGTCATTTAGATTGGCTGGCCTCCTACAAAAAAAATGTAATGTAAGGCAAAACCGGCACGTTTTTTTAAAGTTTTGTTATGAATTTCGTTAACACCTACGAAAGCACAATTCTTTTTTGTTTATAACCTTTACAATATACGAGCCTTTAGTAATTTACCCATTCGATAGGCTATAGTCAACATTGCGGTAATAAACATTCATAGGTGCCGGGCGATTAAGATGTCAACGTTTTAAAAATATGGATGCCGACTACGAGTACCTGCTTATGTCTGTAGGATGCCGATCACATGTACCGTGAACAGATTTGTGTACAGCAGAAAACAATTGTTTTTTTCGGCACTAAATCAAGTTATCAACAGTGCACAGGGGCTCAAAAGATAACGGCATCATAACATGTGCCGGCTCAAATGTTAACGGCGTTAAAACATGTGCTGGCTCAAATGTTAACGGCGCTATACCATGTGCCGGCTCAAATGTTAACGGCATTATAACATGTGTCGGCTGAAATGTTAACGGCGTTATAACGGCACCATATCATTTCGGAAACCATTCATTTCGGAAAACGTTCATTTCGGAAGCCATTCATTTCGGAAACCTAGCATTTCCGAAGCCGCCAAGAAAACAGAAGAAAACGAGTAATAGCATAAAAAACTAGTAAAAACGTAAGAAAACATACAAATCAAAGGGACCTGAGAAACAAATAACAAAAACAAGAAAGCCTAAAAACATTATTAAAACCTAAGAAACTTAATAAAACCTAAGAATAACATAAGAAAACCTAAGAAACCAAGAAGTTTTAAGAAAACCTTCGAAATCTTTAGAAAACCTAAGAAAACATAGGAACACCTAAGAAGTTTAAAGAAAACCTAAGAATGTCTAAAAACCTAAAAAAAAGACAGGGATAACCCAAGAAAAATAGAAACGGAAGAAAACCTAAGAAACCTAAGAAAAATGTGAATGTTAACTTAAGAAAGCCTAAGGGGTAAGGGAACCGAATCATAAGAAAAGCATTAGCACAGCTTAAAACAACCGAAAGAAATACGTATTTCTGATATATCCGATTTGCAATTATTTCCGAAATGAACAGTTTCCGAAATGAATGGTTTCCGAAATGATTGGACACCATTATAACATGTGCCAACTGATATGTTAACGGTGTTAACAAGCGGTTTAAATTGGATTGCCGGATATTTACCTTGATCGATATTTAATGAAATGGATATTTAATGCGGTGTTGCCTTCATGCAATGTTTCGAAAGATCAACAAAAAACTGGTAAATCAACATATACATATATGTACAACATTAAAAATCGTGGGACAAATGAATCCAAAAATTACTTTTTTTTTCATGCATTTGCCCGAATTTACAGCCCTGCCGGGCCAAGTTGGGACAGCTGCATAAAATAAAATATAAAATATCTGTATTCATGTTTTTACTTTTATCCTTTACCATTTTTGGTGTAACTTTTTATTGCAAATTCAGAACTGTCAAAATCGTTAAGTCCGGGTCTACCAGTAGCGAGCCAAGCGGTGGTTTAGGGGCCGGGGTAATGGTCTGTTTTTGAGTTCTTATTAATGCCACTTTAGGAAATTCACCGATCAATATTCTCTCGTGGACTTTTTTGAAATCTGTTGAGAGACCCAAAAGGTGTCCATCACTAGTTGGCAGAAGAATTGTGCTCAACCAGTTCTCGCGGTCGGTACGAAATTAGGGATCGCTCCCATAGACCACTATGTTATAACGAAACTTCGGGAGAACAGGGTTGCCTAGCACACATAGTGTGGTAACCTCGAACTGATACATATTTTCCATGGATGACACATGGATCAAATCATTTAAATTTTATCTTTTGACTGAAATCTATTACACAGAGTGGTAGATGGTTGTGTCGAATAAGTGGAACAAAAAACTAACAAAGCTACAGATAAAAAATGTTATAGTTGCTATTTGAACTTTCGGGGACGGAATCTTGGTCTTATTGTGAGGATAGCGAGACTTGAATCAACACTATAATCTTCCTGAAAGAGATTTTACCAGAACAATTTACATACGGCTCCCTGCTATGGTACGGCGTGCATGCAGAGGAGGTCATCCTCTTGTTTTCAAATACCAGCAGTCAGGCCGCAAAGGCCACTGACCCCTGGCTGAAATCGACTGGTGTAAGGAATAGTTTGCAAGGGTACTGCATCGCGAACAGCTTAGAGTTACCAATTTAAGACTATAACACCAGATGAATTTTTAAACAAATTCTTACTGGGACAGCACCTAATAAATTCGATGGGTCGAACTACATTTTCTAACTAGTCTGCTCTGGTTTCCATCCTACCATTATTCGAAACAGGTTTCCAGAATAAAAACCTCAAAAGCAAAAGATGTTGGACACACATAGGGATCATGTGAACATTTATTAAGTTTTAATTTGGTGTCGGATGACTCATTAAAATTTTTGAAAAAACTGTCCCAACTTGGCCCGGCAGGGCTGTAGTACCACTTTTGGAGAAAAGAATTTTTGGATTCGACGTGGATAGGGGTGCATTTATGCAGCGAATGTTCCTGTAAAAGGCTTCTGTGCGACAAGTGCCGGACACGAAAAATCATGGCAAACAACTGCTATATGCTATATACAGTCATATATTTACAGCCACCACACGGTGAATTTGCTTACTTATACGTGATTGCGGCTGTTAAGTATCAAGCGTTATCAGATTACCACCGTTAACATTGCTGACGGGCGGGGATGTTAACGCTAATACACATGCCGGCAGGGATGTTAACGTTTATTAGATGCGATATGGTCATTCTCCCAAATTAATTAATAAATTCTCATACTATTAATTGCACAAAAATGGCAATTACACGAATATCCAGATAGCATTTGCAGAAATAGAAAACACATTCCGAAGTAAAGGGCTTCCTTGAACTGGAAAATAAATCCGGCACCCATGTTAACGGCGTTAACATCCTGGCCCGGCTAGAATGTTAACGGTGTAATGTGACACCACTGATGAGCGGTCGAATCGTCGAAAGTATGTTCTGCATGCAGCGCCTCTGCATGTGTGCTGCAGCCTGAGTGCTGGCTGTCAGCCGACCGCAGATAGGCACATTAGTAAGTAATTAATAAGCAGAAAGTAGGCGTAGAAATTTTGAGCCGAAATATACTTCTAGGTTAGATCGTTAATTGTTGATTCAGGAAAACTGCTGATTTCTTTTCGAAAAACGTTAATTGTAACTCGCATATGCTTCAAAGGAAAAATAGTAATAGATGATAAAAAATGGGACCCCTGCCCGGCTGCAATGTTAACGGTGTAATTTTATATCCACGTTAAAAGGCACGTTAACGTATGCCCGACCCGGCAGGAATGTCAGCGCTTAGTAGATGCGATAGTAATTATCACAAATTAATTAATAAACTCTCGCAGCATTAACTGCACAACAATGGCAATTACACAACTTACAGAAAGCGTTTGTAGAAATAAAATGCATATTCCGGAGTAAAAAACTTTTGAACTGAAAAATTAAACTCGGCACCCATGTTAACGGCGTAAAAATTCCTGCCCGGCTTCAGTGCTAACGGTGCGCGTGTAATTTGATACTTTTATGCTGGCTGTCTGTCTACCTAGCAAGTTAAACAGCCGAGCGCAGATATGCGCATTGGCAAGTACAGTAAGTAAGTGTAGAAATTTCATGTCAAAACATACTTTTAGTTCAAGGCGTTAAATACTGATCCACGAACTCCGCTGATTTCTTTTCGAAAAACAATAATTGTAACTGATTGATATTTATGTCATCTTCTTGTTTCCGCAATTGTGCGTTTTATTTCCGTTTTATGCCCCTTTCGCTTGCTATTTTGCGACATTCGGTTTTTAACCCCTTAATAAAAACGTTTCTTGCAATAACGGCAAAATAATTAAACTCGATGTTGGTAAATATTATTAAATACATTACAGGATTTGTTTACCCATATATCCATGTACAGCGTGTACGATTTCGGTCGTTAACATTTGGGCCCGGCGAGAATGTTAACGTTAACATGTTCGCCCGGCTCACATGTTAATGCGTTAACCGTTAACATGTTAACAGTTTTGCCGGCTACACACGCCCAAGGTAATGCATCAAAGACTCGTTTAGCTTACAGCTTTGCCACCAGATTTGGAGGAGAGATATTTTGTGGCACTACTGCCAGATCCAAATTCGTGCAAGTTAGCGACGTTCCGTAATAGCATTCACATCCGATGGGAAAATCCGTAAGCACTGAGAAAGTATCACAAAGTTAGTAATTTCACTAGAAAATTACTTAATTATGTGTCAACAAAACTTACAAAATTTAAATTTGACGGTGATTTTAAAACACAAACGCGACAATATTGAGGTAAAACTATTGCTGTTAATAGGAAGTGTCAACATTATACGTGCAATTGTAATAACAAATTCACCTTGACGCCATTAACACGTACAGAATTAAACACAATTATGATATTTCAGATGTTTTGCGGATACAGAGTACAGAACAAAAACCGCTACGACTTCAGTTACGACGTGCTGATGTTTTTACTGCTATCCAGAAAACCCTATTGTGCGAGTAAGATTATACGAACCACATGCCGCTTCTTCGTTATGGTAGCCATCGTTGTATCGGTCCATTTCAATGGAGTGTTGCAGTTCTGCACTTGTCAAATTGCCTTGATCGTTGCCTTGCTTCAGGAAGTCAATGAAGACGTTGCTGATATGACCTTATAAATACCATCGCACCAATCAAAAAAGCTGTATGATAAACCTAAATTGCCGCGTGACATTCCTGCAAAAACATACTGCATGATAAAATGCTTTCGTCATGTCCGTTTGCGCAGTGCGCAATTCCGTCGCAAAACAACCGCTGATGCACGCATGTCCCGGAATCCAATTCGGAATCCTCACATGACCTTTCTTGGGGGTGGCCGGTACACGGAACGGCTGTTGATACAAATACTGAAAAATCGAAATGTTAAATTATGTATGCTATAGCACGTTGCTTTATTTTTTTTCTCGTATGCGAAACAGAACTAAGGCAGGAAAGTTGAAAGGGGAGTTTTACGACGTTCGTTACGTAATATATAATTACCGCTAACATGGGCCTTTAGTTTAGCCTGTACATGTCAAAAATGGCTGTGGTGCAAAATACTAGTATACGAAGATTTCTGCGGATTTAAAAAAATATTGTGGTGGACAAATCCAGATAATACATATTCCAGTGCCGTCACGTTCTAATCTCCGATTAAAAATTTTTAAAAAAAAATATTTTAAAAATTAATATTTTTAAATTTTGAGCAGTTTATGGAACAAAATAACTTATTATTAAAATAAAATTCATAATAATATTGTAAAAACAACTTTGCGAATCACGAATATAGCATTCGATAGCTCACAATTGTCCCTTGTTGGTAGAAAAAGGTATCCACACGTTTTTTAGCATCAAAATATTGACATGGACTTACCTGTGTGCGCAATCAACATGAGAAATGTATACGCGCAAATAGCCGGTGACAGTTCCATAACGTTGTGCAAAATGTATGGTTTGCCTTCCTTTAACAAATTAGTGCGAATAACACACCACAACGGTGATTCAGAATAAATCTGCGAAAAGGTACACCAGGCTGCTAAAGCGTTGCTCAACTGTTGCCCAAAATGTGGTCGTAGTACTGAAATGCATGAGGAGTGATGAAAAATTCACATTTTAAATATGAAAATCAACCAGCTCCCTCGTTTATACGGCGACGCATGGATACAGATCCAGAAAAATGCGCGCCAACCTATCGTATCCGTAAAAGTCACGAATGCAACTTGGTAAACGATAAATTTCAAATCCGGAAGAGTCAGGTTTGTAATTGTACTATATGACGTTAAGTGTCCACCTGCAGTGAAATTCCCAAAATTAATGATGTAGTGGTTAGCGTAACGTACAGAAAAAGGTTGCTTGCCTATCAAGTTACTTACACATCGGTCATACAATCACATGCTCCATATCCTGATCACCTGCAATGCTGGCTAATTACGGGAGCTTAATGATGCAATTGTTTGTAGTAACAAACAAACATCCATCGTAAAATGTGATAAATCGGTATTAAAAATTTATGTGAGCGCTGATGGGTTTTGAATACGACTGGCGTGCAATTGCAGTACTCATTTGGCAACATCCTTCCTTATACCTATGCAATTTACGTCGAAAGCAATAACTCCAAATGATTAACAAAAACAAAGTTCCTCTTTTTTCTGTCACCGTACATTAGGATGTATATCACTTATAATCCCCCTTGCTCTCTGCTTCCTAAGTGCTGCTCCGGTTTGTGGAGACATGAAATCAATTTGTTCAAACAAACATCCCGTCAGTTTCCATAAACGGGACATACTGGCATGTATTGTGTATCTGAAATTTGTATAATTATATTGTTATGTAGACGCGGGGGTAAGATTGTCTTATAAGTTATGTTTTCACCAGCAAAGTATCATACAGAACTTTGACAAAAGCAACCAATCCTGAATGAGATCATGAGGACACATAGCTAGATAGCTAGCTCCGAAGTTTACGCTACAATTCGCCGTGATCACCAAATTTAAATAACAGTGTTGCATACTGGGCTGTGAGATGTGGAAATAAACCTTAGCGGTAACTATAAGAGTAGTGTATTGAAAGTTTGTTTTTTAATCTAAGCCCAAGAAAGCGTAGTAAATCATAAACAGGAGTCGCAATCATGATACTTTTATTGGTTTCACTTGTTTCGCTCGTTTAAGTCGTTCAATAGCGGTTAGCAAACATTCACATCTCAAAATGTCTCAAAATCACTCAAATTCACATCTCAAAATAAGTACTTAGATTGGTGCATACAAATACAATAAAATTATCCATTTGTACGAGAAAGATAATTTTGTATAGTGATCACCATAATCAATTATAAACGATTAGACCACTCCAAGCCACAAACACTACTACGAACAAGTATGCATACTCTTAATGTACAAAGCAATTTACAGATTATAATTTTACATTTCCCATGCATAGATCAAAGGAGAGTGCAACAGATTGATGAACTACTATTCTCTATTACTCGTATTACGTTTTCTTCAGAATTGCGAATCCCACTCCATTGGTGTACCGGTTGCAACATCTTTTTTTAAAGAGCACATAACGATTCCTTCGTCTTCGTTTTCACCTTCTACTTCATGTGACAGGTACTGTCCGTTATTATTAACGTTGTTGACACATTTCGTAATACGAGCATTATCCCTTTGGTGTAATAAACTCTGGCGGATAGGCGTCTCCGACTTGACCTTTCGAAGTCGCTGAGAGACTCTTGGTGTGAACTTGCTGTCAGTGCGGGATAAGCCGATAAAAGAATTCTGCTGCGAAAGAGGGACTCTGGTTGACAGCGTTGTTGTCGAAGACTGACCTATAATTTACATAGACCATGAGACCTTTTAATCATTGCAAAAAATAAACTAGTGAAAGAAATTCGTAAAAAAAAGTAATTGGTGCATTTACCAAAAGATCTTCTTAATGCATTGTGCCTGGAAAATGTGTTGAATCCCGAAGTGCAATAGACGATTTGTTGTATGGCCTTGGCTTCTGCACGTGTGCGAGACCGCGTAGTCGAAAGCACTGGCAACAAGCCTTTGAAATGCGGGGTCATTGCTGTATATATAATAGGATTTAAGCAACAGTTGACCGGAAGTACAAATACGGCCACCCATCCGTATATCTGAGCTAAAAATAAAAAAGATTTTTTTATGAAGTGGAAATGAACAAGTATTGCTTACCGGGCAGGTGTGTTCCAAGAAGCGCCAGAATTTTAATAGCTATTACGACTGCCCACGAGATATTATTGGAAATCGTAATGGCTAGCACCTTCCGCAGATGCGTTTTATCCGCGCGTGACCTTTCTGAGTCCTGGCGAGACTGTTCCACATGATCAAAAATAGCGTAATAACAAAGGCAGATTACAATTACGGACAGCAAGGGAGTAATCACAAACATGAAGAAAGACATCCACCACCACTTCTGATAAGGCTCATGTATGAACAAAGGCAAACACACTCCATTCTGACTGTAGAACAAATCCACTTCCCCAATGTTAAGATCCAGTGACAGAGGGATTATACCGATTGCAGTACCTAAATTTGGAAAATCGCGTTAAACAACGATCCAAAAACTGCGTTATAATTAATTTTAGTGAGCTTGCTTCGATTCGCACTGGATTTGCTGGCTGGCGTAGAATGTATTCCGTAATATTAATGGTAACTTATGGCTTTCTTAATTCGTACCCACAATCCAACACAAAATTATCCAGATCACAATTCTACGAAGAGGAATGCCAGAGCGTCCAATGGGTTTCCTTACAAGTCTGGCATATCTTTCCACTGCCATAAATACCAGCAGTAAGGTGGACACTTCGGATGATATCACCGCTGATAAAATATTCACATTTATGCTTTTCAAGAGAGAGTCAGATTAAAATTTATAGCACTACGCTACCTAAACTTCCAGAGAAACGGCAAAGATGACTGCGGACCCAACGATGGGAATATTTGTAATAGACATTCTCGTAATTCGCGTCAGCACCGGCAATGATTAACGTGTAGAATCCCATCATGCTATCAGACACTGCGCAAAATAAATACTTATAGTAATAATTATTTGCATGTAATGCACATTGAGCACAACATTAATATTTAGAGTATGATTGTAGTTTGTAGTAGAGTAGTGGGGTACACAACGGACTGTAGTTTGGAGCGGACATCCAGAGCTGCCGGGGTACTGCCGTACACGCGGGTGGGTGAGTACCCGCCAGTGCTCCGCTCCAAGTTGCAGTCCACTCTTAATTGTTGTTTCTTGTTGTTTGTATATCGCAAAAGCGAATATCATACTGTATTTTACTGTTTCGTTTATAGTACTGTATGTAGTAACATACGCTTATACAGTGCAAAGCCTTTTGCGTGCTGCTGCATATTGCAGAAATATGTTGGTAGCACACATTTGCATGTATTACAGACAGCTTTAATATAGATACAGTAATTAAAAGGCGATTTGGCGATCTTTTGGCAGAAGCGAGAAAACTTACGAGCCAGACTAAGAATGGATAATGAGTGGATTTTGCTAAGTTGGGAGCTTCCTCTCCATAAATATACTCGTATTCCGAAAACAAATCCATTCGCAAATAATGCCACAACTCCAATTAACCACGAGAATGATTGCAAAACTGGACTGTCCAATAAGTGCTCCGCAGATGAGATCCCATCGGTTTTTGGCCGGCAATCCTTCACTCGGGGTGCATAACCACAGTAACGAAATTTGTCGAATGTTCTGAAATTAAAAAGCATTTATGCTGTTGTGTAGTACATTCAGATTGTCAGGTTTATGCTTTGCGGCAAATTTTTCATTGTACCTAAAAGTAAATAACCAGTAAAATATAACCAAAACTTCTCACAAGAGAATATTTATAATTTGTCATTTAAGCTGACCGATATGGGAAATTAGTACTGTTCCAGTTATCCTAAACGATTATACAGGACTGATAAGGTCACCTTACATGTGCTCAATCTTCAGTTTGGGATTCGCAAACATTCTCTTGCTTATATTTCGAATTTCCACACGTCCCAGCTTTCTTTGGTAATACGGATTTGGTTATTATCAGTCTGACAAACCGATTCAAGGAAAGCTTACAAATATGCCAGATCCAAGCCATCAAAAAGTGTTTCCGGCAAATAGTGAATAGGATTTCCTGACAGATCTCTGTTATTAATAAATTTGCTGCATTCACTGTACGAATGCTTACAATTATGTATGCCGGATAACCCAGTTGTTAATTTGAAGCTACAATCGTTGTTACTTTATTTTTGATTTGACGACTAATACTGGCAATAATAAAATTATCACCATAATTCCGTGGATTTAAAGCAAGTACTTATTTGGACAAATGCACTCAGTTACAGTGTCTAAACAGAATAAAACCACTGTATTGTAAGACGCATAGAGTAAGTACTGTAATTTTTATGCATGAGAAATATTACTCGTAGTAAAGATAATATGTATACTTCTATCGTTAATTAAAGTAAATTTGTGGGCTTACATGTCTCGTAACAGGGTTTGGTTGGCAAAAATATTTGCCGGTACAACTTGTATGGAATTATTGCTGAGAATGCTAAAGTACACAAACTGTTAAACAAAATATTTAAATATATCCCTATGTATTTCAAAATTATACATATTACAGGAGTTTTGACAGCTTACAGTTCGGAAAGATTCAGCTCAGCAAACGTATCCTCAGCCAGCGTCTGTATATTGTTGTTAGCAAAAGATCTGCGAAAAGCGCAAAAACAAAAGTAATATCAGAAGCCAGGAAACTGCATGGGAATGCCGCCCGTCTATAAATTTTTGGCATTAACACCTATACATGGCTGCGAGCATATGCACAACTGCAGTAATTAAAACTGTGTTCTATTTTATTATCTGTTACTAATTTCGATATTAAAATGTACATATTTTGCTATAATTCTCAGTTTTTAACCATGTTCTGTCACATATGTATGTGCAGTGTAATTGTGAATGCCATGAAAACGATTACGGGCAATATATCCCGAAGTATTTTTCCCTGCTTTTAAAACTTCTTGTATGAATAACTTACATGACCTGAAAACTTCTTATATGTTGAAACACACGCTGATCCAGATATTCCACAAGATTGTCGTCAAACTCCCTATAACAACATAACGTTTCCTGTACATTAAACTCTCTATGAATGTATATTATATCTATATTATGCGTTACTATACATTATGCCTTACAGCCATTGACAATAAGGATGCAAATATCGAAGCATGTCCTTTTTCTGCAAGCGAAGTCGATTGTTCCGGACATCCCTGTAGAGATCAGAACTTAAATCTTTTAATAAACCGGAAAATCAATAAGTAAAATGTCAAAGCTCTCGAAAAGATATTCTCTCTAGATAGGCTCAAAACATGTCGAAGATTTTTTGAAGAAAGAAACAATTTAAAATACGCGGAACGTAACGTCTTTTGGAAATGTCCAGACGGGGAGGCTACAATTATCCTAGTGCTGACTCGTGCTGGTCTAATTTAATGATTGCATTGGTCTGCACTTACATCCACTTAATAGCGTGTTTTCCAGAAAACACTTGCGGATCCCAATCAGTTAATCCATTTCCGGCTAGAAATCTAGAGCGATTAATCAAGGTAATCGTAAGACCTTGTCGTGCTCAAGGATGGCTGCTACAAATCCATTGAAAAAATTACGGCGAGGTGTGTCATATATTTTGCCTGCTTGATGCACGTATAGCATCAACCTTTAATTTTTTAAAAGTTTTTTTTAACTTTAATGTCAAGAGTAAATACAAAGCGAACAGATTGTGGCCGCTTTCGGCGACGGACCAATTACTGGTAGGTTTTTTGGGCAACAAGGCACTAAAAGCCTAGAGGATAGTATATCGACGTCAAAAACCGTTATGTTGGCTAAGCTTTCGAAAATCAACGATCATAGAATTACAAACATTATATCAAAAATTCACATTCAGCTATTATTTTCTTACTTCTCGAGAACAAAAATTGTGGAGCAAAACTCATTTTTAATGCGGCTTTAAATAAATTTTAGAAGTAAAGTCAAAATGTCGAAACCGGTATAGCGAGATCGTACGCCTAGAACACTTAACAGCTGTAAAGATTGCAAAATACTTCGTCGTTTTCATAACAATTTTTGCTAGGTACTAGTACGAGGACGCTCACAGAAGCTGGAGATTGGGAACGTTCTGGAACAGCCCAGGCTCCAGGGCAGAAATGTGATTATTGCTTAGCCACCTAGCAAAATATGCCCATATTCGTTATTATTAAACGTCGCAGCATAATCAGGAAAACTTGATAAATAATGTATTCTCGAGAATGCTTGAAAATGCAGTCAACTTTAAAAGATTATTCGTGTTTGGAACTAAATTTCTTTTTAATTTACAGCTGATTTAGCTTTTCCAGTCCGTTGAATGCGTTTTTTCCTATACATTGGATCAGGTTATTCGTAAGCTCCCTGCAAGTCAATGATAATACATTATCATACATTCATTATTGTTATTGTTAATACATTCATTATTGTTATTATTTTAGCAGCAATAGCGTATTTCGATTGGTTCTAAAACTGTATACGTACAAAATGACAACACTGGTGTAATGACGAAATCCATCGTCCGGTAACGACGTAATCTGATTGCGCGCAAGATTGCTGAAAAAGTCGAAGTATAATATTAGCCTCTAATTAGTTTACATGCGTTGAAAAATACTAACAATAAGAACATGACTGTCTAAGCTTACAATTTTGTAAGCAAATGACCTGGTCGAATATTTTGTGGGATATCCGTAATATTTTGATCCGCACAAGAAATGTTAGAGCTGTACGAGCAATTACAGCCTTCCGGAAATTCGTCCATATCTGAGAGAGAACAAAAATCGTTACAAAAACCGAAGCACGAAACGTATGGGCAGCCAGATTAAACTAGGCAGGAAAGCGTAGAACTGGGAAGTATTAATTTTGTTTTAAAAAACACTTTAAGTACTTTTATACGACAATAGCACTGCCACATCACAATTAAAGCCAGCTATACCACAACTAAGCGGATGGATCATCGTCTGCGAGTCGTTGTTCCTTGTGTCCCACCAGTCAGCCCAAGCATTCCACATTCCAGTAGAATGACCTTTACAGACAAAACGTTTGTGCGGTTACGGTCATCATTACAGAACTGCAGAAATCTATGGAATAATATACAAGTGCACAATAATAAAAGGGCACGTAATTGCAAAAACAGCGAAAGGTTACTTCATTGATTAACGGCAAAGCGCACTTACTGCAGTTTTGTTCGTCTCTTCCATTAGGACAATCTGGCCAATCATCACACCTGAAATCCGTGCAAGTGTTAGGTGTCGGATTGTAGCTCTTGAATTACCAATAAGGTGAGATTATATTGAGTATTGTGCTAAGCACTTATAACGTTTCAAAATAACTGCGATGTCTGATTAATAGAAAAATTATGTGGCAGCGGTGTCCGGACCGTGACCTATCCTCGCGACTTTGCAGCCCACAATCCAAAGAATACCATTTTATTAGTTTTAATTCCGTTTGCGTTCGAAAATTTTCATTTTATCCCTTTTTAATTTTCGTCACTCAGTCTCACTTTTAAAACTTTCTTCAAGTTTCTCGTATTCAGTTCTTATTTTGAAATGTGAACAAATGTCTAAGTTTTATTATATTTCTTTACATTTTCTCTTTTGTATGATACGCCAAGTACCCATGTCGTTAACCACCTTGCGAGATAATTAGGCTTACTTTTAAGCGATTGGAAAATACCATATTATGCCCCTACTGGTCCTTCATGGCCACCTACCATAAACGCTGGTGGACACAAGTATTTCCCGTGTCCCCGCAGGGATGCTCTTGCGGTGGACAAACATATCCCGATGAAACGCCCAACAGCACAACTAAAAAATCCCCACTGTCAATGTTAAATATTCCAGGCATATAAGGTATATCGGTTAAGCTGGCTAGTCCCTATCATGCTCCGAGATGTTATTTTGTTATTTGTTAGTTGCCGCAGGACGGTATCGATGTCAGAAAGCATAATTTTTATCAGCCATTACTTGCTGTGCCAATCAATTGTCTGGATGACCAAAGTTGTATAAGATATTTGCATACAGATACAACCAAGTTTTTTATAATTAAGCGGATATTAATTTAATCATATCAGGAGGTCAGATAAGAAACTGGATACAAAGATAAATACACACGAGGTGCCATTTATATTCACACTAAGAATATCTCAGCTGTTTACTAAACAAAAATGTGTAAGTTTGGAAATATCCAAACAACAGATGCCGGTTTGGCGGCTTTGAAAAAGTTCTTGATGGATACTGCTCTCCCAGTTTTTCAGTTAATCGGGCAATCCTCAATTCGTATTATCCTTGACAAATTACCTTACCGGTTGCGTAGGTTGTGATAATGAGGATCCATTCCATCTTCAAGAGACAGCAACGCGCTTGTTCAGAACACATTGATTGCGTTTTGTTCGACAATATGGATGTTATTATTAGCAGGCTTCACCCAGTGTCTGATTACTTCATTTCACATTGACAGGGTCTCGTAATTTGCCACTGTCATATGAATTCAGGAAAAAAGTTACACGCTGGTTACGTATTATTACATTTTCGCTCAGTAAATTTCCAATCCATACACAAATAATGGCAGATCGTTTCGCGGCCGGCGGTATGTAATCGTATTTAATTCGTGTTTTTCCAGTTAAACTTCCTCAGGTAACCGGAAATGAATTAATCCTGCTCCTTCTCGGTCAAACTGCACGCATGACCGATTAATAAGTTATTAGAATTGTTAGCCGCATGAACTGACTAAAGATTTTTGAAGTCATTTAAATCAAACAACACCTAATTATTAATTACACTAATATAATGAGAAAAATCTCGCATATGTCCATAACACATACGGCGCACAAAGATGCACGCGCAACGCGGAACCCATAGAAAACAACAGCCCGGAGAATATTCCCCAATTATGCGCAGACGACCGGGCCCAATCGACGTCACTGATTGAAGTCGTGATATGCCGGGCGACGACTACATGCCCACACTTTTTTATATTATCCCAGCGGCGACGCGGCAAGCGATGATGAATTAGATTTGTGTCTGCTCCGGGAGGACAAGAAAATTCGTGCTGCTCACCGTATCGGCCATCCAGGATCTCTGCAGTATGCATGATTATTTGCATGGACTATTGCACCGGTAACGCCCAGTTCGGCGTGTACAGGATTGTACTAGATATTCCTGGCCTAATAAGCAGCTCTCTTCCTGGGACAATCAGGTGATTTGTGAAAGAAGTGTTCGTGCCATCGGTGAGCAAGTCTTTCTGATTAAAATAATATTCTCCTCAAAATATTTGGCTCGGTTAGCTAATGAGAAAAAAAATTCAAAGCAATTTTTTTGTCTCAGGAAATATTTTTGAGCAGCCAATTAGTATTCCCGATAAAGTATTCTTAACTTCGCTGTTAGTCACTTTACGTGCCGCATAGTAAGCCGTCCCGATCATAAAATATTGATTTTTTTACGTGTTTTTGGATATAAACTGTTAGACAGTTTATTACATAATTTTGATAATAGTTTCATACGGGGAATATCGATATCAAATAGTTTTTACCTTGAAATTGCCATACAAAATTCGGCGAAATAATGTAGATGGTTGCTGCAACCACGGTGTGGTGTTATAATGAAAAGCAAAAACTAACAAGCACTTCTAAGACAAACTAAGTAAGCTCAAACATAAGAATAGCGCGCTGCTTAACAGTGTCCATGCAATACAAAGTGAATCATCAAAATTCACAGACAACAGTCACAAATACAAATCTGTTTGTGTGATTCCTTAGTTAACTGACCGGCTGCCCCAACAATGTACAGATAATTAGGCGAAAAATTTTATCATTGAAATTCCTTGTTTCATGTGTTTTCTCCGGTGTTTATGCCTTGACATGGAGCGTAAATACGCATGATGATTCGCCATTCTCGTTGGTGGCTTTGACCATGTATAGTCCAACGTCGGTCAAGAGAACGGTGGGCATCTCCAGCCGGAAGACGTTGCTGGCATCCTCTTGGAATCGGAAACGATCGCTTTCCTCCAGTAGATGATTGACTTTGCACCATTCCACTGTAAGATAAAATTACATGTACCAGATATCGATAAGTACGGGACTATCTCGATCAAGCGATACTATGAATCACTGCATGATATACATATATTGTACATGTACGTACTGTATACTTATCGTTATAGAACTATGTAAAGTTATACAGTATTATCATACTCCATATGTTGTATACTCACACTATACAGAGCATTATTGTAAATTGCTAACCTCGGACAGGAGTTTCACTGTTGATTTTCACTTCGAATTTCGCTGGTGAGCCCTCTTCCACGGTTATTGACTGAGGGAATGTCAGAAAGCGGGGACCCAAAAATTCTTCACCGGGCACTAAACACAGCCACAAGGATATTAGCGTGAGCTTATCATATTAAATTTACACGCTATTTCATTGCAGTACTTTATGAGTAGTCATTAAAAATTCAGTCAGATCGCAATAATGCTAACAAATAGTGTCGAATACGAACAGTAATGCGATTAATTATCCCCAGGAAATTGTATGTGCACGATGTGCATGCAAACGAATACGATCAATCACAATTCACAATAAATAAAATACGTAATCATAACTTGTGATTGCGCGCCATAATCAATTTTAGTTAATCGAGAGATATTACTTCATGGTAGACTTTTGCTGCTTTTACGTATACCAGTTTAAAGCCTTTTGAATGACCGCATCGTAAAAATTTCCAACATAAATTTCTTCAACTTTTAACAGTATCCATTCTTTGTAATAGAATTATAGAATTGTAAAAGTAAAAGTAATTAAAAGCAAGTATTATTAAAGCATCAATTCTTTCTTTATAAAAGAATTGATGATATAACGAGTTCCGGCGTTCGTTTTGCACAGCCCAAAGCTTTCCATGAATTTAAACATAAAACAGTTACAAATAAAACGCCTGTGATTAAATGCCAAAACGTGCCCCGTTTACATAGAGCGGTATTAAACCTGCATTCTATTACAGCAGCTAAACCCGTGATTCTATTGCGCGCAATTATAATTCTACACCGGGACGCCGATAATTTCCTCCGCATTACTCCCATGGGAGTTCCATTGCACTTTCCATGGCACAATAACACAATGTCACAGGTAATAACACCCCGCATTTGCATATTCAAATGATACGGAACACAACTAGCCGGTGACGTGACATTTACCTTCGACAATGACGGAGCAGCTGCTGGACGCCTCGCCCACGGCGTTGAATGCTTCGCAGGTGTAGGTGCCGAAGTCTTCAGGGAAGATCTCGGCAATTTGCAGCTTGAAAACGTCACCCTCATGGACATACTTGAAGTCGTCGCTGGGTTTAATTTCCCGGTCGTTATGCAGCCAGACGGCATCCACAGCCGGCTGACCGGTGATCTGACACTCCAGAGTCAGCGCGTCACCATCGTTGCAGTTGGCGGACTGCAGATGGCGCGTGAAGACCGGAGCACATTCACCTTCAGCCGGCTCTTTCAAGGCCGCGGCGGGTGGCCGCAATTCGGATTCCTGGCGTTCGACTGGGGCGGGTTTGGCGCGGGCAGCGTCCACGGTAATTATGCAGGAGGTCTCGTCGGAGCCTTCGCTATTCGAGGCGCGACACACGTATTCGCCGGCATCTTCAGGCAGGGTTTCGGCGATCGCCAGACTGGCGACACCGCTCTTGTAGCTTACTTGGATGACGTCAAGCTTCGATATGGCCTACATAAAAATGAATATTTGTTTAAAAACACTAATTATTTTAACTACAAAAGAACGTTTTATAAAACTGTGCTAAAAGTTTAATGTAACGTGAAATTTTACGAAAAAGCTATAATAAATGCTAATTACCTGGCCATCCTTAGTCCAAACGACCTTTGGTTCGGGAGTGGCTGTGACTTTAACTTCCAAGAGAAGAGAGGCGCCCTCGGTGACCTTTTGAGCGCGCAGCTTCTGAGTGAACTTCGGTGCGGTGTTATCCGGTTCGGTCTTGGCTGCCGCAACTGGTTTCGCGGTTTCCCGTGCCGCTGGTGCGGATGCCTTAGCTGTATCGCGAGCGGATCCGACCGATGAAAAGTCCTTACTGCGCGGCGTGACGACATCACCTTCGAGTTCTTTGCGAAGTTTGCGAGCCTTCTCGATGGCGTCGTCACTGCTTGATCCGATGTCCCCATTGACCATAGAGTAAGATGCTTTGCGGGATGGAGAAGCTCCGTGAGCGCCATGAGCACCGGAACTGCGATCTGTTACAAATCACTACATATTAACAACGGGAAAGACTATTATTTAAGGAACAGGACAGAATGATTCAAACCAAAGAAAAGGTGAACCAAGGCAGCCATCACCGGGAGGAAGAGAAGGTGGAAGGGGTTTGGAAAATCGAATATACTGTGGAAATTGGAATGTGTATGACACTCGCGATACGGAGGGGTGTGAAAAAAAACAGCCCATTCCAGAACAGAATAAATAAATGTCAGCAATACCACGAAAGTATTGGGAGCAAAGTGTGGTATATATGGCAATTATAAATATTTTCTCATTATTAATTGTATGAAATCAAGGCTATATAGAGTGCAAACTTAAAGGAAAACGAATTCAGTTGTGAACGGGAGGAATATGGTGGGTGTTTGTATTTTCTTCCTTGCCTCTCGATGTGTAGATGGCATTGCCGCTTCCCAAGTAATCCAGATCATCAATGAACGTACCCTGTACCAGGATCTTGCACGAGGTCTCCTTGTCGCCGACGGAATTCGACGCCATACACGTGTATGTGCCGGCATCCTCCGATTCGCAGGAGAAGATCTCCAGTGTGGAAACGCCGTGCGCGGAGGTGATGTTGCAGCTGGTATTCTGCTTGGTGATTTCGCGGCCATCTTTCAGCCATTTGACCGTGGGCGGCGGTCGGCCGTCAATGCAGCAGAGCAGCTTGACGCCAATGCCCCTCTGAATGGTCCGGTGTCGTAAGCCAAAACTAAAGCTCGGTGCTGTATCCCTTTCCTGTTCTGGCAGATCGTAAACGAGATCATAATTTTTCTTGGAGCGCGGAATATTAATTTCCGGCATGGGCAGCTCTTCGTGCGGTTGCGCTATAGAAAGTAAATTATCATCAGTTTCAACCGTGGCAAACCATTTCCGTATTGTTAATTAATTACGTTCAGCTGACCTTATCTCTAACAAGTTCATGGTCATTGACAACTTGACACATTGTAAATGCGTTAAAATTATTGCACTTCATACACAAACACTGTTTGCAAATCTCTGTCAATTTGAATAATTCCTGCGAACACTATCTCATATAATATCAGGACGGTTATTTCGAAATATATCGATTTAAAATTTGTAATTTTAATTCGACAGTTACAAAAGAATGCTGGAATTATAAAATATATCTACCAAATGTCGTCAGAAAAAGGTGCACTTACGTTGAACGTTTAGGAAAACCACCTCTTCTCGGCGTCCGAAGGCACTCTCCGCTTTGACAATATATTCTCCTTTGTCCTCGATTTTGCAGCGATTAATAATCAAATAATAATCATTGCCATCATAGCGTTTCATATATTTAACACTCTGTCGCAGTTCTAGCGTGTCGCGCCACCATGTAATCACTGCCGGCTCCAGCGAAATAACACGACAGTAGAATTTAGTACTCTGACCCTCGTAGGCCAGAGCGCTCTGCGGTTTGATAACAAATCGTGGTCCAGCTTCGCGGCGATCTGTCAAAATACACCGCGCACGTTACTTTCCCATATGTCGTTTTGCGGAAAACAAGTACGGTAATTTACATGGAATATAGGCACTACTGTACAAAAATCTGCGTACAAATCAGTGCGGCACATAATATTTCCCTTGATAGTTGGTTGATTTCTAAATTTAGCAGCGGCTGCTGTAAGAGCGGCGCGGAAAACAAACATTACCAAAGAAAGTATCGGCAATGCGGTGTTTGTCGGGATACAGTTTCCGCAGTGAACTGTAATTGGCGATATGACCAATGGGTAGAACCGATTTATCCCAGAAATCGCCCTGAAATAAACATATCAGTGAATTAAGCGCTGTGCGTGCGTGCGAAAAAAATATGCCGAACATACATAGCGTTCGCGCATTTTGTTGCGCATTTTGACCAATCGGCTTCTCGGTATGGTCTGTCCTTCCAATGGTTTGCCCATCAACCAGGGATGCATTAAACACTCAGCGGCGGTTAAACGAGCCCTAAAAAATTATTGGTAATGACCGCAGCTGACAGATTTTAATACTGTAATTCAAAAATAACTCCAGGCAAACGTACTCTTTCTTTTTCACCAATAATTTCTGAATGAAATCTTTGGCTTCTTCGCTGACGCCGGCGAATGCCTCGTCTTCAAAGTCCCAGTCGCATGCTTTCACATTACGGAGAGTTTCCACGTCGTCCTCACCGGCAAACGGCGATAGACCGCTCAGACTGTGAGAATAACCAATGCAGATTAAATTTTGGAAATCCGAAAAATAAATTAATTCACAGCTTTGAACCTAGCTGTTTATTGCAGTCCTATTGCAGTTTATTTTATCTTTTTATATGCAGGAATGTTTTAGCTGTGGATTGTCATACAAACGTTAATTTACCTGTTTGTTATACAATGTCTATTCTTTTCACATAAAACATATACTCCTAATATGCGTTAAACGAAGCAAAAACATAAGGTAAAACTATTTTTATAATAAAATGTAATTCCAGCAAAATAATAGTTAAATTAACGTTCGGGAACTGTCTGCTTTATATTTCATTATGTTCTGCTTACAGAACATAGGCCAGAACACCAACTGCCCACATGTCGGTATAGAAACCAACGGGCTCCCGGTCGACAATTTCTGGCGCAGCGAATTCTGCCGTCCCGGTGGTGATCTTCACTTCGGCACTAGGGTCCAGTTTAGTCGCCAGGCCGAAATCAATTAGCTTAACATTGGTGCTCTTCCGTGTTTGGCACATGATATTCTCCGGCTTCAAATCCAGATGAACAATGTTGTTTTCATGCATATGCTTGACGGCTTCGCAGATCTGACGCATATAGTGGACCACTTCCGCTTCCGACATGGTATAATCATCCGCTGTAATTCTTTCAAACAGCTCTCCGCCGGACATGCTGCAAATAACAAACAATACCGCCATTCACGTCAATGCCATATATTGAAGCACTATCATTTAATTCTTGACACGTACAATTCATAAATAAGAACCATTTCATCGTCATCCTCAAAGGCATCGTGCAAATGGATCAGTTTGTTATGGTGTAATTGATTCATAATGTCAATTTCCTTGCGAATCAACTGCTTTTCATTGGGCAGTTCCACCGGAATAAATTTGGCAGCAAAGATGTTACCGGTGGCTTTTTCACGACACCGGTGCACCACGCCGAAAGCGCCCACGCCGATTTCCTCCAGGATGTCGTAATACTGATAAACGCTGTCGTGTTTTATGTCCACTGGCTTCTTGGCGTATTTGTCATAGACATCAAAAACTAAAAATTAATAGATAATAATATAATTTTGTTTTGATTTGTAAAAATACGATCGCGAGACAATGTAACACTGAACCAACCAGAAAAGGCATTACAAACATTCAAATGTTTCTAACATGAACAAAATAAAAACGCGTGTTTTAATTCACTCATATTATGTGTATAATCCAACATTGCTGTGACACTAATAATAATTACACAGCTACAGAAATACTGATGAGCGTCGATCATATGATACTCAGTTTACGAACCTAATAATCTGTGAGAAATTATTTATCGTCATAAACTTCAGTTACCACAGCAAACGGTTAGTAATCTTAGTGCAGGCATTGTGCGACGCAAAAATTAAAATAAAAGCGAAGAATACTAACTGGACACAAAGCGTAATTGTACACAAAGCGTTAAATAGAAGCAAGTCACTTTTAGATTGAGACAAGTTAATCAACAAACTGTGACGAGTGGAGGACAAGTTTAAAGCGTCTTGACAGCCGCAAGCAGACGGGACTTCTAATTCTGCCACTACGCAGATACTCATCTTCCCGGAAAGTGTTATAATTTCCATAAAAGGCAAGGAGATTAGCAGTCCATGCTGTTCATAACAACACCCTATTCTAATCACAACACATGCTTTGTCATTTTTCATATACCGCACTCACCGAATTTATCGTAGTCTGACACTTTTCCTTCGTCTTTGCCACGAACTTTCTTTCCGTCATGCAGATCAGCGCGCTTTCTCCTTCGGCGTTTCATTTCGTCTTCTGTTAATACAAGCCAAATAGAACCAACAGAAAATTATTAGGGCAAAAAAGCAAAGGATGACCTTTTGTTGTTACGGGTGCAGTAGCATCAGACGGTCCACTGGTGCCGTACAAATTCTCCGCCAAAATGCGGAACTCGTATGTGGTCAGCGGGTTCAGATTGGTCACAGTATGGTACGAGCATCGCGTGCTGGCGGCCCGAATCCAGGATGATCCAGGATGCTCTTTCTTCTCAATGATATAGTTGGTGATTGGGCTACCGCCATCCGAATGGGGCGGCTTCCAGGACAGCGTAATGGAATCGTGCCAAATATTTTCAATCATCGGGAATCTCGGAGCATCCGGTTTATCTGCACAAGAATAATGAGGGTAATTATCAATGAATCTGCGTTATTTTATGGATATAAATTACGGTCTTTCCAGAGAAGCAAAAAGCCGAATCGGACAACAATAGTTCACTTACCGTTGACCTGCACCTTGATGACACAGGAGTCTTCGCCGAGCTCGTTGCTCACAATTAGTCTATAGTTGCCATTGTCTTCCTGTGCGCCGCTTTTGATAGTAAGAATGGCATGGCGTTCCAGTGTTTCAATGCTGTAATGGCCGCCATTATCGATTTGTTCGTTATCTCTGCGCCAAACGGCAGTTGGACGAGGATAGCCAGTGAAAGGGATCTTCAAGATAATGTCTTCGCCTTTGTCGAACAATGCCACATCGGCGAACCGGCTGGGAAGATGGATTTTAGGGGCAGCTACAAACACCGGCATCAGGTTACGTTTGTTATTTCATTCTTTTGGACATTGAATAGAGCAATCTTCGATGTTTCAACATAGTTTTTATGGCGCTATAAATATCTTGCTATAAATATGGCTAAAATTGACTTTAAAAACAAAAATTAGAAAAAGGTCACTAAACTTACTCTTGATCACAACATCCGCTCGACTCGTTTTGCTGCCACCTTTGTTGACGGCTCGACATGAGTATTCATCGGCATCTTCACCAAACACGTCACTGATCGTCAAGGTGTAAACGTTGCCGCGAACGGTCATCATGTATTTATTGGAGTCGTACAGTTCTCGGCTGCCCTTATACCATGTGATCTCCGGTTTAGGGAAGCCTTCCACTTCGCATTCCAAAGTCACTGATTTACCTGATGATGCTAGCTGATTCTTCAGCGGGCGGATGAATTCTGGAGCTATGGGAGCGTTAGGGTCTTTGACTTTAATTATCTTTGAATTGCTGGATGGTGGACTAAGGCCAGCGGCATTGACGGCGAAGATACGGAACTCATATTCGCGATCTTCAATCAGGTTGGCAACGTTGAACATGGGCGGTAAACTGGGATTGGGATTGATTCGGAACCAGTTCTCCGAGCCTTTCTGCGGGTGATAAAGAATGGATATACACTATACAGCAATGTGTCCATTTTAGTAGCAGCCTCAGTTCATAAAGTCATCATCAGTTTTATTTTAACCATATTTTCGTGCATGTAAGAAAAATACCGGGTACGTAGTACCGATTTACCATGCATCCAAGCATTTCAAGTTTTTGTATTTTACTAAACAAAACTTTATTTGACAACAATACTAAAGCACAAACCTCTCGTTTTTCAATAAAATAACCCTGGAGTCGTCCTCCACCATCCGATTGGGGCTTGTCCCATGAAAGATTCACGAAATCGCCACCAACCTCCGTAACGTTCGGTACGCCAGGAGCCGACGGAGGGTCTGGAAAACTAAGGAGCTCAAGCAGCCTCTTTTAGGGTATAATTTACAGCACATACCAAATGGAAGTTTGGCCACAATTGGTCCGTCGCCATTCAGAGGCGGTCCTTGACCGTTCTCGTTAACGGCACTCACGCGGAACTCGTACTCAGCATTCTCCGCCAAACCTTGAACAGTGAAGGTGCAGTCCTTAACGTAACTGCTGGCCACCACCCAGTTGTCCCGTGTGACATCTTTCCTTTCCACAACATAGTTAAGAATTTTGGACCCGCCATCATTTTCTGGTGGGCGCCAGAATAAGGTGGCTTGGTGTTGGGTGATATCCGACACACGTAAAGGACCCGTTGGCGGACCCGGTTTTCCGGTGACCTTTATCGGGAACGAGGCCTCGCCTGAGCCGCTCTCGTTGATGACTTCGATACGGTACTTCCCGTTGTCATCCGACTGCATTTCTTTGGACAAAATCACCACATAGTCATCAAAGACATTCCATTTCAGTCGGTCGGTCTCCTTTAGCTCCTCTTTTCCGTGGAACACGCGAGCCGTACATGGGGTCTCGCTTTGGAAGAACACTTTGATCTTGGCGCTTTCGCCTTCTTCGAAAGAAACCTCATCCGGATAACGAATGATCTTCGGTGGTTCGATAATGCGCAGCTGAGCGGTGCAAGTGTCCTTGCCACCGGGGTTGCTCAGCTCACATGTGTACTCTCCGGCATCGGAATCCAGGACTTCACCAATGTCCAGGGTGAAAACTCCGTCCTTCTCAGTCATTTTCACACGACCGCTCGGGTTAATCTCTCTGCCATTCTTCAACCTAATAACAGGAAATTAAATTAATGTTGAAGCGTAATGGTGTTAAAGTATGCTAATGGTGCTACAGTATCAACAAACCAATAAAATCCACAGCTATATCGCACGTAGTGATTATAAACATAGAGTCAGACTTTCATAACACTTTAATGACTGCAACTAGAAAAATGTTCGTAAATTTCACCGAATTTCTTATAGCTTACCATTTGACTTTTACGGGTGGTTTACCGACCGCTTCCACAGTCAGTTTCACTGGTTTGCCAACAGCAGTTGTGATATTGCCAAACTTCTTAAGAATTTCGGGCTTTGTACCATCTGTGGCTTCCTTGACTTTCACTGGCATTGTGTTCATGCTAGGATCACTTCTGCCAGCTGAGTTAATCGCATAAACGCGGAATTCGTATTCGGCATTTTCTATCAAGTTCAGTATTGTGGCTTCCGGATCTTGCACCATAAAGTCATGCGCTTTAACCCAAATATAGTTGCCCTTCTCGCGTTTCTCCACCTGATATCCGAGAATCTTGGAACCTCCATCTGATTTCGGCTTGGTCCATTTAAGGTCAACATAAGTGCGACCAATTTTGGCGATATTCGGTATGCCGGGAGGCGAAGGGACAGCTGTGAAATGGGCTTAATTACGTTCTGTTTGCATTACATTAACGTTTTATTCAATTTAAGTACCGTTATTAACAAAGTCAACAACATTTTATTTCCTGAATTAAAATTTCTCATAAAAGCGATTCACTTAAATTAATAAGAAGTAATGCACTTACTGGCTTTCGGCTTGACAGTGACCACTGGTGTCTCCTCGCTCGGTGTACCGAGCCCGGCGTAGTTCTTGGCCCTTACTCGGAACTCCCATTCATCTCCTTCATTTAAATTGGGAATCGTTGTTTTCGTATCTTTAATCAACGCGTCACCCATGGGCTTCCAGTTACGGTCACCTGGCCGCCGACCCTCGACTACGTATCCCAGAATCTTACTACCACCATCGGTTGTGGGACGGGTCCATTGCAGACTAACCGAGTCAGAATCGACATCTGTGACATCCGGTCGGCCTGGTGCTCCAGGTGTATCAAAGGGATGCTTCGCCGTAATGTCTTTCTCGGTTTCCAGTGGCTCACTGATGCCATGGATGTTTTCCGCTCGAACGCGGAACTTGTATTTCTTCCCCTCTTCCAGTCCACGGACGTCGTATTCCGGTGACCGTACAAAACTGCTCACCTTTACCCAGCGATCAGTACCAGCATCGGCTTTCTCCACAATATAGTTAGTAATCGGTGCCCCGCCGTCATCTTCCGGTGGAGACCATCGTAGTTTGATGGACTCTGGCGTTGTCTCGATTGGTTCCAAGGGACCTTTGGGTGGCGATGGAGCCGACACAACAGTAACTGTGCACGCTGCGTTATCGGAACCGCGGTCGTTCGTTAAGGTCACTCTGTAGTTCCCAGAATCAGAGCGTTTGGCTGATTTGTTATGAAGAAGAGCAATTTTTCCATCGGTCATTTCAATGATCACCCGATCATCACCCAACAGCGGTTTTCCGCCAACGGTCCAGGACTGGGTTGGCACTGGACTGCCCTTGAAGGGAATGGCGATTCTGAAAGGTTCGCCTTCCCGCACGGTAATATCACGTAGTTTAAAGTTGTCCCAGTCAATCTTGGGAGCCGATGGCGGCGGTCGAGCATAGATTTCATCGCTCGTACCACTGTACTCTCCGGGACCAGCTTCGTTCACAGCACACACTCGGAACTCATACGGTTTGTTTTCTTGCAGACCGGTCACGGTGAACTTGTTATCCGTCACCGGGCCGACATGGGCTTTGACCCATTTACCATCAGGGGCATCACGTTTTTCCACAATATAACCGGTGATGGGAGAACCACCGTCACTGAGTGGTCGTGACCACTGCAGCGAAATCGACTCCGGTGTAGAATCCACGCAGGCTGGTGTACCTGGAGCGGTTGGTTTACCGTACGGTGATTTCGGCTTGATCGAATCTTCAGTCTCACAAGGATCACTTCTTCCCATTGCATTTTCCGCGAACACACGGAAATCGTATGGTTTGCCTTCCTGAAGATTGCGAACCTTGCACGACGTTCCGGTAACGAAATTATTGACCTTCGTCCATACACCATCTGGTCCACGTTTTTCCACAACGTAGTTGGTAATGGGTTCTCCACCGTCATCTTTGGGAGGGCTCCATTTCAACGTAATACTGTCGGCTTCAATTTCATCGGCCCGCAATCGTTCCGGTTTATCCGGTCGATCGAGAACGGTGACCCGGACGGAGCCGGTGTCTTGACCCAGACGATTTTTTAACGTCAATTTGTATGTGCCGGTATCGCTGCGTTTTGCTGGACCGACACTCAACAGGGTCTGCTCCGATGTCGTCTTGGTCATCACCCGAGAGTCAGAGTCAGATACATCTTTAACATTGCCGAGAGGATCCGCCTTGGTCCATTCCGCAACGGGTTGTGGGTAACCGTGATACGGCACACGAATGTCAAAGGTCTCACCCGCCTTGACCACAATGTCCTTAATTTTACCCATGTCAATGTGCGGCTTCTCAGGCTGAGGCTCCACTTTGACGGGTCCTACCGGTTTGCTCGGGTCGCTCGGTCCGGCATCATTGACCGCTTTCACGCGGAACTGATACTCTTCTCCCTCGTTCAAATTCGGCACAACGAATTTAGTATCGGAAATGGGCGTCTTGTTGACGGGGACAAAATCTCGATCTCCTGGACCTTTCTTTTCCACAATGTACCCGGTAATTGGTGACCCTCCTGAATGAATTGGTTTATTCCACGACAAACCAACCGAATCCTTAGTGATGCTGTCCACTTTTGGCGCATCCGGTGCATCTGGTCGGGTAGTATCCTGGGCAATAGCCATCTCGCTGGCCTTACTGGGTTTACCAGGACCGGCGTCATTGACAGCTATCACTCGGAATTCGTACCCATGTCCTTCCTCCAAATTCGGCACCGTATACTGGGTGCCGATAATTGGTTTAGTATTGACCGGCTTCCATTCATCTTTGACACCCGGTTCTCGCTTTTCAATAATGTAGCCTTGTATGGGACTGCCACCATCGTCCTTGGGCTTTTGCCATTTAAGACTGATAGCATGCGGCGCGGTGTCGGTAATTTCCGGTGCTGACGGAGCGTCCGGTGCTCCGAAAGGATTCTCGGCCGTGACCGATGAGCCTACCAGCGGCTCACTGGCACCATATACATTTTCAGCCTTCACGCGGAACTGGTATTTCTTTCCTTCTTCCAGACCCTTTACGGTCATCTTTTCGGTCGGACTAATACCGACCTTCTCCCAAACACCGGTGCCGACTTGACATTTTTCCACCACATAGCCACTAATTTCACCACCATTGTTATCCAGTGGCTTCTTCCAGGACAGTTTAATCTGATTTGCAGTCACATCAGAGTATTCCAGTGGACCCTCTGGCGCATCGGGCTTGTCTGAAAATGCAATTCACGATTTCACGTTATATATTGGAATATAAAAACAACATTACTATTAAATTCCAAGCAGATATGACATCCGCCGTAACTGTACAAACGAATTTTAACGATATTGGTAAATTCGAAAGCAGTTTAACAGACCAAAATAATGAAACGGATGCTACCAAGCGTACAATCAAACGGCAGACTACTCTAGGTGAAGATTGCAAATACTCACCAAGAACGATGACATTGATTGTTCCATCAGCGATGCCGAAAGGATTCGAAACAGTGAGCTTGTATTTCCCCTTATCTTCTTTCTTTGCTACGGGCACATGGAGTTTGGCAAACTCTTCGCCACTGGTCAGCTGCAAGTTTCGACCATCCACCAAGGCTTTGCCATCCCGCTCCCAAGTGCACGTAGGCGTGGGAGCGCCCGAAATCGGTACCTCAATGGTGAGCGGCTCTCCTGCGCGGACACGAATGTCTTTTCCAAGCAGACCGTCCAAATGAATCTTTGGTGCCTCCTTCATCGGCTTGGCCTTAATTGGTTTGGATACTTCGCTGGGCTTTCCGGGACCAGCTGTATTCTTCGCAGTGACTCGATATTCGTAAGTCTTATTGGGCTGCACCGTATCGTCGGTAAATTCAGTTCCTTTTACCGGTTCACGGTTGACCTTGACCCAGCGGCCTTTCTCGTCTTTTCGTTCTACATCATAACCAGAAATCGGAGATCCACCGTTGTCATCTGGTGGTGTCCACTGAATAGTGATATGATCGCGGTCTGTCTCCACGGCTTCCGGCTGACCCGGCGATCCAGGTGGCGAGTAAGGATCTTTCGCCACAATGGGTTTTGTAGTCATAAGAGGCTCTGATGTGCCCATAGGATTTTCAGCCATTACACGGAATTCGTATTCTTCGCCTTCTTTCAGTTTCGGAACACGAATTTCCGTTCCCGCGCACAGTGTCGAAACTGGCACCCAGGTGCCTCGCTTCGTGTCACGCTTTTCCACGACATAGCCGTTAAGCGGCACACCACCATCATCGGTCGGTGGCTTCCATTTCAGTTTGCAACTGTCTTTGGTGATGTCGGAAACCTCTAACGGTCCAGTTGGTGGCTTGGGTTTATCCATTACCGTCACGTTGAACGTGCCCTCATCTGTTCCAAACTCATTTTTCAGTTGTAATTTCCACGGGCCGCTATCCAGCCGTTCAGTTAAAGGAATCGAGATCTTCGTTCGTCCTTCGTCGTTTGTGATGAAAACGTGCTGTTTGTCGGGGACAATAACCTTGTCACCGTTCTTCCAAACAACTTCCGGTGCCGGTGCTCCAACAAACTCAACTTCCACATTGAGCGGCTGACCAGCTTTAACCTTCAGATCGCGCAGGTTACTCTTGATCTTAGGCGGTAAGCGGCGGTGTTTAGCGACAACCGGTTTCGACGCTAGGCTGGGTTCACTTTCACCACCCTCGTTAACCGCGATCACTCGGAACTCGTATTCTTCCCCTTCTGTGAGATTGGGAACGGTGCCCGATGTTTTTCCTCCCAAAACTTCAGCGGCTTTTTCCCAAACAGGACTGTACTTCGGTTTCTTTTCGATGATGTACTTCTGAATGGGAGCGCCACCGTCGCTTTCCGGAGCGGCCCACGAAAGGTCAACGTGATTTGGCCCGAAATCAGTAACCTGTGGCTCACCGGGAGCATCTGGAGCGTCGAATGGATTTTTGGCTATAATAGGCTTTGTTATTTCCAGAGGGATGGATTCCCCTTGTGCATTCACGGCTTTCACGCGGAAGGCGTACTCTTTGTTTGGTGTCAGTTTGTTCACTTTGATCTTGCAATCTGGCGACTCGCCGGCATCCACCCATGTTCCACGGGATGTGTCCATTTTTTCCACGACATATTTGATAATTTCCGAGCCACCATCATCTTCCGGAGCTTTCCATGTTAGTGTGCAACCGTCCTTATGAATGTCACTGGCATTCAGAGGCCCCTGCGGTGGTTCTGGTTTGTCCATAACCTCTACGTTTGCCGTGCCGGACTTTGTACCATTGACATTTTCCAGATTGAGCGTGTACTTTCCTTTATCAGCCCGCTTAGCGTTTTTGATTTCCAGGATGACATAATCTTCCTTCTTCTCTTCTTCGACGCGTTCATCCTTAGACAGTGGCTTTCCGTTAATTGTCCATGTTGATGTCGGTGTCGGCTCACCACTAATCGGCACTTTGAAACGAATGGGCTGACCGGCTTTCACTTTAATGTCTTTCAGAGCACTCATGTCAAGGGTCGGTGCGAGGTTCCTCGGCTTGCATTTGACCATGCGGCTTGGGTCACTCGGTTCACCAGGACCGGCTTTGTTGACCGCGGTCACTCGGAACTCATACTCGTCACCTTCCTTCAAACCACCGGCAGTGCCTTCTGTCTTATCGCCAGGCACTTCTGCAGCCGTCTCCCAGAATGGCGAGTTCTTTTTTCGTTTCTCAATAATGTATTTTTCCACCGGGGAACCACCATCGCTGCGGGGCGCGTCCCATTTCAGGTCCACGTGATCCTTGGCCCAATCGGTCACTTCCGGAGTGCCTGTCTTTCCTGGCTCATCAAACGGATTCTTGGCTTCAATGGGCACTTTGGTCACCAATGGTGCAGATTCACCCTGTCGGTTGACGGCCTTTACGCGGAATTTGTATTCATGACCCGGCGTCAGTTTGGTCACGTCGGCTTGTGTACCATTCACTTCCGCTACAGGTTCCCATAATCCGGTTTCCTGGTCCTGTTTTTCTACAACATAATGGGAAATATCCTGCCCACCGTCATCTTCGGGAGTCTTCCAGCTCAAATGACAACCGTCCTTTGTGACATTGGTAACATCAAGAGGACCTCGGGGGGAAGTGGGTTTATCCAGCACAATGACCTTTACGGTCGCTGTATCTGTACCCGAGCTATTGGTGGCGGTTAAGGTATACATTCCCGAATCTTTTCGTTCAGCGGCCTTAACATCCAGTTTGGTTTTGTATTCCTCATTGGTGACCACTCGGTCCTTATCCAAATTTAGCGCTTCACCCTCCAGTGTCCACGTCTTCTTAGGAGGCTCCTCGCCAATGACCGGTACGTCGAAATTAAATGGCTGACCGGCTTTAATTTTGATTTCTCGCAAAGCGCTTTTATCGATTTGCGGTGCCAGATGCTTGTGTCGCACTCGGAATGGCTGTGTAGCCACCGATGGGGCACTCGGCCCGGCCTTGTTAACGGCTTTCACTCGGAATTCGTAGGTCTGCCCGTCAATCAGGTTAGGAACGGTACCGGTGGTCTGGTCTCCAGGCACTTCCGCGGCGGGTAGCCAGTTACCCGATTTATCTTTTTTCTCAATCACATACTTCTCCACTGGAGCACCGCCATCACTCACGGGAGGTTGCCATTTCAAGTCCACATGGTCTTTATCGTAGTCGGCAATCTCCACTTTTCCGGGAGGATCCGGTGCGACTAAAATTAGGCCACAGTTAAACGACACACAAATCACTGCATCTGCTTTAGGAAATGTACTTGGAAAAACCTTTAAAACGAAATTCTAGCTTTTTCATAAGAATCTAAAATGTTCGATAACTTAATTCAGAAAAAATTTTGCTGGGATTGCGGCACGCTAATGCATTCCTCACCCCAAGGATCTTTGGCAGTAATCGGCTTTTCTAAAGTTAGCGGTTCGGACTCTCCTTGCTTGTTTACAGCCTTGACGCGGAATTTATATTGATGATCCGGCTGCAAGCCGTCCACTTTGAATTCCGTCCCATCCGTTTCTCCGCACGGCACCCATCGGCCGGTGGCGACATCCATCTTTTCCACAGCATAGTGAGAAATATCGCTGCCGCCGTCATCTTCCGGTTTGTTCCATGACAACGTGCACCCGTCTTTCCTCACGTCAGCCACCTTCAACGGTCCTTCCGGTGAGGCCGGAGCAGACAGTACCACCACTTCCACTTGGGCCTCGTCTTTACCGTGCTCATTGGTCGCCACCAACGTGTAGATTCCGGTGTCCGAACGTTTCGATTGCTTAATGATCAAGTGGGTGTTATAATCCTTGTTGTCAATCTTGACACCATCGTCGCTTTTCAGTTCCTTATTCTTCAACTTCCATACGGTGGTTGGAGGCGGCTCACCGATCACATTGACATCAAAGTCAATCGGCTGTCCGGCTTTCACCTTTAGAGTTTCCAAATTTTTCCTGTCAATTCTCGGGGCCACTGTAATCCGAACGGAAGGTTTATTGAAAAATAACACTTGTAGTTATGAGAACGAAAAAGCGGCACTTACATCTGCGCGGCTTCGCAATAATGGGAGCAGTAGCCTCGCTAGGGGTGCCTGGGCCACCTTTATTAACGGCTTTAACTCGGAACTGGTATTCTTTTCCCTCAGTCAAACCCGGAACAGTGGCGTTTAGTTTATCTGCTGGGACCTCCACAGCCTTTTCCCATTCTCCATTCTTATCCTTTTTCTCAATGATGTACTTCTCAATGGGCGCACCGCCATCGTTAGTCGGTGCAGTCCATTTCAGGTCCACGTGATCCTTATCCCAGTCCGTAAGCTCAGGTTTTCCGCAAGCACCAGGAGGATCTGAAAAAAAACCGGTATAAATTCTAACGTTAAATACGGCTTTTTCCTTTTTACATTCACATTTCACAGCGACGTCTGAATATTACCATAAGGATTTTTCGCCAAAGTTGGCTTATCCGTCATCAACTCTTCGGAAGGACCCTCGCTGTTAACGGCCTTTACTCGGAACTTGTACTGATGACCAGGTTCCAGGCCTTCCACAGCGATTTCCGGTTTCGTGGTCTTGCCCACTGGCACCCAGCGGCCCTGGGCCACATCAAACTTTTCCACGTCATAATGGTCGATAGGGGCCCCGCCATCGTCTTCCGGTGGGTTCCATTTCAGATTACAGTGCTCGGCGTGTACATCCAACACTTCCAAAGGACCTCCGGGCATTAGGGGTTTGTCCAGTACGACAACCTCTACGGTCGCCTGGTCTTGACCACTTTCGTTAGTCGCGGTGATGGTATAGGTTCCGGCATCGGACCGTTCCGCCCGTTTGACATCTAATTTAGTGTTATAATCCTCATTGACCAGTTTGACCTTTCCACCATTCTTCACTTCTCCCGGTGGGACACCCTTCTTCGCCGGTGCCAGTGTCCAGACCTTTTCTGGAGGAGGTTCACCTTGAATATCAACATCAAAGGCAAACGGCTGTCCAGCTTTAATGGTGATGGGTTTCAGGTTCCTCTTGTCGATGCGCGGTTTCACTATAAAAATACCACACTTGTAAGGCATTATATAACTAGCGACAAATAATTTTTGGTTCTGTCATACAGTGCTTTGGTTTTGTGATGATAGGCTTGGTGGGATCACTGGGTTCGCCCGGTCCGGCTTTGTTGACAGCCACCACGCGGAACTCGAATTCCTGACGTTCAGGTAGACCGGTTACTGAAGCAGCGGTCTTATCGCCAGGAACTTCCATGGCTTTTTCCCAGTCCTTGCTGCCCTTTGGTTTCTTCTCGATAATATACTTTTCAATCGGCGATCCTCCATCCTTGTCTGGCGGGGTCCATTTCAGATCCACGCGATCTTTATCGTAATCGGTCACCTGGGGTGTTCCGGGTTTTCCTGGCTCGTCTAAATAATTACACAAGTAGACAGCATCTGTTTCCGCATTTGCAGATTTAATTTTTAGGCCGTTTAAAGAGAAATTTACCGAAAGGATATTTCGCAATTACAGGCGTTTCGGTCACTAGCGGCTCCGATTCTCCCTCCTTATTGACCGCTTTGACACGGAAGTTGTACTTCTGTTTTGGTGTCAGACCATCCGCAGTAAATTCAGTCTGATCACCGGGAACTTTTCCGGCCGGTAGCCACTGCCCGGTTTTCGGATCTTGCTTCTCAATCAGATAATGATCGACCGGCATTCCACCGTCATCTTTCGGTGGCTTCCATTTCATCTTGATGCTCTTGTCGGTGGTTTCGGCAATCTGAATCGGTCCTTCTGGACGCGATGGTCTACCCAGAACACACACCTCCACTTCCGCTTCATCGTGACCACTGGAATTGTCAGCCGTGATGCGATATTTCCCTGCATCGGCCCTTGTCGCTTTCTTGACACTGATATGTGATTTGTATTCTTTATGCTCAACAGTGCGGTTGGCATCACTGGTCAGTTCCTTCCCCAAGAGTTCCCACACGGTGGTGGGGGCGGGCTCACCAATGATTTCCACATCAAAGGAAAACGCTTGACCCACTTTGATAGTGGTGGTGATCAATTTATCACGGATGATTCTTGGTTTCACTTAAATTAAGACAAAATTACACATTTTCAAAAAGGTGCCGCAATTAATATTTTCAGAAATAATGTAACGAATAAAGCCATGTACTGTATATGGCCACCCATACCTGCGTAAAAAATGCAAGTGCTATTAAAAAATTAATAAAAAAACCCGCTATGATACTAGTACAGCTGCTGTTCAGAAAGACAAGTACTTACGGAATCGAGTCTTGACCAACACAGGTTTAGTAGGATCACTAGGCTCACCAGGACCAGCTTTGTTCACAGCACGGACTCGGAATTCATATTCTTCTTTCTCTTTCAGGTCAGGCACACTCGCTTTCAACTGGTCGGCTGGCACTTCAATAGCCTTTTCCCAGTCTTTGGATTTCTTTGGACGTTTTTCGATGATGTATTTTTCAATAGGCGCACCGCCATCTTTAAGCGGAGCGGTCCATTCAAGATCGACACGATCTTTGTCCCAGTCGGTGACCTTTGGAGTACCCGGTTTGCCTGGCTCATCTTTAACGCAATTAGAATTTATCAAGACATGCACAGAATGGGTAAATTGAAATAAGCTATACACACTAGCAAAACTTTTAAATAAAATATATGGAGTTTTATTGTACGACATTATAGTACGAGTTTTATTGTTTTACTGTACGACATGAGTATACACTGTATTCTGTAAGAAATGCTCCACCTACCGGGTAATTTGCTTAGTACTTGAATTTACCAATTTAAAGTGCAGGACGTTAGCTTTCAGTAGGGCCTCATACGCAAAAAGCATTGTATAAATGTGCATACCAAATGGATTCTTCGCCAGAATTGGAGTTGTTGTTTCCAAAGGATCACTAAGACCTTCCTTATTGGCGGCCTTGACCCGGAAGAGATATTTCTTGTTTGGCGTAAGACCCTCCACTTTGAACTCCAGGGGCTCGTGGGCGTCCTTTGTGCGACCACATGGTATCCAGTTTCCGGTTCCTGCTTCTTGTTTCTCAAATTCGTAATGGGTAATATCTTGACCGCCATCATCTTCCGGCTTTTTAAATTTCAGTTTCGCAGAGTCTTTAGTGACCTCATGCACTTCCAGTGGCCCTTGTGGTCTAGATGGCTTGTCTGCAAATATATCATTAGACACTTATATGGAACTTGACAATATGTACTGTACTAACACTAGCAGCATAACGCTACTCACCAAGTACAACGACTTCTCCGACGGCAGACATTTCTCCTGAACTATTTTTCACGGTAAGCGTGTATTTTCCGGTATCGGCCCTTTCAGCGGCTTTAATGCTGATCAGGGTCTTTTTATTTTGTTCGCTAATTTCAATAGTCGCCCGTTTGTTATCTTTTAGGGGTTTGCCCATGGCCGACCAAATAATTTCCGGGAAAGGTTCACCATTTACACGCACATCGAAGCGGATGACGGATCCAGCCTTGACTACCACGCTACCCAAATCTTCCACCATGATCGACGGTTTAACTGAAAAAATAATTCGTGGAAACAAGGAACGTAATTGTACGCTTGCTCATAAACTTACTACTTATTCGCCTTTTCGGTCTTATGATATTACAAATTCAGATGCGCGGCTTAATCTACCGAAATTGTTTCGTACCGTAGCGGGCCTTAGCAATGACCGGCTTGGTTGGCGGACTTGGATTGCCCGGGCCGGCTTTGTTGACGGCTCGCACGCGGAACTCATACTGACCACCTTCCTTCAAGCCGTCAATAGAGGCTTTATTCGTCCCAGCAGGCACCTCCTTGGCCGGAATCCATTTGTCCGAAAACTTATCCTTCATTTCCACAATGTACTTTTCGATTGGCGCTCCACCATCATTCGTGGGCGGCGACCATTTGATGTCCACACGATTAACGTCCCAATCTTCCACTTCCGGCTTCCCCGGTTCACCGGGCTCGTCATACGGGTTTTTAGCGATAATACTCTTTAATGCTGTTAGGGGCTCCGATTGTCCAATGTCATTCAGAGCACGGATTCGGAATTTATATTCTTTTTTATTCTCCAGATCAGGAACCTTGAACTTGTGTTGATTTCCTGGAACTTGAGCAATTTTCTTCCATGGGCCATTCTTTCCTTCCTGTACTTCAATGGCGTAACCGGTAACCGGTGAACCGCCATCGTCCTTCGGTGGTTGCCATCCTAAATCGCAGCTTTCGGCTGTAATGTTGTCGATTGTCAGATTTTCCGGCGGAAGAGGTACATCGTGGATTTGAATGTCCAAGGGAACTTCATCCGAACCAGCTGCGTTCAGCAGTTTCATGGTGTACTCGCCTTCATCCCCTCTTTGAGGTGACTTAAGCTTGACCTTTACTTCCCCATCGTCAATAACGACATCAAGATCTTTGGCCGGTACAGGCTTGCCGTTACGCAGTAAGTGAAACCCGGGTTTGCTCGGCTTCACACCGCCTATTTTATACGGAATTTTGATCTCAAGTGGCTTCCCGACTTGACCTTGTACTTTGGTTCTTCCGATGCTGATTTTGGGAGCAGTTTCACCTGGATCGCACCGTTTATATCGTTAACGCACTCTCACGATACATTTAAATTAGGCTTTAATGTGAATTAAAGTAATCGCAAATATTAAACTTCATCTTCTGTAGCTGCTTACTTCAATAATTTTTTAGTAATTTTGATTACACATTCTGCTTAAGCCTTATTACCTTCTTCCACTTTTAATTTGCACGATGTGATCAGCGCTCCGCACCGCGCTTCGTATTTTCCTGCATCCTCTAACTTGAGATCTTTGATAATCAGATTATGCATGCCGCGGGTGCCCTTAATATCATGACGACCGCCGGCAGCAAGCGGTTCTCCATCTTTGAACCATTCAACCGGAGCTTTAGGATCTTTGAATTCAACTTCAAAGTTTATTGTTTCTTTTGTCAACATGCTGGCATCTTTTAGGCCTTTAATAATTTTATTGAAAGGCTCCACGATCACTTCCGCGTTGGTGCTATCAGAATTTGTCTTGCACTCGTAATCGTCCTCGTCATCCAACATGGAGTTCTTAATAATAAGTTTTCGCTTCTTCCCATCGACAACAAATTCGTGGCGATCGTCAGGCTTGAGAATTTTGCCTTTCTTCAGCCACTTAACTTCAGCGTTTGCATCATCCACCTCGCACTCAAGAGTTGCGTCACTTTTTTCCGTGACCTTTATACTCTTCAACGGTTTGTTAAATTTATACAGCGGCTCTACAGGCAAACAAAGGTAGTGTATGCTTTATTACCTATGAAAATTTATATATACTTCTATAAATACTTACGGTCTACCACAAAGTTACACTTTGTGAAGATTTTGTCGTCATATCGGCAGATGTATTCGCCCGTATCAGCTTCCGTGAGCTTCTTGATTTTCAAAATGCACCGACCAATCCCATCCTTTTGTATATCATATTTGTCTCCTCTCTATAATTGTAATTAAATTTATTCCATTAAATTGTAATCCCATGTGTTGTTAACTGATCAGTGCTTTGTACTTCAATTGGCTGGCCATTTTTTGTCCATTTCACTGCAACCTTGGGAACAGATATTTTACACGTCATTTCAGCATCCTTGAATTTATCCTGATGTAATTCCTTTGGAAGTTTTTGCACGAATTCGATGACGGGGTCGGGTTCTGTCAGGTAAAGCAAAATGTTCTCCGTTAATTATTTTCCGTACGTCAAACACGCTTTCTATAACAGTTTTTATCGTTTTATGATAATGTACTGTATATATGTGGTCGGTATTTTACCATCGACTTGTAAGAAGCACTTGGTGACAGATTCTCCAATGGTGCACATGTACACTCCACTATCATCGGCTTTCGGATCCTTAATTTCCAGGATGTGAGTGTCTTTATCATTAACTAGCCGAAACTTTAAACCATGAAAGATTTCCTCTTTAGGTCCTTTGGTCCACTTCGGCTTCTGATTCGGTTTACTGTACACACACTCCATGTGCGCTAGTTTATCCTTTCCCTCCTTCAAATGCATGTCGGCCAACTCTTTCATGAAACCATCCTTTTTGCCTTCGCGTTTCTTTAATTGAGGTTTTTCTTGTTCAAGATGTTTCAGATCACCCCAGTTAGGATCTTCTTCTTCGATGCCCCATTTAGCATATTTTCGATGCAACAACATGGCACGAAAATCCATTGCACCTTCGCCACCCACTAAACAAAATATAAAGGATTGCAAATCTAAGATGTGTAAGGAGATGTCCAACAAGGAAAAACGATGCATTTCTGCCGTTACGTACCGCTGACGAAAAGCTGGATTTCTGCTTCATCCGTGCCGTGCTCGTTACTGGCAACAATTCGGTATTTTCCTTCATCCGTATGGCGGGCTTTCTTGATGAACAGCAAAGCCTGGTTGGTTGTACCGTCTGTTTTGACCATACAGCGGCCTTCGTTGACTATTTCACGAATACCACGGAACCAGTGCACTTCCGGTGCCGGATTGCCCTCCACGGTCACGGCGAAGAAAGCCGTTGCATCTGTTACAAAGTTGTAATGCATTACACGGTAATTATGATCTAGAAGAATGTAATTAACTGAGCACACATACCTTCCTGCGACTGCACATTTGGTGGTGCATCGATAAGGACAGCCGGACTTCCTGGAGCACCAACAGGTTTCAGTGGGGTAGATACCACATCCACTTTTTCCATCACGCTAAAGGTCACACAATTCAATTAATATCAAATGACTCAACATAGCAAAAAAAACCGTTCTAACCTCTGCCGGCGCATGTCCACACTCGAACGACGGCGCTATAGTCGAAAATACAATTAGAGAAATCATTTGCACAATACGTGTTAGCCAATACACATTATACAATGATCACACACATGCATTGTAACGGACAGATACCGTGCGATTATTACGAGACGCAACAGCTAATCCTAGGTTAGCGACAAGAAACGACATCTTGCATCCTGGTCACTGTAACGGTTAGTGGAGACAAATTTTGTTAGAGCACGAAGATGTCTAGAAGAAATCGACTGTGTTGTGTTAGCATTGTTGGTCAAGAAAGGTTAGGCCAGGCCGCATGCCTACATCACCCTAGATATCTGTATGATAACATTAACATACTTTATCTGCAACCTCTCCAGGGCGTAACTTCGAGGCGCCCGCTGGTGGCTAATGAATGAAATTACAACGCATCAAATTAATCGTAGTTCAGGAAGTAAAGCAGACGTGGCAGGAAAACCAGAGTTAAGTCAGCTACTTACAGCTAGCAGATTGCTGTCAGGAGCATGAGTGGTTAGCTGCAAAACTAAATTAGATGCAGATTCATTCGCAGTTATCCAGTGCAAATCAGAATTAAAACACTTGTCCGTACGAACCCTGCACAGTGTTAACGGAGTGCTTTCAAAGAATTATGACGCCTTCATTCTGACGAATTAGTGTTTTATGACCCGACGACGACTGCAGTTGTTAAGAGTTAGCGTTGTGCCGAGACCTTGCGTGTCGCTGCGTGACGGTGAGTCGTTTAGAAGCGGAAGCGTTTACAACTTGAGAAACGGCGATGGCATATATGAGTACCTCCGACACTAAGAACGTGACGTTGGGAGCGACACTGGACGATCGCCGGGATGTTTCCGGTGATTCTACCACCACACTGGGACGTAGATCACGCTTTTTCAGAATACCAGGACCGAATTCCTCTTGAATAGACTGATCAGCCGAATCTCGCCGAAGTCCTACCGAGCTCTTACGAGGCGCCGCCCCTTTGGGCTTAGCGCTTTCGCTAACTGAGACCTTTGCAAATCACAATAATTCAAATTCAGAATAAGGAGTGTGTAAACTGATTATATTTACCGGTAAATAGAATGTAAAATCGCTGCAGATTTTAAGAGCACGGATTTTAACGCTATGAATTAAATGACTTACTTCGTCCTCGCTTTCAGCTTGCAACGAGACCTTCTTCAGTTTTGGAGCTTCTTCCTTTTTCGATGTAGCAGGCTTTTTGTCTTCTCCTAAACCAAAAAAACAATATTGTTATAAGGGAAAGGTGAAGCAAGCCGAAAAAAAAACACCGATTGTTTCAGGCAGCCAAGCCTCACAGCATGGCAGCAACTGCGAAAGAGTAGCTGCTGCCGGCAGTTTCACTCACCTTTGACCGTGAGCAACGCCGAACAGCTTTCTTCGCCATGTTCGTTCTTAATAACGCAAGATATTTTCCCGGTGTCTTCCGGAAGACAATCCGCAATTTTAAAAGTCGCTGTGGTTCCGTCAAATGTGATAATGAAATCCTGGCTGGGTTCCACCGCTTTATCATCTCTGGAACAATTACGGTTCAGTAAAAAAACGCTTGGTATATTTAAAACATTTAGGTTTTCTTACTTATACCACGTGACGGTAGGTGTCGGGTTTCCCTTAACTTTGCAGGTAAATTCAGCCGGCGCTCCGTCTTTCACAGACTGGGGCTTGATTCTTGCAGAAAAGTATGGTGGCTTTAGTTCCGGTCCCGGGGCTCTGCATTTAAATGTTATAACATAAAGGTCACGTTAAACAAGATTACTGACCCCCTTGAAACTTACTCTGAAACCGACAAGCGAGGAGTGGCTGCCTTTGGTTCTTTAAGGTCTTTAGACGTGGCTGGTTTGGCCTCCTCTGGCTTTTTAGCAGTGCCCGGTTTTCCCGGTGGTGTAGCGGAAGGCTTGCGAGTTTCCGCCAGTTTAGTGCCTTCGGCTTCGGCAGCAGCAGCTTTAGCATCCTTCGTGATCGGTTTGAGAGTCGGATAGGCTTCCATCTTCTCCGGTTCCGGCTTAGCCGGGATGCTTCGTTTGGGTTGAGCCGGCTTGGGTGCGGCTAAGTCACCAGGCTTTTCTGCGGCTTTTCCGGCTTCCGCTGGCTTTGTTTCTCCCGGCTTGGCAGCCGCTGTTTTCGCTTCAGCTGGCTTCTCACCGGGCTTTGCAGCCGCCGGCGGCTTTTCACCCGGCTTGGCCGCTACAGGCGCTTCTTTTCCAGTCGGCTTACCTGCAACCGTAGTTTCTGTAGGAGCCTTTTCAGCAGCAGCGCTTTTCTGTGCCGGAGCACCCGGTTTCGCGGCCTCCTTGGGAGCAACCGGCTCCTTAGCGGTGCCAGCTGCAGGCTTAGCCGGTTCCGGCGCTTTCGCGGTTTCTGGCTTGGAAGGAGCGGCCGTTTTACTAGCAGGTTCAGGGGTCTTCCCGGTGGGTTCTGCAGCAGCCGGAGTTGCTTTTCCGGCTACGGGTGTTTCGGGTTTTGATGCAGGTTTCGTGGAAGCGGGTTCGGGTGTGGGCTTAACAGAACCTCTGGGTGTGGCTGTCGGGGTTTCCGAAGGCTTTCGGCTAGCTGGTTCTGAGGGGGGAAAGGATTCGGACGGTTTTCTACTAGCAGGTAGGGAAGGCACCGATTCTGTAGGAGCAGCACGGGATGAATCAGGTACTTTAGTAGCAGGTGTTTTGCTGGGTGTAGGAGCAGTGGGTTCAGTATCATGCGGTCGACCTGGTGCAGGCTGACCCTCGTCTGCCCTTTTAGCGCTCTGACTAGATTGTTCGCGTGGTTTATCGGCGCTTGCAGGCTCAGACCGTGCTGGTTGCTTCTCAGTCGAGCGGGGAGCTGCAACTGGCACTTTGTTCGTATCGTCAGTAACCGTCGTTGCAGTGGTAGGGGCATGCTTGGTGGGTGGAGCCGAAGACGGAGGCGATGCTTCCCGCTTGGCCTCAGCACGCCCAGACGGACTGGGTTGCGCTGCCGGGCGTTCTTTAGGGGCATCACGTGCAACGGTGTCAGACGGTCTCTCGCGTGCAGTCGTTTCAGTTGGTTTGCTTCGTGCAAGATAAGTGGGCTCTGCTTCCACCGCTTTACTAGACACTGCCTGGTCAGACGCTTTTCGCGCAGGCTCGTCTTCGACATCTACCCACACCCGTTCCGTACTTTTGGGTGGGGTCACACGTTTGTCAAGTCCACGTCGACCAAGTGGAGACGGCGACTCATCACGCTGTCGCATGCTGACCTTTTCAGGCTCACGCTGTGCACGAGCAGATATTTCTTCGGTTCCGCGTGCAGACACAGCGGTCGCACCGTATTTTTGTTCTTCAGATTTTCGTGCAGATTCAGTAACTTTGGTTTCGTCTGTCTTACGTGCAGGCTCAGACGGTTTCGTGCCAGCCGGCTTCGCCGCTGCAGCCAGCGGTGGAGAAGCGGCTTTTGCTTTCGGTTTGCCCACCTCTTTCGGTGGAGACTCTTCGAACTGAAACGCTCCAGAAGTGCGACGTGCAACGGGCTTAACAACTTGCGGTTCGCTTGGTGGAGGTGAAGGTAAAAACTGAAAGCCACCCGATGTACGCCGGGTGGCTACATGCCGTGGTGGGGACGCCGCAGGACTGCGACGTGCACTAACTGGTGGTGTGTCGCGTGCAGGGAATTCTAGCAATGCATACAAGACCATGCAAAGGTGCCATAACAGAACAAGCTGGCGGAAAGGCAATCAGGTGGCTCATATTATCCGCTCATCGCTTTTATAATGATTACGACAGGCAGACCTAAATTGCTTGCAGGCAAATGTGCATTTCGCCTTACCTGCGGGAGAGGCTTCTTTCGTGGTTTTACTTTCTACGCCCTTCTTTTCCTCAACGGCCGTTTTCTTAGCGGCCGGTTCGTCTCGTCCTCGAGGCTTAGCAGCTTCTTCCACCGGTTTTGCACCCGGCTTGCCTGGAGCCGCTTTTTCCTCTTCCGCCTTGCGCTTGGCTTCCGGCTCAGCGGGTTTTTTTGCGTCTGGCTTCTCTTCTGTCTTCTTCTTGGCTGGCCCGCTTTCTGAGGTATCGGGTGAGCGCTTTTTGTCAGCAGCTTTCTTTTCTTCCTCTACTTCCTTCTTTTTGGCTGACTCCTTGTTTTCCTCAGCAGGACGCTTTTTCTGGGGAGCAGGAGTGTCGTCGACTTCCATTGCCTCGTCTTCCTCTACATCCATCTTTTCTTCTTCTTTTTTCTCCTGTTTCGCTTGTTTGACATCTGCAAATCGGATGCATGCTATTGCTAGTGTTTTACTCCCAAAAAATGAACGCAGGTATTGAACAGGGCCGTTGTTGTGCGAAATTGAAAACAATCAGGTGACGAAGAGCTAATTTGTCACTTACAAATTTTGCAAGTGCTATTTGTGCAGATTTAATTTTGCCCAATGTAATGCACTTATTTGTAAAGGTAGAAAGCCCATCGTGCACATAACACTAGTTAATATTACATAGTTGCTGTCGCAAAATCAATAATTTGTGTCAGTGATGATTAGTTATTGGCAGACCGAACTTTTTAGATCAAATAGTAAATGCTGGTTTTGATTACTTTTTCTGATAAGCGGCTTCAGAATAAAGTTAGTACGGATTTACGGTAAAGAACTTGTGGACTGCGCTACCTACCTTCAGCAGTGCAGCGAACGGTTTCGGTGACTTCTTTACGGTCATGTTTGGCCGTCACCTTGTATTCCCCTACATCCTGCTCAGTAATTTCGGAAATTTCCAGAAACACATTATAGCTGGTTTCGTCGACGCGGCTCTTCTCAATGCGACTAGAATATCGTCCTCTGGCGGAAATGGCCTGCGTGCCCTTATACCACGTCACATCCGGTTGGCCAGCAGCTGTGACAGTGGACTGGATGACAACGGTCTGTTTTTTGGAAGATTTCTTGACAACCGGCTTATCAAGCGCCAGATCCTTGGGCCTGAAGGACAGGATGCGATACACAACATGGGAAAGAACCAGAACAAAATAAAGTGTTGACAGAATGAAAAGGTCACTTACGGCTGCACATTCAGGTTGACGTTTCCTTGAATCTTTCCAGACTCATTGGAAACCTGGACTTGATACTGCCCACCTAGAGCGGGTGTTATCTTGACAATTTCCAGCGTGCCTTTGTACTGCTGCTGCTTCAGGGTCTCGGTCTTAATGATGACATTGCTGCTGCTTCGTACTTCTTCTCCTTTGTATGTCCACGAGACATTTGGTTTCGCATCCGACTGCACAATAAAATCAACCAAAACACGTTCTCCGCTGGTGGTGATTTTGGGCTGCTGGATGAACTTTGGCGCTTCGCCAGCTGGTTCGTCGTCTCCTTCGATGTTAAGGGTCAGTTTGGCATTGACTTCGCCAACGGTGTTCGTTACTGTGCACGTGTACAATCCAGCGTCTTTCTTAGATGGATTCTAAAATATTCAACAAGTTCAAAACTGAAGTCGGAAATTGTGAATGTCACCAAAGGTCACGAATCCAATGACCATGACTTAATCAGTCGTTACAAATTAATCCATAGACGTACTTGAATAAGCATGAAATACGGCAACTTTTAATGTACACACCTCGATAACCAGACGGTGGACAAATACATCTTGCTCCATGCTATCATGGAAAGTATGCCGCGATGATCGGGTTACTGCGGTTTCATCGCGTTTCCATTTGTACTTAGGTTCTGGTTCCGCTCGCACCTTGACCTCCATCGTGACTTTGGTGCCGCTCGGATCGGGAATAATCTTGGGCTTCCCGACAAATGTGGGCGCAAAGAGTCCTTCTTCTTCCTCATCTGGTGGAGCTGTAACGAACATTCGCAATGCTCAACAACTGCAAGATTTGGCCCATCGCTATTTCTACTTTATTTGAGTGGCACCACACACGCTTTACTTTGACTAGTTAAGTACCTGATAGCGTCTTTAACACTAGTTTAACACAATTTCTGTATAATTATAATACGACAGTTTAAAGGTTTGAGGCAAGTAAAAGTATAGCAACATTATTTGTAAATCAAATAAATAAAAAATCCTGGATCAGCTGCAATAACATTGGGGAAGTTAAACACGTTACCGCATTGTGACCTTTCTACTGCAGTCGCAGTCACTACTGCTTTCTACTGCTGCAGTCTACTGCGACCTTTCTACTGTATGTTATTGTGACCTTTCTACTGCAGTCGCCTAACAAAAATATTTTTAGCCTGTCGCTGGCGGAGAAAAACACTGTATGGGAAAAATTGTACCCAGACAGATTAAGGGCGTGGCCGCTTTCCCCGTCATAATTGCAAAGATTCAAGTAAGTCTACACAAACTTTTCAACAGCTAAATACACAACAACCATACCTTCAATGTTTAAGTTGAGGTTGGCGTTAATTTCGCCCTTTTCGTTCTTGATAGTGCATTTATAGGTTCCGCCATCACGGTAATCCGGTTCCTATCGAAATCACTAATGTTTTAAGAAGAAAATAAGTCCTGCGACAAGTGCAAAACAGACCTGAATTTCAAGAGTAATGGTGTATTTATCATCTCCATCGCTTTCCACATTAGGCATTCTACGTTCATCGGATGGTACTAACTGGCTGTTGAGGTACCACACAACAGTTGGTTGAGGATTGGCTTTTACTCGAACGCGCAATAACACATAGGAGCCATCTCTTCCAGGTAAGATTTCCGGTTTCTCCGTGAATTTGGGGGTGAACTTTCCATCTGCTGTCTCTTCAGCTTGACCGCCAAAATTTAGAGCTATGTTGGCATTACTTTCACCATTTTTGTTCTTCGCATTGCACCGGTATTGTCCAGCATCCGATTGTTGGGGATCCTGACAAATAAATAAACAGTGCAAATCAGCAACCGTCACTGAATCCTAAAACCGGAATACTACAACGCTACTTCAACCCTAGCATGATCAAGTAAGACCACACTTAATTAATAGCCCAGTATAACTTCAAGGTTATATTTTTGTCTTGAGAAACTCCAATGTGCAAAACTGATTTGTAAATCAGTTTTGGTGGACAAAAGCTTTTTAGAAATAACAGACGCACGGAACAGTTTAAAAATGATTACAGTTGTAGGAGAACCAAGTACAACCCAGCTGAACCCACTAAAAATTATATAAGTCATTTTTGTGGTCTCGTATGAGGCTGCTTAAAGTCCAAGTAAATGTTAGATAGGTATATTAAAATGATATCTGTGCGTTTCGATAAACCTACCGATATAATTAGGACGACTTTGTAAGTATTTTCTCCTTCAGGGTTGAGCAAAATTCTGTGCCGTTGGTCAGGGATAATTCTCTTGTCGGCCTGGAACCAGGTGATGTCTGGCTTGGGTTCAGCTGACAAATTACATTCCATAATAAGTGTCGTGCCTTCTTGGCGAATCACCGGCTTGCTTGTAAATTTCGGTGTGCCGCCGGTTGATCTAAAAATAAACAACACCGCAAAGTGATCCATCTGCCACTCGTAGCTGACGTAATCAATAGGCCTCATGGAAGATGCAAAAAGCAGAAGTTACTTCGTTTCCGGTTCGTCGTCAGGGTTAGCGAAGGATAGATTAATCGTCGCTTGCCCTTCTCCTGCATCATTTTTAGCCACGACCTTGTATTCTCCTCCGTCTCCGACTTCCGCGCCGGCAATTTCTAATCGGCATCCGTAGTTGTTATCTTCACCGCCGGTCAAAAACATTTCATACTTGGCACTCGGCTGCAGTGGCCGGGTGCCTTGAAACCACGAAATTGTCGGCTTCGGCTGGGCACGCAGTTTGCAGTCGAAAATGATTTTGTTGAAGTCATCAGACTGCCGAATAACGGGTTTCTGGGTGAAACTAGGACGTATACCTTTGGATTTGTCTTCTTCGGGTGGTTCATCGCCTAAAACATAACATCAGTAAAGGTCATCTATAAAAATTTACAACGGCAAAATATCGCTTTTAATTACTTAACCACAACATTGCTTTTTTAAATGCAAATTTCTTTAAACCGAGAGAAATTAATCTGTAAACGATAACATACAGTCATCTTTTTAATATAGTTTTAATCATGCTTCGAAAGCAAAAACTATTCATCAATACACAATGTTTCAAGAAAATCGGATATAAACCATAAACACCGTAAGAAAAATGCACTGATTGTTTGTAAAGAGCTTGTAAAATGATTGTTTGTAAAGAGTAAATAATTTTGTAATTAAAAATTAAATAATTTTATAATAGTTGAAACCAAACAGTTCGAAAAAGTACGTCTTATGGCTAAAGAAAGGTGAATCACCAATCATAATTCACAATCTTAATGAAATCCACGATCAGCACAACCACGTGTCAGCTGACCTGAAGGTCCAGAACTACTGTAACAGCCACACTAGGTACGGAATAGACGATTTGCAACACAAGCTTTAGTTATTTTTTCAAAGATATTCCTACCCTGCTCTTAACGGTTCAATTCCAGTCATTGGTATAATAGCAGGTTGTAGAGCTTTATATTGTACAATCGGCGAATTTAGTTGTGATTGTACTGCATCAGTGATAACAATGTCCGTCAATTTTCGATATCTATTTTCACGCAGCAAAGTAAAAAAATCGTGTAATAATGCTCTAGCTAAATATCAGTTTCAGACGTGCAGTTACCTTCCTATAATATACTTTTCGTGGATGTAATTCTAGCTAATGATTAACAATAAATCCAAAGAGATCTACGTTGCGGTTCCAATTAGCACACAAGCGTCCGGACTTGTTCAACCGATTGGCGGGTTACAGTCAATCTTTAAACCGCATGGTAAAAGAATTTTAAGTGAAAGTAGTGGTAATTTTAGTCGTATCCATTCTGTTACGGCGCACTTACTGTCAAAATTTAAGCTAATGTTGGCGCTGTTCTCTCCCACTGAGTTTTTGGCAGTAACACGATATTTGCCCGCATCTTCCACGCCAACGTCATCAATTTCCAAAACAACAAAATAGGAGTTGCCATCAGGTTCAACGACAATATTAAAGCGACCGCCTTGGTTAACAGGTTTATCATCATGGAACCAGGTGAAAGTGGGTGTCGGGTCCGCCAAAACACGACACTCAAATAACAACCGGTTACCATCATCCTCTTGTTTGATGCTGGGTTTTTGAGCAAAGGTGGGTGCGATGCCGTCGATGCTCCTGCAATAAAAAAGTTGACTTCGAATTCGAAGGTCACTTAACGACGCAGCAGTGATAGCACATCATTACACAGCATAACAAATATATAACCACATCTTTTCAAATTCGTTTACTCGATATGGTTTTGCAAAAGAATTAGATCAGCTCGCACACACAACCAATACGCGTAAATTAAGCACAGTAAATAACATAAAAAGCGTAAACCAATACAATGACCCCTTAATAATCTTTAATTGTTGCAGGATCAGAATGCACATTATACGTCTGTATATACGTATAAGTATGCAAATACTGTTTATGTATAAGCAACGTCACGTATTATGTAGTAGGACATGTAGTGCAAAAACTGCTAAATCTTCCTTATGTGTAAATTTTGGCAGTTAAGTAAGTAAATTAAGAAAATTATTATCCAAAGCCATTAACGGTTCATCACTTTTTTCATTTAATAGAGTTAGTTTAATATTGATAAATTATCAGAATTATATTATCAACAACTAACTGCGTCGCTTGCATGGAACTTTAAGATTGTAGGAGAAGAGGTGCCTAATAATATTCTTACTTTTTCGGCGGCATCTTGTTGAACCTATTCAGTGATTAGATGTATCAGTAAATCCACTTTCTCATGGACGAATAATAACAAAAACGAGCGCCTCAAACATGCAGTACCCCGGTGAACTACACGGGAGCCATCACCGCTTCGCGAAGAAAACGGGCGCCGCTTAAGCTAATAACTAACAGTAAGCGTCTTCTACTATCTCTTCTTGCAAACCACTAGCAATTCCGAAAACGCTTTTTGCATACCGTTGCATCAACGGCCCTGATGACTAAGCACGCTCAGTATCCTTTAGCGTCTTCCATTGCAAAGCTTGGCAAACCCTTGTACACCCAGCGAAGCCGCATTTCCTGCGCTCTGTGTGCTCATGTTGATCCGAATACGCAAAAAGGCTGCCGCAATAACCATATAAAGAAGGTCTGTATTATATCGCGTTCTTCAAGCGGTGCATTCAGCATCCTGGACGGACTATTTTTAAGTACGACAAGCTGGTCACAACTGTTTTTTTGGTGCACTGACTGTTTGATGCTTCTGTCCCTGTTGGTAATGTTACGAAATAATATGGAAGGGTATGTACTCAGAAATAATGATTAGCCAACGTTAATAGTGCGGCGATGATTGACTGTTTATGCAGCTGAAGGCATCTTTGTAGGGTGCTCGCTATCATAGCGGTAGGAGCTGACATATATATGTGTTCTACAATGCCGACAGCAGCCTCGTGGAGAGTGTTCTGTACTATCCATAAAAAAGTTACAAGGCGCAATAATTACAGCCCCTCCCCAGATGAGTACAAAACAATAAATGTACAGGACTGCAAAGGATAACGCAGAACAGTTTGTAACTTCTGCCTGAATCACAGTCGATCGTAGCGCCAAAAACTACTAGTAGTAGTGCTGTGGCGCAACAGCCGCAACACAGAATCATCATCCGCAAGTATTGTCATCAATCCGTTCAGATGTCGTTTAGGTTCCAGTCGAGCACGGATTACCTTCCAGAAGATGGGCATATGTAGCCATGAAAGTATCGGCGATAAGTCAACAGGAAGTAATTTGTAGTTTTTTACGAACTCCTGTGCGTACGTTTGGAGTAGTGAGTACAACAGCGCGCAGACGTAACGCCTCAATTTCTTATTTTAGTCTTCAAAGCATCGTTCTGCACGCATATCGGTTTAAAAATAGACATCGACCCTGCCTTACTTATAATTTGGTTAAATGATGCAGTGCCGGCAGCGTTATGATCTTATTCCGAAATGTGTATGCGGTATTCATGAGAACATGAGTCGTTGGCAGCGCGAAAATGTATAAGAACCCCTCGAAAAATATGTACTGCTACGAGCTCAGTCTACAGCATAATCCGAGCAGCTGCTTGTTCCCTGTTCCCTGTAACCCTTACACTGCACCGCATTTATTGTTAGATTCCGCATTTATTGTTAGATTCTGCACTTATTGTTGGATTCCCCGAGTACTCATTAGCTAGTGATACCTAATTATAAGTAGTTTGTGATTTTGTTTTGAATATCAGACAGCCAAACAATAAACAAATTTGACAAGGGGATATTATTGTAAAACTAGTATAACCGGCCCACGCAGCGAAGCTACTTAATTTGCAAAGTGGGCCTCGCAGACTTTGCCCATGTTTGAAGGACAGTATAGCGTACGCGAAAGTGGCATCATGATGCCATCATCCACCAAAAGCTTCGTAGTTTTGTATTTCTGCGTTCACGTATTTCACGTTGATTCAGAAATACTTTTATTTATGAGGTGACAGTTTATGCAACAACACATGTTTTTCATTAAACAATTTATACAATATACTTTCTGTGCATTTTATACGGTTCTGGAAAACTGGAAGCTGGTCAGTTACGTACGCTTCTTCTCGTATTGCGTACACCGATACGCGTATCGTTTTCTTTCATGTTATTCCGTGGGCCCGGCTTTCGCCCCGTATTTATTTGGACGTCAATGGACGGCAAAATAATGTGATTCAAGACTTACCTTATAAGTTCCTGTGGCTCTGAAATATAAAGAGCATATTGTAAATGTCAACCATCCGGGAACAAAAGAGGTACAAAACGTGTTAAAAAACGTACTTACTATCCAGTTTCAAGCTGACACTTGCCGAGACTTCACCGGCTCGGTTGCGAGCGACAATCTTATACAATCCGGCATCAGTCTTCACTACATTGCTTACAACAAGTCGCAGAGCAAAACAGTTGTTTCCCAAGGGTTCAGATGTAATTATCACCCGACCACCGTGCGTTAATTCCTGATTGTCCCGGTACCAGTGAGCATCCGGTGCTGGATCACTTTTGACTTGACATTCTACTGTAACTGTGCGCGCTTCTTGATGAAGCTGAGGAGTCACCACGAAAACAGGGGCAAGAGTACCGCTTCTGGTCGACATTGATTCCAGAATTCCGAACGAGAAATCGGTACCAGCGTATGCTGGTACAGCAAAAAATCAATCATTTTACGGTTAACAGAATATAGATATAGTATAAAGCTGCAAAAATATACGCATCAGACGTATCATACGGTAAGCTGCAGGAAAACTAATCATACGCTTTGAATTAAAACTATTATATGAATATTACAATTTAGCAGGCTCTCCCTGGCAGTGTGAAAGCAAACTTAAAAAATTAACAAAATCAATCGAAATTTAGTCAGAAATATCCACTATTGTACAATGTATATCTAGGTAACTTTCGGTACAATGTATATCTAGGTAATAATGCGTGGCAATGCTATGAGTGTTTTGTGTACAGTGACCAGTCCCAATTAACGTGTGTTTTGTGTACACTATGTTAATTGGGACAAATTCTTTATTTGAGTGATTTTTATTGAGCGAAGCTCGCCATGGTACATAATGCGATTAAAGTTATACTTTCGGTTACTTATAATTTTTAAAACAAACTCGGATATTTTATTAATCTATTAGCTTGCTTGACTTGGCTATTAAATAATATTTTCACACAGAAATAATCCGCGTTTATAAAAAAATGTTAAGAAATTGTTCCAGTGGCATTTACGTATACAGTGGCCCTAAAATTTATGAAAAGGCCATTCTTCTGCTTTTGTGTTACTAATAACGTTTCTTGATAAACAGCACATAATAGCAGTGTAAAGTTTATAAAATTTCCATTATTCGCCAAACACTACAAAACCAGGATTTCGATGGCGATCAGTCGTAAAAGATACTCGTTAAATTACTACTGTATAACAAGTCAACAATTACCGACACTGCTTACCTATACAGCAAGCAGTTGCTCAACAAATGCGTGTCAGTCCATCAACAGCAACTATTTCAAACCATACTGGATAACGGATCAGTTAAGCGTTTTCTTTCATTAACGTATTTGCGTCAATTAAAGTGGTAGTACTGGTACACATAATTGCCAGACACCCATATGTAACAAAGCTCACAACTAACAACTGTAAGTACAAAATAACACGTGCTAATAAATTACGGATTATCACAAACGGGAACTATCACAAAAACCGCTTAAAAATTGTAATTCATAGGTAATCACAGGCGGCATCCCCTCATCCCCGATCGCTCGCGAAATTGACGCAACGCACTTCGGCGGCACTTCGGTTAAGCATAGGAGTACCACAGTGCTCTCCAAAATCTTTAACGTCTTCATGATCAATTTGATTTTAGCACGTTTACAAACACAGAATCTAGAAGCGCCTATTTTTAGCTCCAGAAATGCACAGACTGTTGTAATTTGAGCCGTGAGATATATCGTTTAATGCGAAAAACGTCAGTTGCGACAGATTCGCATGTCGGAAACGCTTACTTCCGGTTACCAGTAGCTGTGACCTTTCTAAATACCGCATTTGTATATTATCGCTAACAATAAAACGCTTTAAAGCGGCGCGAGAAGCTTGCGGTAACTAGTAACTACAGAGTAGAGTCATACGGTAGTACGAATGCTATATTCACTGATCACGGCTGTAATACTCGTATAATTATATGGTACTTATATGAGTTATATCTGCAGTTTTTTTTTACAGTAAGTGCGGACCAGTGACAACCGGTAAGCGGGAATTCAAAGTCGGGTTCGGCTAAATTGTAAAACTACTAACAACTTTTGGCTATGAAATTCATTCATTTTAGCCCAGAATGACTTAACCGAAGTACGTTTACTGTAACTAAAATCACGCCGTTGGAATGCGGTCTTCTCCATGCGCATAGTTAACATAATGTTTTAAAACACCATTTCCGCTTTTACTGGTTAGCTGTAGTTTGACATCGTAATAAATATCATTATCGACATAGGTTGCTGTCTGTGTTGTAACTGTTTTGCATAATTACGTTGTAGAATTGCAGGCCTGTAAAACCACACCGGTCCACACAATGACCTTGAGCCCTTTTGTCACTTCTTAGGGTGGGTCTCACATTCAAAGCGAATCTCGTTATGGTACGGTTGCTCAACCGCACGAGGTGGCTGTATGCAGTGGCCACGCCTACAGATACGGTACGCGAAGCCACCTCGCGAGGTGGAGTTGCTGTATCGCAACTAGATTCGCTTTGAATGTGAGACCCACCCTTAGTGTTCAGTGCTTTATGGAGTATTGTCCCTTTCATAAATTCATTTCTTTTTTTGTGAATCATATTGACTTTCCATCTTGCAACCAGTGAAGTTATTATTTTATAACTACCATAGAGCAGGTAGTAGCTAGTAACGATGGACAAGCAGTCGCATAATTATTGTGATATATTATGTGAGCACGATCACTTTGCACGTACACGTACACTTATGCCGCAAAGTGAAATAAATAGATCAGGAGGAAATACGTACCATACAAAAACAACCGACACTGAACGGATATTAAACATGTGTGCATATTAATATACGTTAAATACAACTTTATGTGTGTTATGATTGGTATCTGTATGCACACAAATCGTTTCTTGGTCAAGGCATACGCTGCCGAAATTCGACTACGTCCAAAATTACTTCACATGTCGTGGAAATTCAAAGCAAACAGTTCATTTACGCACACTAAGTTTAGCTGCGGCGCCTATCATAAAATGTCTTCAAGTGGTTGTCCACAAACTCACTTAACTTTGTGCCTCATCCTCACCGAACACACTTATACGAAAAGAGCTACTCGATATATTTCGTGAGATAATGAAATACTTCGCATGTCCTAAAATGGCAAACGTGACTTGTTTTAGGCGATATGTTAACAATCCCTTGTTTTCGATTCGTTTAATCCAGTTTTCGAATTTATCTCATATTCATGTGCGATCTCATTGATCTGCATGTAGTAAATGTTCAAAGGCTCTCGCCTACTGGTCACAATCGATGTGTGCTGTACCACAAACCTTCAGTTTAAAGAAACCTTATAGGTAAAAAAGTCCACGGCGAGCATTTATGTTTTTGATTAACTGTGTAACCGGAGGGTAATGTTTTAACAATTGTTTGGAATGCAAATGTTTTTGAAATTAGTCTTCCTGATGCTCCATCCGCCTTGCAACATAAGTGCTCAGCTAACTACTAACTCGGTAGGATAGCATAATAATTATGTTATACGAGTGCAACACTGCAGGAACACCTGTTGATCATTTATATTACAAACCCAGGAAGAATTCCAATTGACTGCTGGCAAAATCGGTTTGCTACGAAATACCCTTTTAACGTGCCGTATTCATATAATTATAAGGTAAACCAAATAAAAGACTAAACAGAAACAGTAGCAAGTGGCCGCTACGCATAAACCAGACCGTGTTGAAATAGTGAAAAATGTAAATAAACCCTACAGTTATGTTGGATTTGCAGAGCAGTCACACAGTCTCATACCTCGTAATGTTATGAAGCCTCTCCCTGCATAGTAAACGTGCAGTCATAATACTTATGGTTAGCACAGTATCACAAAACACATAAAACGTTTATTCTGATAGCAAATTATTATTCTGTAACAAAGCTTTGTGTAGCCATTCTGCTTCATGATTAAGCAAACAACAAGTTATAAAAGTAATAAAATTTAAGAATTACAAACTATTTACATACCTTGAGCATGCTCAATACCATTCTCTATCATTTCACAGTTCTGCGCATTCAAGCAGATTTCACACGAATTCAGATCAAATATTGGCTGAATATGTACAGGTGTGCGTCCATGTAGGCGTCCCTGCTGAGTGGCTAGCGACAGAGGATCCCACAAGTGACTGCCAGGGTGTCCGCGTCACATCGGGCCGTAACAATGGTCCCGTAGCAGAGATACTGCAAGTAGGCTCTACATCTGTATCCTTTTTCGTTTGTAAAACAAAACTTTTGCACAATTTCGTCCAGCATTTAATCGTTTTCTTGTTGAAAACCCAGCATCCTGTCATCATGGCTAAAAATAGCGGGATCAACGGAGGGAGGAACAGAATTCCCGTGGCAATCCTGGGAGCTTTCGCTACATCTTTCGTCCACTGGAGATATTTAGCCAGGCTACAGGCGACCAGCACAGATAAAGATAAAATAAATGCGCCACAGAAAAGCAAATTCTCCACATCAGAATGGAGAACCGTTTACGGTGTAAGGGATCGAAGTAGGCACGAATTCGCACAGCACTAATCAGCCCAGATACTGCGCATGTCCCACCGGTGAGCAGATACGCCACGGTAGGAATAATCACAAAAACCAGCAGACCTTCTCGATTCAGGTTGCCCACTCCACACATTCCGGACAACTCACTAGCATCAACCTTCTGCCAGACGATTGCTCCTAAGGTCAACAATACAGGAAAAATCCAGGCGATTACATGATAGCATTTAGCAAGGGAGGAAAATGCTTCAGGTGACCATTTTTGGCAAGCAGATAAAAACCACGACATGGCTAACATGACGCACCTAAAATTACACAGTCAGCAAATAAATGAATTGTAATTTACAAACAGAAAACAAACGCTCAACGTGTATTGTTCGCAAGGCCACAATTCGCACGCTTCTGCTTTCATAAAGGTAAGAAACGGTAAACTCAGTTAAATTCCGGAGAAGTAAAATTAATTCAGCACTTACCATAAACACCCAGCATGGAAAAAGTAATAAACGAGGACAAACTGCAGCATGCAAATGCCATTCCCAAATCCAGATAAACTCCATAGCATCAAATGGGATTTTTCATTGCTGCTATTCGTGGTGCTGCAGCTCACGTGTCGACTGCCCAAGATCAGTCTAACAAAATAGCCCACAGTAACACCCATGAACGACACCGCAATCCAGACTGCTGGTCGCTCTGGATACTGGAAACGACTGAATGAAATGCAGGCCGTCAATGCCATGAAAGATGTGGTCAGAAATCCCAAAACTGTAAACAACAGCATAAAAATCTGCAACAAATATTTGTCCCTTCTCTGGAAGTGCACATCCGTCTCACAAATGGGTACGCAGTGGTGCGCACTTTCGGCGCGCGTTGAAACCCGGACAAAACCGTCTGGACATTCAAATACCGTCGAGACGGTCGGCATCGGCTCATCGGATAGCGTCATTAACTGCAAACCATGCGGATACCGCATGATCGGGGGAGCTACGGTGTAATCCCTGGCAGTCTTCTCCGTAACACAAAGTCCATTTTCAACCAAAACATTACAGTCCAACTGTACCGGCCAAGCAGTTTGCTGATATAGTTTCAACGTGTGTTCGCAGTCTTTTTTCACCGTCTCACACAAATGTCGACAGGCGTAAATTGGTTTATGGTCAAAATTTTTCTGACTCGTGGAGCACAGCGGCACAAATCGCAAGCATAGGAAGAAACGCACATACGGAGAACAATGGGTCAAGACCATCGGCATGTAATTCAGCATATCTATTTCCGCGCTTCTCTGAAAATCAAGAGGCGGTTGGTCCGGGTTGGATAAGGTGACTTTAAGCGACCCCAGAAGTCTGTACTACTTCCAAGATGCACGCCTGGGCCCTGGACGTATACAGACAATGAACGTACCTGATCACTGGCCCCGTTGACTACCGAAAAATCGGCAAAAGTGTAGTTGTAAGGCATATCGCTGCATTGAGGCACTGTAATCCGTTCGCATCTCCGAGCATAAGTTAGTTCTACCATATTTTGTGGGACTCCCGCAGAGTCGTAACTCATGACGGTGGGAGAGCAAAATACAATAAACATGAAAATACTAACACTGATAAGGCCCGAATGCATTTTACTTCGAGACGATAAGTAGGTCTTAATCACATCGCAAAGAAACGTAAATGCATAAGTCCATCGGTTCATGCATCCAACAAGAATCCACGGTTAAGGTGCTGCCACAGCTCAGTTTGGAACGCAATCAAACAAACAGACGGGCCGGTAAAAATTCAGAATTCATAGGCTCCTCCTCTTCCCGAACTTTGCTCAAAGAAGCCGAGCGAGACGAACTGAAAAAGTGGAAATTCGAATCTGTCCAATCACTGCCAATCTGAGTGTTTTAAAGTGCAAGCTGGTGTCTGCCGAGTACAGAGCTCCATACCCTGCAATATGTATGTACAATAGAAGGTACAAATACGTGCTTCTACTTCAGTGAGTTTGAACTTTGAAGTACTTGTACGAGTACCTTGGACCGTACTGATTACTGAAGAAACTGCACAACGTTAAAATTTAAAATCACCTTTGGGCCTCTTCCACCTTGCTTTGATTATGTATTTTCTCATTTTTCTGGACGTGTTTTTGCGTCAGAAATAAGGCAAAATTTACTTACTCAATTAATTACTGACTGGTGAGCTAAAAGATCCAATATTCGTATCTGTGCATTAGCTATGCGTATTTAATTTGCATACAGTAAATACATTACCTTCATATAACTAACTCTCTAAATTAATAACAATTTTTAGAGAGTGACCGGAAGTCGCCGCGCCCTTTCTGCCTAACCCGTGGCCGTCCGTGAAAGCCAAATCAGAAAAGGCAACAAATGTGCCGAATTTTTTACTCTGTAAAATCATTGTTTACGGAGACTTTAAAAACTGGAAATGAGGCGAGGAGGTTATATCGTGCTATACAAAACTGCAATCCAAAATTAGTCTGATAGGGGGTAGGTAACCCAAAGAGTTACCCTCTACTTTCCACATTTTTCCCAATGCAACCTTTTTTCTGCTCCTTGCTTCCTCCGCTTGATCGCGTTACCTAATTTATCGATCGAAGCCTTCGGAGTTTCGTCGGTACTCGGAAGTGTCGACCCTCGAGCAGTCGGCACACCGTGCACATAATAATTAAAATATTTGCGAGATATACGTACCATAAGTGCACAGTACACATCGTACACATGCTGCATAGTTCACAAATTTCGGAAACCTGGCCCAAGAAGTTGTAAACAAGAAGTTGTTGTAAACAATTGATTTCTCTATCGTCTGATACAAATATCGATAACTGCTACATAAAAACAAATTTTTTTCTTCTGTGCACCTGTTTATTTCATGCCCGGTTCTACGGCAAGTAATTTTTTGACGTGCTTTAGACATCGTCGAAGCACAACACGCCGTCTTTAGAACGGCATGTTTCAGTATACTTATGGAGCCCATTTTTTTGTAAATTTTCACGTCTAAAATACATGGTCTACGGAACTATATTATGGCTGTTTGAAACTCAGAATCCTAAGGACACCTTTTGGAAGAATACAAGGGCGCTTTTTTATCGAATAGAACCGAGATGTTCACTGTTGTGAATGTTCTGCCATTTCTGCAAAGCCTTAGCCAGCAATTTTTTTAAGGAAATGTGCCGGTACAGCCGTACAGGTACCAAATTCGAGTACATGTACGAAAAATGCAATTCCGCACACTCCCAAACACTTGTTGCATTGTTTTATGACATTCTAATGCCAAATATCTAATTTGCATCCACTGCAACACTGACGTGAAATCCGTTTTTGCGCGTAATAGCCGGCTGGGGAATTATTGGCGAAATATAACATTCCAAAAGGTGTAAGTACCAAGAGTCGCATTATCGACCGATCTTCTTCAGATTTTGTATGAAAGCGCGCAATAAGATGATGGATGGTCCTTTTCATCCCTAACCGGGTTTTTTTTAACGTTTTTCTTTAAGATTTTAAATGAATTTCAAAAATTGGTATACATCGGTGCGTTTAAACTTTTTGGATTTTAATTGACCCATAATTCCCCCACCGGATGTTGCGCTCGCCAACGGTTTTCACGTTAGTGTATCCAAATCATTTCGCTATAGAATGTCATAAAACTTTGCAGTAAAGTACAATATTTGGGAGTGCGCGAAAGCGAAAGTGACCTTAGAGAATGCTGCACTTATAGTTAACTATTTGCTTGATCCTTAATTACAGGCGGATGACGGACAGATGAAGTTTTCAGTTTTGCATTACATACCTCCAGCCTCTGCCGAGCAAATCAAAAATTTTAAAGACGCCTTTCAATTTTTAACACGGACCATGCAGACCTTTTAGTGGTATAAAAATTACTTTTAATTGGCTATTTGGGGCATTCGTGCGTATTTTGCCATAAATTTCATTTTTTTTATCATCACAGTTGCGGACCATGCAGTTGTCACGGAATCGTTGAAATTAATTCTGATTGTGACCTTTAAAAGAAAGTTTATTGTAGTTATTCTTTTCCTTCACCTTTCAAGCATTCTTCCAGCCGGCACTCGCGACCTTTCTATTCTTATGGTGTTGGCTTCAGTAACAGTCGGCTAAATTTTCCCCAGTTCGTAAAGTACGAGTATGTCACAGTCTATGTGCACCACTGCCGCAGGGCTAGAATCTAAATTCACTGTAAATATCCTTTATGGAGCTCAAAGCGGTCCGCCAACAGGACACATAGATCATTTTCCGGAATATGTTGAAGGTCTTAAAGGTCAGAAGTCCTTACATAATTGTCCACATATTCATATAGTCGTATTAATGCTTGCTTGGAAATGGGTGACGGATAACCGTGAGCACAGTCAAAGCATTTACACCTTTACGCGTTAAAACACCTTACATCGTATAGTTAGTTGATAGGCTTTTGTCAAAACTGCGTTGCCCAATGTCCGCTCGCATTTACATGTACTTATATAACTACATACCTAACTGTCCCTGAAATTATACTATACCTAACTGTCCGTGAAATTGCAGAGTTCCTGCGTCTTGAAGGATTCGCAGTGGTTTTATCGAAATGGACAGTGAGCGGACTTTTCAAAGTTTGCAGTAATGGAGAGACGCTGCACAACGGCAACATCGATGAATTTCGATATGGTGCTTTTACTTTGTGCATCATCACTGATTAAATTTAAACCTTGGAGGCCCGGTAGCTATTAAACTACAAATACTACAATAACTATTGCTGCTACTACTGCAGCTACTCGTACTGCTACTATCGCTGATGTGCATATTGTGAATAAATTTAAATTACTACTACTGCTTTTTTAACTACGTCCTTATATATAGGTATACGTATATAATGATTAATGTGTTTATTGGCAGGTTCTCAGGCTGGAAACATCGAAACGTACGATGGAATTCTGAAGAAGATTGTTTCCTTGTATAATTTACGCAGGGCGGAACATCATGCAAATAGTTCGAAGTAGTTATTACACATCCACGGAAACAATATAGTCGCAAACTTGCTATCAGCCTTCGTTCTTCCGTTTTTTGGAAAAGCCAGGTTAGAAAAGGTGCTTCTGCCATAGTACTCTACTAAAAATAAATATTACTTTAGTAGTTTTATACATTATTTGACACACAGCAAATGTAACGTAACAACAAGTAATTTCATTGCTTATTGAATGTATGTGAGCGGCGAGTCTGAACCTCATTTGGAAGTTTGGAACACCAATTCACGCGACAAGCAATAAAGAGAAAATGTAAATTACTGATGTAAATGTAAATGTAAATTACTAATAAATTCAAAAGAAAGCTAAGAAATAATTGCACCTTCTTGACAGAACACAAAGTAAGAAGTAGCCCATACTTATGCAACTACAAATCAAATACGCGCCAAATCTATTAAGCGCTCGTTTTGCTTTAACAGTAGACTGGTCGACTGGTCATCACGAAAACGTTTTGAGCGCTGTTGTTGCGTTTTCAACGTATCGGTAAAGGTTTTAAAAAACTAAAACTTGTGACCTTTTCTCTTTCCATTGCTTTAAATTGTGTTGAGTACATAAGACTTATCGCGCTTGGTACTGCCGTAAGTAAAGAAATCAAGTAGATGACTTCAAAATGCAAGCATAGTTGGCAGTAACTTGGTACATGTACTCGGACCTGATACAGAACGTATATACACTGCGTGGACAATCTCTCGATTGTGTAGCGGCAGCTTCGGTATAAGAAAGAGGAATACTGGGATTTAAAATAATTTCGGATTTGTGTATATAAAAGGAATAATAATAGTAAGGGAAAGAATTTTGTGAGTGCATGAAAAACATGAGAGGTTGTGGTTGTTCCTTTACTACAGTTGGGAACTTGAAAATTGCGTGTTTAGTCAGTAACTTTCCATAGGTTTACACAGTCATTTTGGTAGTAGTAATATGTGTAGTCAAGAAAGTTTGATTGCTTAATGGAGCGAACTGGTATTTCTTGCACTGATAGTCTTGGATGTGTAGTAACGGGTGGTTTGTATATGGGATGTAGGCTGGGACGTACATTAAAGGTTGTTCAAGAAAATGTTTGGCTTAATTGGTTTGTTGACTGGATTTTTTGAGTTCGGTGGGTATATTAGAAGTTGAGGAAAGTTGTGTTTGAGTTATTATGGATTTGACGAAGCATATGCAGTGAGGAAAATGTTTTTCTTTTTGGTTATTTTCTGATGGCCGGTTTAGAATTTCGGAAGCGTACTGATTTAGGTTGTTGCGTTTTGTTTGGCTTTGGTCTTTTTAGGTTGAGTATAATTTAGTAAGTTTTCTTTCATAGATAGTTTCTTTTAAGTATTGGTTTTTTAATAAAATAATAGAAACTGGTTGTGATCGCAAGAAACACATGCGTGAGTATGTGCGTGATTATAGAAAAAAAACCGCAAAATGGAAACTGATCGTAATTGTAGCAAGGAAGATAATGAAGTAGTGATGATGTCAGACATGAAAATGTAAAGTTAAAAAACAAAAATGTAAACTCAACAGGGTCAGCAAAACACAACAATTCAGGACAAAATCATAAAGTAATGCTTAGAAAAGATCCGGGCAACCATTACACATTACCATACTCCGCAAATGTTGTTTAGCACCATTGTAATATGCTTGGCTACCAATTTTTGGATATAAAAACTTAGCAACACTTTTATTACCTAAATCTTTCCCTTTACAAAAATTGTCATTTCTCTTTACAAAAACTGTCATTTTTAAGAACATAATTAATCGTTCGTTCTACCTGATCCCGTTGATAAAGGTTTAGAGCTCGAAAACGTATGAGCAATCTTTTTGAAACCTATTTTCTGCACTTAAAAGACGCAATTTAAAATATTTTTCAGGAGAAATACTTTAAGGGCGATCATCAGTTAAACCACCATAACCAAACGGAAATGGAGTAGGATACGCTTTTTTCTTCTAATCCAGTTTGTGATTTCCAGTCCCAGATTAATTCCAAAATCAAAAAACCCGTTATTAGAAATCAAAAAATCAAGCGCTTTATAGACAATATTAAAGTCAACAGAATAAATGACTTTTCGACTACAATTATCAAAATCGTTTTTTCTAGCCTGACATACAGCTAATAAACAATCTGTACCCGGACGTGGTAGCAAACATTCGAAATTTTCACTAGGATCACTAAGTTACATGAAATAATTGCGCTACACATTTTGTTAAGCTATTTTTCAAATGCAATATTGTCGAAAAAGGCTGTACTAAACGCACTGCCGGACTTCCATGTAACCAAGATTATTTAACCAATTTTCTCTACCAATATCTAAACAATTTCGCCGTTAATCGTAAACACAAAAATTAAAATTTTTATGTTATGGAAAGTCATACATCCTGCACATAGTCTAGCATCAGCTTTTAAATCACTATGTAACATTCCTGAATTATCACCATTCAAATCAGATGCAACTAAAATATTGCAACAATCGCATGGCAATAAACAACCATGACCTTTCTCCAATATTTTTTTCCGAACAGACCAGAAAACGCACCACCTTTAGTATTCCGATTACATTTTTGTTTTTTACTTTTACATTCTCATATCTACCATCATTACCACTTCCTACATTATCCTCCCTGCTACAATTACCATCAGTTTCTATTTTGCGTTTTTTTCTATAATCACGCATATACTCACGCATGTATTTCTTATGATCACAACCACCTTCCATTATTTTATTAAAAAAAGAATTCTTAAACGAAAATAATGTATGAAAGAAAACTTACTAAACCACACTCAACCAAGAAAAACTTACCAAAGCCAAACAAAAGACAGCAACCTGAATCAGTAAGTATCCACAAATCCACAACGGCCACCAAAAAATAACCAGCAAGAAAAACATTTTGCTCACTCCATATACTTCTTCCACTCTATAATAACTCAAACACAAGATTCCTCGACTTCTTATATACCCACCGAACTCAAAAAATCCAGTCAACAAACAAATTAAACTATACATTTTCTCGAACAACCTTTCAATGTACCTACCAACCTACTTCCAATATACAAACCACCTGCTCCTACACAACCAAGACTATCAGAGCAAAGCATAATAGTCTGCTCCATTAAGCAATCAACTTTCTCGAAATTTCTTGAATTTTCCACAACAATCCATCACCGTCTACAATCCGCTACACACTCCACTTCCTGTAACACTTCATTAAACACTCATATACGAACAACCAGAAAGTCGAATATATTTATACCATACTACAGTAAAACTCCCACTACCTTTACCCTAATTCAATGTAGAACCTTTCTTCCATACACTGGATTAGTACACCTTTTCTTCATTATCACTGTTCGTCAAACATATCACCTTTAATATAATTTACTATATTATTAAATTCCTTATTCAGCACTTTATATTCCTACCCCTTATAATCTCCACATACAATGTGCTCCTGCAATGTACTCTTACATTATGTAGGAGCACATTGCAATGTGCTCCTACATATGTAGGAGCACACTGCAATGTGCTCCTACATATGTAGGAGCACATATATGTAGGAGCACATTGCAAGGTGCTCTTACATATGTAGGAGCACATTACAGGAGCATATTGAATTAAGTTTGTTTGGATACTACAATTCCGTTTTTCTCCTCCAAGAACCGATGCAATGTGCTCCTACATAATGTACGAGCACATTGCAATGTGCTCCTACATAATGTAGGAGCACATAATGTAAACTAAAAAAGATGCCGAGCTAACAACGCCATCTACAACTTTCACGCTTCGTTACTCGACTCATGTCACATGACTCATGTCACATGACTCGTGTCACATGACTGTTAGGCCCCACCGCTTCCTTCAACCGGTCGGACCCTTCCGTACTCTACGGGCGCCAAAATTTTTTTTTGTTTACACACGGATATCGAAGACCAAAACCGAAACTACAGTTTCATATATGCTACGACTGATTCTAGTCGTATACCGCATATAAGAACCTGTCACGGTTCAAATGAACCTGCCGCAAAAATTTCATGTAGACTAGGGTAGACTATAACTGTAACAATTCAAAGTTTGTTCAACCGCTCTGGTCCGCTCATACCAAGTTTTGATATTGACATTTGTGGAGTTTATCGACTTTACTCATGATTCGGTACAACAAGTGATTGGAACTGTTCAAGATTTCCCAAACGATTGGCTTTTGATTTGCTGTTTCGACCCAATGAAGTGGTTTTTTCAGCCCAATATCAGAAAAATGTTACTGTTCTCAATGTTAGGAATACAAAATAAAGTAATTTGGAAATTGTATTACGTAGGCATGTAAGTTCGACAGACGCAAAACTGTATAATTAATTAATTACGCTATCCTATCACAATAATAACAGTGCAGTCAGTACATATAGTTATTAGTTCGTCTCCTAATAATTAAACGCTTGGTTTACTTAATAATCAGTTGATGCTAATAGACGAAGGAAACAACACAAGTTTTTACCTGTTTTTTACCCATGCAGCGGGATAAAAAATTAGAAATTCACATTCAACTATGTACTCGTGTAAATGCGATTTGGGCAAACTTAGGCCGCCCGATACCACCCGGCGGGCACACGCTTTCGACCGATTGGATAGTAACCGGCCGGCTCAAGATTTATAAGTCCAGCAAAGGCGCCTTGCGCCTTGTCTGCCTGCCTCTATCGCACAGTGTCTCAAGACTTCCTTTCAGGCCGAGTCAGCAGTGGATGAATTATCTCGAGAAAACTTTGTCTGCCCTCTTTTGCTCTGTCCTTTTTCATTCGGGAAATATCGATATCCATATCCGTGCTTGATTACCCCTTCCTGCATGTTCCAATGTTTCTGTACTGTATTTATTTGCGAGAACTGGAAAAGTTTGTAAAGTACTTTTGCATGTTCAGTACAGATTTTGCATCCAGCTACAGTACCGTCTGTGCTAAGTTACTTAACATAAAGACAGGGAAGTGCCTAATATTTTTTTATAAGCAGAGCTGTATGCAACGGGAATTCAGAATGATCAAGCATAAATACGAGGATTTGGAGTAAGGATATCCTATCGTTTTGTCTCGGCTGGGGGCTTGGTGTTTGGTTGGATTCCCAGCGTTTCATTTATTTTGTTCATAAATTTAATCCGAAACCATCTTCGATTCGAATGGATTGTTTACATTACCGGAAAGGGCATGTTAAATCAGCTTACTGCATCGAACGTTAACAACAACAAACTGGGCTTTTAACTTGTTCTCCACAGTTACGCCTGTCTATTATTTTTCGGTTTGGATGAATGATTGTGTACCGATCTGGAAGCTTGCTGTATTACACCAAAACTTTGCGGTAAAACGCTAAACATAATGATGAGGGAATCGCATAACCTATCTGTTACCTGTATAAAGAATAGTCATATATTGTAGTGTGGTTTTACACAAAATAATCTTAATTCTACCAGTTGCATCAGTAGTAGCATTGAAACATGATTTGAAATGCTTACGGCATAAGCAGATGTTCCGGACCTAGTTCTCATGCCCGCGAAAAATTGTGACATGATAACTTACGTCTTCTTGTTGTTGACCGGATGTCGCAATGCTCATATCGACGGTTGCTGCAAATTATGAGTATCGAATATTTCAATTTCCCAATAATTATGTCAGTTGGATAACCTAACGTTGGATTATGATCCGGTTAATCAGTACTGCATGCAATGGAGCTATAATCTGTGAATAAACAAAACCAGTTGAAGTTGAAGTAGTTGTTAAGCTATATTATTAGAATTATATGGCCATGCAGTATGGCAGCACCCAGTCTTTCTTGCAGTTCCCGGTTTGCTTGTAAAAGTATATTGAACTGAACACATATGTGAAACAGTAATATTTATGAGGTATACGGCTAACCTGTCGAATATTATCAAGCACGTATTTTTAAAGTGATTTATCTTCCGGTTGCAGATGTGTTACAAAGTGTTTTTGTATCTGTCCTGGATCTTTTCCTGTATTTGTGCAACTGCTGCACAGCAGAGTTACCAGCTTCATCATCCCCAAAGCGAAGCCCATAATTCCCGATGTTATGATGACAGGAGGCGCCCGCAAAAGTAAGTCAATCGCAATTTTTGTCTCGAAGGTTTCAAAAAAGGCAATCGCTACGAGCAGTCAGTACTGTAAAACAACCATTTGCAGCGATAAAAACATGGAATAAAAATTCCGGAATAGTATAACTACTATAACGTTACGATATCAGCTTTAGTTATTTTTGATATTTTTAACATACTGTATACAGTATAGTGTGTATATATTATACTGTATAAATATGTGAAATAGATTTCGCAGTATTTTATCAAACCGTATTATAACAGGTATGCGTGGATCAGTGCGGTATATGCAAGCACACGCTTAGTTTGAACGTACAGTATGTAATGGTTTTCTATATCGCATCTTTAGCTTGCACAGAAAAAGTTTGCCCCTGAAGAGTAAAGATACCGGAAACGATTGTGATTGTAGTAATCCGGATAGAGATGACTGCTGCATTATAATCCAATCCAATCTAGATGTAGCGGTTTAGCGTTGTAGTTCAATCGATCTAGGTCATGTTTGGGAGTATTCACAAATCAGCCTTGCAGATCTGAAAACACTCCGCTTATCACTTTTATGTCCTTAGCGCACGATTACCGTGGTATAGCACCCGAACCGAGAATACGTATCGATGAACTTACATCTGAGATAGAAGTATAACTCAAGTATTGTACTTGACATCTTCGTTTTGCTCCTATCTTGGTTATTATTGCGAGTGGAATATTTGTAAATATTTTCGGTTTATTCATTTTTGGCAAAATTATCTGCGATAGAATTAATGGGAAAAATTAAGCAAACCAATGGGGGAAAATCAGAAGTCCATGCTCAATAAAGATAAATAAAGTTCAATAAAGCTCAATAAAGCTATACTCGATTATGAAATGCACATTGCAACTGAATTAAATTTAGTACTTGATTATTTACACGGTTATTTATCCAGTGTACTTATATTACTTTTTAATGTGCTCAGTATAACGTGCTAAACAAAACGTTAATGCTGCACCAATTTTAGATGTGTTCCGGAATTTGTAAATGCAGCGTTCAACGTTTTGGTGGAGGCCACGAACACCTGCGGCGATCCGCCTCTTGAGTATTGTTTTCAGACGGGTGCTACCGGTGCGACTAAATCTTGTGAAATTTGTGATGCAAGGGATCCCTCTCGATCCCATCCTGCTGACTACTTAACGGATTTTAATAACAACGACAACACAACCTGGTGGCAGTCGACTACAATGCGCGAAGGAGTGCAGTTTCCGAACGTTGTTAATTTAACGTTATCTCTCGGTAAGTCAGCAAGTTTAGCTTTCCTGTTTTTCGGTTCTGTAGTTAACAGAATTAAAAGAATTTTTTTACGTTTCAGGGTTAACTGTTTTATTGTAATATTTTAGTGAGTAATTATTTACGCCATAAGTTCTATAATATTATGGCTCGTAATTCGTATGGTAACTGAAATGCACTACTCTAGTCGATCGCAGACAAGGCGTACATGTATGTGCTGTTGTTCCGGTTTTCCGGTTGAGGTTTGTTTTGAGCATTTCGTCGACTACATTCGTGTGCATTTGGGAGTATATGCAAAAATCGACTGTGAAAATCTCGAGCATCTCAGCGATAAAATCATTTTAATTCAGTCAAGCAGTTTCATTCCGATGTTTAATTAATACTGCTGAATGAAAGTCAGTACATCGCTGAATGTGCAAAGTAGTATGCAGAAATTTTCAGCACAAAGATACGATCATATCAGCTTTATCCGGCATATGCCACCCGTGGGAAAGAAGCAGAGAGTGTCGCTTGCTGTTGCTCTGCAGTGTTGATGATTTGTACAAACTATGTGCAAAGTTCATGTAAACGTTATTTTCGCCCAGACAAAGGCATGCAGTAATGCTAACTCGTCCGGTGGTAGTTCAGGCACAAAACTTACCTAGCGTCGTTCAATAAAAATAAATTTTAGTGACATTACCGAGCTGTTTTGTATGCTCCATTTCTGACGCACAAGTTTGCAGCGCTGGAGACATGAAACGCGCTTTTATATAAAAAAATGGGTTTATCTGATAAACTTAAAACAGCATATCTATTAAATTTTTGCTTTTGTATATTCAGAAACGAGTTGGATAATTCGTTTGTGACACTTAATATCACTCAAGTAACTTTGCTTATTGATGCACACAGGAAAAGCGTTTGACATTACCTACATTCGTTTAAAATTCCAAACCAGCAGACCGGAAAGTTTTGCCATTCATAAACGGACACAAGAGAATGGGGTATGGATACCCTATCAGTATTACAGCGCTACCTGCCGTGAAACATACAGTTTATCAGAGGATAATTATCTTCGACGAGGAGACGAGACTCGAGCCCTGTGCACATCGGAATTTAGCGATATTTCTCCCCTCGTCGGTGGAAATGTGGCTTTTTCAACTTTGGATGGACGCCCAACAGCCGTTGATGAAAGCAACGCACTGCAGGTTCATAATTTTTAATAAATTTTCATCAAAACACTGCGAAAGTAAATAGAAATTATTATGAAAAAAATGTTTAAAATGAACAAATTATTTTGTACAAAAATTATTTGTCCTTTCTCAATATTTATTAAAGCCTTTGTTTTTGGCTCTGTGCTTTGACGGAATATGATTGGCAGGAATGGGTGACAGCTACGGATATAAGAATTTCTCTTCAACGTCTTAACACATTCGGCGACGAAATTTTTGGTGACCCGAACGTACTGAAGTCGTACTATTACGCTATCAGCGACTTGGCCGTGGGAGGCAGATGTAAATGCAATGGGCATGCATCTGAATGCGTTCGGAGTACAGGTCAAGGCCTGGAAGAACGTCTCGTCTGTCGGTGCGAGCACAATACGGCCGGGGTCGACTGTCAAGAGTGTTTGCCTTTTTACCAGGATCAGCCATGGCGGCGCGCAACAACCGAAAATGCCCATGAGTGCCAACGTAAATAGCGGCTCAAACGAGCGAAGAATAATATTATTCATATGGTGATTGTATTTTAGCTTGCAACTGTAATGGTTTGTCCCACCGGTGTTATTTCGACTTGGAACAGTACCGTCGCACCGGCCACGGCGGCCACTGCGTTGACTGCGCGGGAAACACCGACGGTCCTCATTGTGAAACGTGCAAATCCAACCACTATCACCGGCCGGGTGATCTTAGCCGTCATTGTCTTCCATGCAACTGCCACGAGAAAGGAGCTTACAAATCTCAGTGTAATGATACTGGAGTTTGTGAATGTCGTCCGGGCGTGGCCGGAGCGAAGTGCGACCGATGTGAAGTGAACTTCTACGACTTCACCGATCGAGGATGCCGACCCTGTGGATGTACCGTTGCCGGAAGTGTGAACAACATTCCAAGTTGCACTTCGGACAAAGGACAGTACGTGGTCGATATTGAGTCACTGTTAAATGTTGATACTCGTAAAGCGTTGCTAAACCTGTGGAAATGTGAAATACGCGACACACAGCTGTAGACAAGAAAAATGTGGAACTTAAGAACTCGACTTTCGATAGATGTTCCTGCAAGGTGCAAGTGGAAGGTCAGAATTGCGACAAGTGCAGACCCGGATTTTTCAACCTGGAAGAAAACAATCCGTATGGTTGTTTGTCGTGCTTTTGTTTCGGCCATTCATCCATTTGCAGCAGTGCCACTGATTATTCGCGAACAAGCATATCCACGGATTTTTCGAATGGAGTTGGTGGTTGGACAGCAGTATCACTAAATGGTGCGTCAAAGACCGTATTACGGCGAGAAATATCTAATACAAGAACGCCATACTTGCGTTCGATAAAATTTGATGCTGTGTATATAAGTTCCATGCAAATATTGAATTTACCTGCGTACTTGATTTTGGGTACTCGTGCATCGCTGATTTCGTGCTATGTTCAAACTTTTTCGTAGTACTTACGACTACCGACTATCCATGAAATTATTAATGGTAGAAAGAGTAAAATTTTGTTCTTTTATTTTTGTTAACGTCTCTGCTTTTGGTTTCAGGGAGGAATGTGACCTTGGAAATTCTTCCTACTGGTCCGAACGGACTAGGGATTAGGCAGCACGGCGCGGATCCAATATATGTTTTTGCTCCTGAATCTTATCTTGGTGATCGGCGTTTCAGTTACGACCAGAATTTGACATTTGCACTGCGACTATCGCAGGATGGTGCTCGCGCTTCCATACAGGACATCGTAATAGAAGGGCGCGGTATGGAGTCAGAAACACTGAAAATTTCTGTACCGATTTTCGCTCAGGGTAATCCAATGCCGAACCGGGCGAAGCAAACTTACAAATTCCGATTGCATGAGCAAAAGGAGTATGGATGGAGTCCCAGACTGAGTTCGTTCGAATTTCAGGTGCGCCACTGTTTCCAATCTTATACGCCGCGTTTGTTATGTTTGTTTTTTGTTAGTTACTTCTTGATCTCGATTTATTTTTATTTGCACAGTTGTATCTGGATCAATAATCTGATCTCCGTAAATGCAGAGATTCAGACTTATAAAAGCTGTGGACAATTTTTTTATTGTTCACTTAATTGAACATTTTGCCTTTTACTTTTCATTGATGTTATTTTCTTGTTATTTGTAAATTTGCACTAACAATTAAATTCTCTGCAGCGCCTGCTTTCCAATGTTACGTCGATTCGAATCCGCACGACATACGTGACCGATGGTACCGGTTACGTCGACAACATCTCGCTGGGTTCAGCATCGCCGATTTCGGATTTTGTCACAAAGGGTGTCGGTCAGTTAGCCAGCCACGTTGAAACGTGCCAATGCCCCAACGGATACGTAGGACAGTTCTGTGAAGATTGCGCTCCTGGTTTCCGGAGGAGTGTATCGGGCGGCGATGTGTTTGCCACATGTGTGCCTTGTAATTGCCATAACCATTCCGATACGTGTGACCGGAAGACCGGACGGTGTCTGTGCCAGCACAATACCGCTGGTGACAGTTGTGAAAAGTGTGCTCCGGGGTTTTACGGAACACCGCAGAATGGTAAACCGGACGCCTGCCAGCCGTGTCCCTGCCCGAGGAATGGTCCTTGCGCATTATTAAACGACAAAGATGTGGTTTGCACTGGTTGCGCAACGGGATACGCTGGTATGGGATGGTTTGCGACATTAAAGCAGTGACAAAATACTAAATAAATGTGTAGTTAGCCGATTGAACAGGGGTGACATCAAAACTACCAAATCGTTATGCTGAATATTGGATGCTGACATAGTGGTTACATTACAGTAGTTAGTGAACCCACACTAAAATCATACGAAAAACATTCTGTTGAATACTCGCCAAAATCACTTCCCTCAACTTGATATTTTGTGACATGCATTTATATTTACTTTTCGAATTTTATTATTTTGTAGGTCTTCGTTGTGAGTTGTGCGCGGATGGATATTTCGGTGACCCGGAAGGCAAGCACGGTCCCGCTACGGACTGTCAGCCTTGCAACTGCAACTCCAACATTGATCTGAATGCTGTGGGCAACTGCCACCCTCTGACTGGGAAATGTTTGAAGTGTATTCATAACACTACGGGAGATAGTTGTGAGCAGTGCCTGGCTGGTTATTATGGAGATGCATTAAAAAAGACTTGCCGACTCTGTGATTGTTATCCTCCGGGTACCGAGCCATCGAGTGGGAACGTTTTGGATTGTGACAAATCCAGTGGACAATGTCCATGCAAGCCTAACGTTATTGGGCGCAAGTGTAACGAAGCGCCTATCGGTAAGCAATTCGTTTTTCAAATGTGAGGCTTTTTTATTGCAAAAAGTCATGAGTTAGCTTTCTCTGACATTATTTGATAATATGTAGGTTACTGGAATTTGATCTCCGGAGAAGGTGGTCAGCGGTGTGATTGCGATCCGAAAGGGTCATACAATCGTTCGTGCCATCTCATGACTGGGCAGTGCTTCTGTCGTGATGGTGTGACGGGACGTCAGTGCGATCGGTGCCTCCCATATCATTATGGGTTTTCGGCTACGGGATGCCGTCCGTGCAATTGCGATGGAATAGGAGCACTGAGCCTGCAGTGTGATGCTAATACTGGACAGTGTCAGTGCCAAAAAGGGGTCGTTGGGAAACAGTGTAACCGATGCGAGGAAAATCGGTACAATATATCGCTGGGCTGTCTGGAATGCGATGTGTGCTACGGACTGGTTAAAGAAAGCGCTGATTCATATCGGACTAAACTGCGGAAGCTGGAAGCGGCTCTGGATAGCGTTGCTAACACAGCCGTAGAGGTTAGTGATTACTGTTCAGCAATGTATTGTATGTACATCAGTACACACTGTTTGAATAAGGGGATAGTCAACTGTTAATCAGGACATCTCCGTAAAAAAATGCATCCGTACCGTTCATCGTAACTACTGGTTGATGGTAACCTGACATTGCCGAATGCCATGTAGCAGATACCGTGTTATGCGTGTATTCTCTCATCCTTATGCACCCAAGAAAATTGTTGGTTTTGGCTTGGCAGGTTGAGGATTTGGCTGGTTTTAAAAATCGAATGGATTCATTAGCGCAGCAAATTTCGACGCTGGAAAATATGGCGTCTACAGCCATTGGAACCCAGGTAACGGCGGCGGATAGTGCTAACCTTATCAGCCGGTTGGATGAAATTACCAAACGGATCAGCACAATAGAGCAGAAGCTCCATAATATGTCAACGTTAATTGAAAGCGGACGAATGTTTGCCAATGATGCTAGTTACGTGGTGGCGGAAGGCGAAAAACTGGCCAAGCGTTGCTTCGATGCTCTTGCAAGCGCTCGCAGTTACCTGGAGAACGAAGCGCGGGACGCCTTTTTATCTGCTAAAGATGCTTCTTCTCGCTTTGGACAGACTTCTAATAAGATGTCTGAGGTGAGTAATTACATTCCCCAGTCCGTGTACGGAGATCACGATGATAGCTTTGTAGATTGCACGTGATTCGCGAAGACTTGCTGACGAGCATGTAGCGGCGGCGCAAGGGATCATCGAGTTGGCCGACAAATCTCTGAACTCATCTCGCGATGCTCTTCGCATTTTAGCTGATACTGTTGCTCGCAAAAACAATAATTCCCATATTCTGGATGAATTACGCCGGGAGCAGTCGTTGCTGCAGTCATTGCAGACGCGCGTACAAAATTTGGCTAGCAAAGCCAAAGAAGATGCCGACAAAGCATATGCGGAAGCTTTGGAGATCTACACTCAAGCAAGTGGAATTACTGTACCGGTTATTAACGTTTCGTCGCTGCTAATGCAGGCTCAAGATATAGATCAGGGATCGCAACAGATTGCCAATTCATCATCGAATCTGCTTAGTGGTGAGTTTTATTCTCGTCAAATACATTTTAGTAAATTACGTTCAAAACATCCTAGGCACCTGGTGAGACGTTGAGATCAGTGTCTGTGAAACATATTTGTAAACTGAAAACGTCCGATCGCCCATTTCGGCCTATGGACGTTTTGGCATACAATATTTTTTAATGTGCTTTTCGCTGTCGTTATTGGTTTGGCAATCTGGTTCTGACTCGGGATATGCTGCCGTATATTCAAATTGTTTCTAAACCGTAACATTATTTTACATGACCTCTGCCGAAATAACAGCGCAGTCAATGTATCGTTGTTTGCACAATGCTGCTTCGTATTGTCACGATGCAGAAAGCATATTGTTCGGTCGCTAACAATACTGAGCACTTAAAAACTGATGATAATATATAAATTTTTTTGCAGGAAACGCAGCACTTTTGGACATGATTTCCGCTGAACAAAAGCGAGCGGAGATAGCTTTAAACACCAGCAAGTCATTGCAACAGGACACGGATGCAATGGTGGCCGACATGGATAAAGCTAAGGATGATGCGGAAAAGGCAATCAGAAAAGCAGAGAATATCCTGAAAGAGGCCAAAGAAACTCTGGAGACACTCCAGGGTTTCAACGCCGTAGCTGATCAAAGCAAGGCCAAAGCCAAGACGGCTATCGCCGAAGTTCCCACCATTGAAAACGGCATTACCGAAGCCCAAAGAAAAAATGACGAAGCCACAGTGGCGCTTAATGCGGCGGAAAGGGACGCCAGCCAGGCTAAAAATATTGCGCTACAAGCACAGAAAACCGCTGAAGAAGCGTCCAAGGTGACATGATTAGATAACTAGTACTGTTTGTTGTATTGATGTTTATTAATACGTTGTTTCATTAGACGGCTGGAAAAATCCGAGAGGATTCAAATCAGGCCAAAATTTTTGCTAGCGGTCTGAGGGATAAGGCCGGAATTTTGGCCGGCGATGTTAATCGAGCGAACACAGAATTCGAAGGATTAGTCACAGAAGCGAAAGCCGATGAGGCTGCGGTAAAAGAAACAACCGAAAAGACAGGAGAACTTACCCGGAAAGTGGAACAAGCCAAGATCAAGGTTGATCAAGCCTGGGACAACGTGGAAGACATTATCCTGCAGCTGGGTAACCATGACGTATTTTTATAGCGCTAAAGTTACCGATATATTACGCGTCCCAACATACAAGACACCTATTGTAGAGCCCTGCACGAGCCGAGCAGCTCGGCTCGGCTCACGAGCGCTCGCTGCTCGCGAGCGCTTCGAGCGAGCACGCGCCGTTTTGCGTTTTTGCGAACGAGCTGAGCATCAGGAAAAAAATAACGAGCGAGCCGAGCGAGCGGGATAGCCGGATGCGAGCGATCCCGAGCTGGCCGCCTTCTGCTGTCCGAATTGAAAACTGTTGTGAGAAACTGCATAAAAAAAGCTCTTAAGGCCCTTAATCCATCGTCAGCGTCGCGCTTCGCGCGACAAAGTTTTCATTGTGTTTTCAGGCTAGCAACAGCCTGGTAGGCGTGGTAGCTAATACAGAAACATAACTACGGTCAAACGTTGAGGACAAACGGAAACCGATGTTGTACAAGGAGCATGGGTTATTTATTTGGGCGCGGTGTTGTGCACCGGATGTTCAGCTCATGATCTATGCATGTACAACAGACGGCAACAATTTTCGCAAGAACAACAACATCCTGACGTAAACACACAAAGTCTGCCAACATGAACAATTTCGTTTTATTTGACGGGTTTTACATGCCCAAGGAAACGAAAGGGAAACAAAGAAAAAAAAACAAAGCGGCGGGAGGGGTGGGAGAAGCCGAACAGGCAAAAGTTTAGAACTAACTGAAAACAGTTTGGTGCGTGGTCGCTGCTATATATTGGCTTGAGTGCAGATAGGTCTGGATCCGCTTTTATGTCCGGAATCCGCCTTCGATCCATTCATAACAGCAAAGGGTCAGCCGTTTTGACCTCGTTATACTCAGATTCTCCAGCAAGAATCTTTCTCATAACTTCGCCCTTAAATAAGGGTTGGAGATGCTGAGTATTCGAAAGTGCAGCAAGTAAAAAGTAAAAATATCAAATATGGAATTTGATTTTGAATTTAGGAAGTTCTGTTTCCAAAAAACACGAAATTGCCATTAGATAGCGTAACAGTGTGGAGGTGAAGCAGAAAAATCGCAGATCGTCCACGAAAGTGCTCTTAGCGGACAAATAAATTTTGTTAAATGCTAGTCGCGCACAAAAAATTTTATTTTCCTGTATAATTAATTTTCGTTGCCGATCTTGCGAGCGAGCCGATTTGAGAACATAATAAGCACGAGCGAGTTGAACGAGCAGGAAAAAAGAAAAGCTGAAAAATGAGCGAGCCGAGCGAGCAGAGGTAGGAGCGCGAGCGAGCTGAGCGAGCAGGAAATTTTGAAAAGCTCAAACGAGCGAGTCGAGCAGCACTTTTACTGCTCGTGCAGGGCTCTAAGGTCCTATTGTAAGCAGCGCGGCATATACGCATTACCAACAAAATAAAACTGAAGCTTCCTTTATTTATAAGGTAAATAACCGTCGTTTTCAATAGAAACAGGTAAGATAAGTTTTAATGGTTTTAGCTGATGTGGACGATATCCAGCCAGGCCAGCTGGATGAGCTGGAACTACGACTAAATGCCATCGAAGCCCAGCTCGGACAAACGAATTTGGCGCCAAGACTGCAGAACTTGACAAATCTTCGCCAAACACAGCAGAGAGTCATTAACGATTACACTCTGGAACTGGATCGTCTGAAGAAAGAAGTGGTCACTATCGAAGCTATCAGAAATTCTCTTCCCGATAAATGTTTCAATCAAGAGCGGCTGGAGCAGTGATTTTGTCTGTAGACGACGAATGTTTTGCCTTTTTTTGTAAACTTCGATTTGAAGGTACGCGCCTTGTTCCGGGTGCCTGTGTGCTTCCAGTAATGGTTGGTTGAAAATTTTAGCTTTTATGAATTCTGTTTTTGTATGACCAGTGTATTTGTTGTTGTTCCAGTATTCCATGTTGTGCTTCCTAAAATCTACTTCACGACTTTGGATTGTTATGCGCTTTAACTCAATACTTTGAATATTTCGATAGCCGATTGTATTTAGATTGTCAGTGTTATTTGTTGGTGCCACAGAACAGAATGGAGAGCCCTGATTGTTTTTCTGTTTAAGAACACACACATTACGTATTTAGTTTAAGAATAATTACGTATTTAGTCGGCGTTGGCATTACAATGGTGAATATTTATCACAACATAAATTACGACATACAGCGTTAAATTTTAATATGCGCACCATTATCTTTTTAGGGTCACGTTTTAATGTCGAATGTAGTGTGTAGCGTCGCTCCAGTGTGATAATCGAATTACGCTGTTATACGGTTTAACATTCTTCTAAGAGCTTTTTTTACGATGGCCAGTTCCGTTATCATATTATCTTATCTGTTATCTGAGCGCTCAATTTCTAAATTTTTGGTGCTCGTGTCTTCGTTTCGGATTGCAAACCTTTTCACCTTCCAAGTTGTGGATCGGCTTTTAGCAATAATCGATATCGAGTTGACCACGCTTCTTGTTTAAGGAAATCTAATTCTGTGATTTCAGTAACAGTTACAGATAATTCAGTTAAGCCATATAATTGTTTGCGTGGATAATTTCTATGATGTAGAAATTGGTTTTTTTATTACATATGTCAGTGCATCTTAAAACCTACACACATCGGTATTCGTTATGCGAAATGAGCGGACCTATACTAGCTCACCGGTGCGATCTACATTTCCGTAATAAGTGTAATCGAAACAATAGCTGCAGCTGCCTTCATAGCCTATAATTGTATTAGAAACTCCTTGATGGGAGCATCGAAGCAGGACACCTGGCGCACAAGATGTGCAAGGAAATTGCGCATAAATAACCGCATCGTTCGAGGTTTCCTCGCCGAATTCCTGGCTACCTTTGCAATGATTGTAAGCTGCTACACCAGTATTTCGCAAATTCTTTGTTGAAGTGTTTTCGACAGTCTTGCTTCGATATTATTTGTATTACAAACTATAATTCTATAATCCATTTAGGTTTTTGCTAGCACAGCGGGTGTATCCAACTTAGCCAGATCCTCAAAATTCAACATTCCGCCAGGATCAAACATTTTAATGATCTGCATCATCCAAGGAGCAGCGGTGACCTTTGCCATTTACATTGCTGGAGGGAAGCATTTGCATCCTCTAAATTGCAGAGATAGCTGAGAGAGAATTAACCTGTAGTTTATTTCTGAAATGTGGAAAAAATTTATTACAGGAATAACAGGAGGTTTCTTGAACCCAGCAGTTACTGTGGCCTGGACTATTCTTGGTCGGCTAAACTGGAAAAACTGCATTGCATACTGCATTGCCGAATATCTTGGAGCATTTTGCGCTTCGGGAATAACATTCCTGACCTTTTACGGTTAGTATGGTTCTGTGTTGTTGAAGTTTTGATTCTAAGACCGTTGCCCTTTTCTGGAACTTAAACGCCTATAACATTCAGTAATAAGTCATTTCCTGTCTCGGGTAAATGTAAGGAGTGACATACTGGCCGGATGCTACAGATTTATTCTTCGAGGCAAGGCAGAGTGGTCCGCCACCGTCTTATCCCATTCCATGGGTCGTACCCACTACGGAACACTTGACTGTGGACGGCAACACAACCTTATTTGGCGCTGGGGTTGCGTATCACGATTACAAGAACACATTTGGCACATATCCGCGTGACGGAATCAGTCTTGTCAATGCCTGGATAGACCAAATTGTGTGTTCCATGATGCTTTTAATTGGTGTACTGGCGGTGTCTGATCGTCGCAACTGGAGGCCACCTGATGGATTGTTTCCCATAATTGTTGGCTTGATGGTCATGGTAAGTAAAGAAGATAAAACAAACTAAAACGTATGCTTATACATTGCCTTAAAACTTAAACCATGTGCCTAGTTGCAAATAATACCTGCAAGATTAAAAATCTGCCAACAGTTGCTTGAGCATATGAAGCTTTCATACTCCATGTTCCTAGAACTAAAGCGAGACTTTGGTGACCTTTCCGCTTTCTAATGCCTTCTGCATACTTACATCGATCACTATTCAGACGTAGGATACTGCTGCATGTTGCAACTGTCATGAGCGTTCTGTGCACCTTAGCAAGAGCGATGTCAAAAGTCAAAATTGTATTTTAGTTTTATATACAGTACAAATACGTAAACGCTTGCGCCAGTGGATACTAATTAAAATGATTCAACTTCGAACATTGAAAAAACAAAACAAAAAGTTATTCGTAATCTTCTGACGCGTATTCGACGTTCCCAGTACGGCTGCTGCATTTCCTCACACTACTGCAAGACTTAAACGCTCCCTCAAAAACGCCGTCGAACGAGGATCCCTGGTAGTTTCGCGGTCTGACCGATAAAACGAATCATTTCAGAGAAGGCCGTAATCCTGCAGACGAATGATACAAGTGCACCAAAGAACTCTACCCTCTTCAGCCAAAAAATTACATTAAGCAGTATGCTATACATCATTTATGCTCGACCAAATGCAAGTGTACGACTAAAACTAGGCACTTGCATCTGTTTTTTTTATTTGCTATTTGTTTTATTTGCTACGGCTTTGCTTTACCAAACTGTCTGCAGAACATACCGTTGCAGTACAGTAAAACCGTACGAAACGAATTAAAGAATTTGAATTCAACTAGATATTAATTATTTAGGTCTACTGAAATCCTGTTTCGTCTGGTAAAAACCAATAAAATATTCAAAAATTCCTTTTTTAATTCAAATTTTCCTTTTTTGATTTGTAGACAGTAAATCTTGGATTCAACTTCAATACCGGTTCAGCAATGAATCCCGCAAGAGATCTCTCGCCAAGGTTGTTTTCCTATTTGATCGGAATGGGACCCGGCATCTTCGAGTAGGCATACAACGTTGCATATTTTATATACGAGTACACAATGCTGTCACTTTTGTAATTGTACGAGTACTGTGTTTGTACTTAGAATGTATTTTGCTGCGAAATAAAATAAATTTTGGACAGGGAAATGGATTACATGTGGTTCCTTGTGCCTATTCTTGGATCACACGCTGGAGCAATTTTAGGCGCGATGGTGTACGTCACTTTCATAGAAGTCCATTGGCCAGAAACACCGAAGAGTATCGGCAACCGAGGTAAGTGCTGCTGTCATAATTAAACCATAAATTAAAGCTCTTATTTGGTTTTTGTAATAATAAATTAACATTACCTTTTCTTTATGCTAAACTTGAAGTACGATCGGAACTGTCAGAATCAAGCGCGGTACTGACGGCCACTAAAACGGTTATGCCGGATAGCAATGAATCGTATCCACATCCTGTCCAGTTACTGGAGGAAAACGTACCAGGTCGTGTGGATCACAGCTGCTGAGTTAATTACGTATCCAGAAAAGGAGTGCTTTGAGAATATCCTGGCTTATATGGTACTACTCTTCTCAGTAAAACTGCTTATAAAATAATATGAACTGTAATGCGCATACTATGTACAATACTGTACTACGTTTTGTTCTTTGCAACAAAGGTCAACGTTTGAGTTTTCATCTACTTTCTAAATGAGTGTTAATACTGTTATTAGTGGCGAACGACGACTGCCACATTGAATGCTTTAAAAACACAACCTATATGGCAAACGTGGAACGAATATGCAGTAACAAAACTGCGCATGAACGCTAGCGCAAAGTATTGGTCAGCCAGAAGTATTGTATTATTGTAACGGAAGAAAATCCGAAAAAGTAAGTGAAGTCCGAAAGGGATCCGGGTAGCATAAGGATGTGGTACGTACTGTGTTGTCGAGTCAACTTGGCACCTTTTTTGCCAAGTTGACTCGACAACACAGTAACGTTGGTGGAAAGTTGGAAATCCCAGTCGATGCCGCTCACCAACATGCATTTTTGGCGAATAAAAATAGTAAAATACATTACCTTGTTATATGGGATACGATTACGCGCTGGATCAGGACTGGTCCTGGCTGGATGCGTACAAAATTACAGATACCTTAAATTAATACGGGTACATACATCAGTTTCCGGTGATTCACTATTGTGCTACCATCGACTTCGCGGCCATTATGTTGATGATTCAATCTTCAAGGTGTATCGATTAATCGATATCAATATATAGAGATATTGAATTCATGTTCAATATTAAGTACTTTCATTTTAGGCTTACGGCTACACGTACTGCAACCGTGATGGACGGTTTCAACCTAGTACGCTACTATTGTACATTTTATTAATACTACCTGTATAAAGCATATATAGCATGTATGAATGAGTCACCCCATAATCATATACTTATCGCTAAAGAACCTGTGGCCAGCCATTGAGTTTCAGCCACCGCGACGTGTGTACTGTAGCACGGTACTGGCTTTCTAGGTACTTACTTCTGTACCTGTGCTGCAACGGATCGGTTGGTTGATTGTTCGCACTTTCACTTTACTGCGAAGCTGCGTATAATAGACCGCGTGCGATGACAAAGTGCCGCTCGTGGCAAAATTCAAAAGGATACGAAAATTCAAATTCCGCCCCGTGCTCGATTGGCATTTTCAATTCATTTTGGTCTGCCTTGTCAGTTTCTTTAGACAGCCGTGCGATTTGCAACGCCACAAATGAGCATGATTTGACTAAAAAAATTATCAGCTGTCTGAATTGTACTAGTACTCGTACTAGTACAACAGTATTATTCGTGGTTTTTTGAAAACATCTGTCGGCGACAGATACCGTTTGTCGTTGTTGTAACTTTTTATTTAGCCTTTTCTGGCTTTAGTTTTATCTACATGATTATTATAAAAAAATGCATTATTATACGGTCCATTATTACACAGAACAAGAGGCAGATCAGACTCTCCTACGCTAGAGATATGTAGCCTCTATACTTTTAGAACATCACTGATAACTAAACCTAAAAGGATTTTGTAAACAGTTAGTGTTAATATATTTTGTTGAATTGTCAAACTCCAGACCGTTCTGTGAAAGACTGAAAGAGCAAGTTGTGTACATCTGCATGTAGTGCATGTTTCCGATCATAATTTAAAATCCACCGAAACAGGCAAGAGCCATAAAATTCGGTCTGCAGGAAATCATGATTTAGAGGCTTAGCAGGAGCTGGTGTAACTTGGTAGCTTGATAAAGTAATAAAAGATCAAACCAGGCAGTGTTTCCACTGCATTTCAACAACGTCTTTTTTATACTAGGCGCTGTTTAGATGTTTGATATTCAAATCTTTTCATCGCATTCGCGGATAACCGCTTCGGGGACTCCCCTTTTATTCGTAACACGAAAATAGAAAATTCATCAATTGAGCCGGAAACACCAGACTTACGCACATGTAGTCTAAAAGCAACATCTAATTGCCTCCAGAATTTCTCTGCTGATTAAAAGTCTATAGCACTACTTATAACCTGGGATGACACAAACTTTCTTTAGCACAGCTGAACGGTAAACTTTCTGGGAGATAATGCCATCGGGATAGGATTCATCATTCGTGCTCTACTGTACACTTCTAGTACACAAGCAAGAACGAAACTAAATGCGGATAAGTAAACACGTATATACGTAGCTGGACGTTAGAAGTAGATGGCAATTGCGACTGCATTTTGGTCATGCCAGTCATTCCGCCCTACACTGCCCCAAGCCCCCCAAACGAAAATGCCAAAAATCAAAGTTTTTGGAATCTTCAGAATCGGTCTGCCAGAGCGGAAATTCCGAACGCGACGAAATTCCGAGCGCGACGATAATTACCAGCCAATGGCAGCATTCTCGGGGTGGGCATGAATTTTAATTTCGGCCGTCATTTTCATTTTCGACTGGCATGTTCATCCCGCCCAAGAAAATCGCACTGGGTACAATATGCACTTGCTTCGGTGATTATATGTGGTTTTCGCGCTCATAATTTTTTCTCAAATTGAATAAATTTTACGCTTTACCTTGCATATGTAGAAACATAACATTCAAGAGGTTAAACGACAAAATGGTAGATAACTCCATCCAAGTTAACGTGCTGTATGAATTTCAAGAATTATTATAATTCTTCCTTGACGGCGCTGCGCCCTGCATCTTGACTCTTTCGTGATCTCGTGGCGGAATTTGGATACTGCAGGACTTGTAGTTCTCCACGATTTGTACGATGGCTGTATGGATGACCAAGCAAGTGTCGAAGTGATAAAAGATCCGTGATTTGGATACCTTGGTTCTGAGCTCGAAATACGTATTATCCGGTAGGTAATGCCCGATAGGTTACATAGTTCTCATCGCATAGAAGATTTGCTTGTCACTGATCTTTGCATGCTGGTGATGTTGGGGAGCATTGTTTGACAATCTGAACGCTGTATGGAAGTCGATGCTCTTAAGTAACGAAAATTATGGAATATTTTAGTTATATCTGAAACTGCCAATAAGTTGTATAGCTTTATATTTGAGAACTACGGACCGATATTAAAAATTTAATTATTTAGTAGCCGCATTAAACTGCTGCAAAGCATTTATTATTTTGCCTTTTTAGCTGGCTTTCGTATTAGTGCGCATTTACTAGTTCCATTATGAATATGGTTAAAGTTTGTGTTAAAAAAATCATGATCAGTTCAAAGTGGCGCAACGTGACCACAGTCTTGCCATGCCTGCACTTTTGCAGCGAGAGACTTGATTATTACAGCGCGTATAACAGTGCTACTTGAGTCTCATTGTAGCCGGTTTATCGGGCAAGGTTAACGATAATTGTTTTGAATGTCGCAAAGATAAGCTTCACATTCCGTTAGAAACTATCGGGACGTGGCGACTAATTAATTGGTTTCCAGCTGATAACGTTACGTTGGCCGTTAATAATGTCCGAAAAAATATAGACTGTCCATTGAAATGATTTATTATGCAGATGCGGCAACACGGTTCGCGAGATTGTCAGTCGGTCTTGTTTCACCGTGACATCTGCAAATATTGACCTGGTTAACTGAATTAACGGGTTCAGTTCTACACTTCCACAATGGCAGTGAAGTACTGGGAGGGGTTTATATTGAATTATCGAAACGGGTTTGCCGATTTTAGATTACGCCATCGAGTGAGCAACATGACGATACATAAGTTCGCAGCACAAAAATCCCAAGATTTGTTATAAGTTTAACGCAAACAAATTAATGGTCATGACAATGCTACTAGCTTAGTAATACTAATTAAAGATTGAGTGTACAATGTAAATGAATCCACTTTTTCTTTTTGAGTTGTTGTAAATTTTAGAATAGATCAAATCGGGGCAAATGCTTTTGTTTTCGTTGGTGTGACAGTTGGTTCCGAAGAAATTGTTTAAGTGCTCTAGAGAATGGCACTGGGAAATGCATACTTCTATGGATTGTAAAATCTTTTTATGGATTGTAAAATTAAACTATATATATGAGCTCATATATTTATTATATATCTAGTATAATAGTGAACGAGCTAGGCCGAAACCTTTTTTATTGCTGAACGTATTTATTTGTAGCAAGGATAGTTCGATTCTGCGCATATGTGGACATGTTAGTGGACTTACCGTTAGTTTGAGAAACGACAAAAGTTGGCGTCCAAATGGTCAAAAACCGAAACTCTGTGCGCAAAATATATCGTGTAGGTAATACTGGGCTATATCACTGTATGAATATCTATAATATGATTCTGTGTTATGCTGTTCATACGGTACATGTCTGAACATTCACTACTGTATGTGGTCCATAGAACTTGATCTAGTCGAAAAAGATTGGGCATTTTGAATTTATTGTTACTCCGAAGTAGAGTGTTTGTTATGAACAACAATAAATGCTATGCCGGTTGAATGCATTTTATGATTGTTTGGACGTTTTCGTGGTTATTAAACCAGAACAAAAGGACTGGTGGGTGTAGGTAGACCAGTGTATAGGCACAATGCAGTGAACCTATACTACCCCGATACTTGTCGCCTACAAGTTGTAGGCTACAACTAAAATTTATGCTTTATGATCACTATAACCTGTACGGTTTGGATCATTAGCCGAGATTTTGTTTGGATTTTTTGGTTAATCCGGTTGACGTGACATGTGGTGCCATAGGCTTTAACTTCGTGAAAAAACTGCATCAAGTGCTCGACAAGATTATATGAATTTACGGCACATTAAGGGATTAACAGCTGTTTTTCGGGCCTTCCTGACCATTAATCTTGTTCAGTGTGGCGGTGACTTTTATTAAAACCCACTATCTGAAAGCGTATGTAGCTTTGAATGCTTTTTTTAAAATGTCGGCAGACTGGTTCAGGAGTGAACATTGTAGCGCTCTAATTATAGCCGTGAAAATCTTACGTGCGCATTGCGCAGTGAACGTCCGTATATTGCTGCAGTGCTTTTTATTGTTAAATTACTTTTATGTGTTATGTTATATACTTAGTTTAACTTTTAATAGTTTTTTGCTTTGATATTGTCTTGATTATTGTTTTCAGGAGCAATTTAGGGTGATGGCTAGTTCGTACTGTCTCCTACCAAATTTCGTTATGTTTTTCATTGTGTCTGTTGTTTTTTCGCCTACTGGCCTATAAAGTTATAATTACCTTCGTACATGGCCTAGATATGAAATCTTCGTAGTACATCGTAAAGTATATCTCCGAGCATATTGCATCTTTAGCAAGGTAATTAACGCATAAGAGATCTGAGCGCAATCCATATCATGTTCTTTATTTTGACAGCACAACAGTGAGATGACCTTCTTTCGGCGTAAAAAATCGGTGAACATTACCGACTGTGATCCGACATATAAGGTATGTCGAGCAAATCGGTTAATACCATACTATGCATATCGATTGTGGACCATGGTGGAATTCAGCGAAATGATTCTTGTTGTTTCCAGGTGGTTTACCTCGGTAATGTCCTCACCCTTGTGGCCAAAGGAGACGCTTGCGTAGAAAAACCGTTACAGACTTTATGGAAAAATTACACGGTTATGCAAAGAAAGGACATCAAAATGAAGCTGACAATTTGCAGTTCCGGTCTAAAAGCCGAAACCACAGAACACGGCTTAACGGAATACTGGTACGAAGATGATAATCGGTTTTATGTTTATAGCTAGCATGTCAGCCACTGCACATCCTGACAAGATGCTTAATTTAAGATAACAATTCCCGAGCTGGAACCATAAGAAGCGGGTATCAGCACAGAGTATAGTGTTAATGTTATTCTGGTGCTACGATTGTCCTTTTCTTAAAAATAAATATGGTTCATTTTGTAAATAATACAATTCTTTTGGGAAATAATATCATCCCTAAGTTTTGAGTGGCTTGGAAGAATACTACGTACACCTCTTAATCTGAAATTATATTTTTTGTATATCCTGGTTTGAACATTGCACAGGGCGCATCGAATTACGTTTTGCGGTACACACCCTGATTTTCCTCGTCTTTTTGCCTGGGTATACCGTCATGAAGGAAAACGGTTAAAACCGGAGCTGCGCTTTCACGCCGTCCTATGCTCAAAAGCCGACAAAGTCCAGCAGATGGCCAGCCTTCTCCAGCAGAAAATACTCTGGGCCTTGAATGATTTCAAACGGGATAAAATATCGAAACAGAATGCCCGCCGTCTTCATGAAATTCTCTCCGAAATTGCTCCCACTGTCTGCAAACGCCGGCAGATTCTGTCCACCGGTCAAAACTTCCGGCCGCCCCTCGAGCGCTCCAAAAGTGCACCGCGCCTGGTAGCCATTGAGGAAGAAGCCGGCATTATTCACGAAGAGGAGGAAGAGGACGATGCGAGCGATGTCAACGAATGTTTGAACAGACAGAGTTCAAATGGCACTTCATCCATCAGCAGCAGTGCCAACGGTGTTGACTCGACTCTAGCGAATGAGTTCGTTGGCGGTGGGGACGAAAGCGAGACGGACGGCGAGGAGGGCGATGATGGACTGTACAGTCCGTCCTGGTCAGTTAACTCCTCACCAGCGGGCTCTTGGAATGTCAAGCGACGCTCCTCGTCTACCGGTCCAAACAGTCAGGAAGGAATGCACAATGCCACGGCGTTCTCGGTGCACGAGCTGCATAAGGCCATTGAAGAGACGTCGTCTGTTGAGTCGAGGGAGTCGGGATTCGAGGAAATCAAGGGACATGTTTGCTAAATTATGTTGACCAAAAAAGAGCTCTTTTCAGCTGTGTGTACAATAAATAGTCTGGTTTCGTGATGGAGATGTTTTCGGATCTTTTGATATTTTTATAATATTGTTTTCTGCTGCTTTGCAACCAAGGCCACCGGCCCAAGGCCAAACGGCAGTTTGTTTATAATGATGAATATGCCGTTTTGACAGTTTTTGAATCTACACTCTGTTGCCGGTTACTTTCGATTTTAACATGCTATACGGCAAGCATTTTGAGTTAATTGTTACCTGATAAAGAGGTAACGTCTCAGTTTAAAGCGGTCAATTGAACAGTTTTACGTTCGTCTGATAAGTGCTAGGTTGTGGGTATTGTGTGCCTGATAATTTTTGATTCAGAATCGTCGCATATACTGCAGTAAATCCTGTCGACATTAGCGATTAGGTCTTTCCAAGACAGCACGTGAGCTATTGATTAGATAGTCAATTTACCGGTGAATCGATTCAAGATGACAAAATGATGCAAATTTTGGGAACTGATATTGTGTGTGTCGCTATCACACATTAATATGTATGAAATTAATATAAATACATAGTCTACAGGGATTTTGTTACAGCCAGCATATAATTACAACAATACCTTGCATAAATTACAATTATTGTCTATTTAATTACGAGGCGCCTAAATTGATGTAGCCAATAGATTATGAAGTAGGGTGACAGTTTTTGGTTGGTCGCATTTTTATGGTAACTATGTTTCTGTTCCATGTGCAAGAAAAGATAGTGGCGCAATTAACGCTAAATACGAGAATAACATGAATGATGAGAGTACTTTCTTTAAATACTTAATTAAAAATTTTGACCGTCGCTTAATTTCAAACAACATATTCCGGCAGTTCCACGGCTGTTATTATTCCACACATGTACAGCAGTTCGCATTTCCGGTCGTCGTGAAAAAGCGATGCAGCTCTTTAAATGTTTATGCACGACTGATATCGGAAAAAACCGGTTACCGCCAAAAGGATGAGAACAATGGTTCCTTCTCCAGTTGTTACATGAGAGGAATTCGCGATTCATGTTGGAAAGGAATTCACGATAGCTATAGCAGAGATTAAGGATGCCTTCAAGATCTTTAGGTGCACCGTACTTGCATATTCATAATTACTTGCCTGGACGTTTAAAGGTAAACAGTAAACACGAAACGCATTACAATTCACGCAGTTAATATTCTGCAACGCTTACAGGTGCGTTACAACTTACAACCACACACAGTATGCGTCATATGTTTATCTATAATACTTTGTACATATCTAAAAGTTGAGTGTCCCTCACGCCTCAGTCTACAATAAAACCCTGTAAACCGAACTGATGATGCAAAATAGGTTTCAACAAACTAACAATTACGGCAATAATGGAGCTGTTGAGATATAATACTATTTAATAAAACAAAGTTGAAATGATTTCGGCGGCCGTCAGTGCAACTGACACCCAAATCAAATGCCGCTTCGGTAGTATCGCTAACTAGGACAAGACGTTACAACTCAAACGGCTTTTCCATTGCCAGCAAATGTTGGGAAAATTTTACCTAAAGAATAGTTTTTACTGTCTGCCGCTACTTTCATTTTATCTCGGAGCAGTTTACCCTGGTTTTAAAATATTTTTTCGATCTTCGAATTACAGTATTACTGCATCTAGCTAAAAAATTTACTTCCATTGGTATAAATTAGGATCTAGAAACGACCCAAGAAGGTTTTTGCACTTAAAAAACCAATTTCAAGACAAAAACGTTCTTGATTTTGGAAATTCGGTCTTCTATATTTGCTTCTTGTGTACAAAGTAATTTGGTCTGAAATGATACTGCGACATCCAGATCCCAGGAACAGATACGAAACTACACGCATCTACTGTGAAGTTTGTTGTGTAATGTTATGCACAATACATGTTTGTGTCCAGTATGGTATGAGCAAAGGAATGGGCCACTTGTTGAATGTGACAGTTCAAGATAATTTGTGTTTGCCCATTTATTTGTAGTTACGATGCAACATAAAAATTGACAACATGCTGCAGTTGGAGGTAAAGCGCGACGTTGGCTGGTTATTGCAGAATCTACCTACAATGCACTGTGGTACAACATGCGAACGTCAACACATACCAGAAAAAATTTAAATGACCACAAATGCAACGCGAAATTTTTTCTGCGTTGAAAGTACGAAGAAAATTTTGACACGCTCATGCACATATTACATCATATGAGCAAATACTCTGATTACGCAGGTTGGAAATGCACCGCGGTCCGGTGAAGACGAAAATGCATAACGATTCAACTAAGATTCAATTGTCTGTATTGATGCAAGTAAATGAAGGAGGACAACCAACCGTCCGTCTGCACATGGAAAATATCAACAAAATGCGCTTTTTTATCTGAACCTGAGATACGTGAGCCTTTGGATGCTGCGCAAAAGATCATAGTGTGTCGTATATTTGACCAGCAAGGTTACAAAGACTGACTATGTAGGTGTCAACAAATACGTATCGTTTAGCCAATCACGAGTCAGAATCTTTTCCCTTATGAAAATTTAAACGCTTTAAGAACTCAGTGTTCCGCAATGTTATATGGTTAATGGTTTGGTTTAATGTAAAATAGGAGCATGTTGTGCATCTTACCATTAATTATAATAACATCTGCGTAATCTGGAGTAAAAACACTGAAAACACATTGCGCAGTGCGCACTATTATCTAAAAGCTGAGCTATAGGTACTACTGTTATTATAATTAATGGTAAGATGCACAACATGCTCAACCTACTGTTATCTACTCTTGTCGTGTTTTACAGCAAATCTTCTCTAATCACTTCGCTAATATGCAAACTTTCGTTAACTTGCCATTTACATGCCATGAGGAAACCTTTCACATACAGATTCTGTGGGTACCTTGAGAGAGCTTTACTGTAAAATTAGATGACTTTTACAGGTTGCTGATTGCTATAAACTCTTGGTATTCGTTTATTACCAATATAATTACATTTAAAATGGTCACCATATAAGTGATTACTGTAACTATTATACATACTGAAAACATAAATTATTAAACTACTCTGACATAACAATAAGAATGTACTAGCTAGTGCTTTTTCGACCATCGTCCGTTCTATCACTACTTTAAATGGAAAGTTTCGTATTGAGATACCTGTATACATTTTGGCAAATTACGCAGTCATATACGTAACAGCAAGAACCAAAAATATCTCTATCCACAATTATTTCGTCAAGATCCCTTTTCTCTTCTAGATTAACAAATTAGTGGACCAAAATTATTTTGGAAATTTAATCACTGTGTGCTAACTGGCACTGGGCATGGAGGGATTGGGTGTGCTTGCAACGGTTGTTTGATGATGAGAATGATCAAGTTTTTCTTCTTCCTCGTGAATGATGTTCTTGTTCGCATCCGTTTCCACCTCTGGGCTATCTTTTTTGAATCGCAACCGGCGCTCCGCGTCAGCTGTAATCAAAGCAAAATTGAAAAATTATTCCTTTTAGCAAACATAGCTGGCCGCTGCTTTTTCGTGACGTAGTTCAAAGATACAGATACTGCATACGTATACAGATACTACAAAATATTGTACTATGTGCAGATACTGCAAAGTACTATACTGTAGTCGGTAGGTGCAAACTGAATAATCAAACTGATTATAAAATAATTGCTTCTAAAGGAAGACGTTAATTATGGGCATCTTTTTTGAGTCATTACTCAAGTTGCATTTAAAGTTAATAAGCACATAAACACGGGATACGAAAACAGCACAACATGAGCTACAACGCAACGTGATTCACCATAATTTCACATAATTAAAATTTTCTCTTCACCTACGTCACAAAAAAAGCAATTATATGCTATCATAAAACGTACGGTATATATTGCACATTCCTCCAAACGTGATAAATTCCCGTTCTTTTGCAGCCTATTTTGTTTTATTTTGGAATAATATTCATATAAACATTATAAACTGCAAATACCTTTATACAAAAATGCCTTCACGGCTTCACCTATGCTGCACTCCCAGTTGAAGCAAAGTAAGTGCTAGCTATAGCGTAGTTATTTTCTTTTTCATTGCTACTGAATGTCCTTATAACTGCCTGACTTATACAGTAATAATAATTGTAAGTCACAATTTGTAAGCCGTCTTTTCATTCCTGGAGGCTGAAGACTTGAACTATAACTTAAAGAGTACAAGAGTTTTAAAACTAGCATACTTCAAATTGGCTGATATATGCATATGAAGTATTTGCTAAAAGTTAAATCTGGAAGAGAAGAGATTTACCTTGAATGGCTTCGTCCCTCCATTTCGTTTTATTATCGGTGAAATGAAAGAGCCATGGTTTTTTAATTTCATGGCTGGCCTTGGCGGCCGTATGTCTCCAGACGGCATTTTTGTGGGCAAGCATATTGACGCCCTCCGACGCACTGCGTATGGGCGGCGCTGTTTTCGGTCGATCCGCGGCGAGGTTGGCGTTGATGACCTCCACCGGTTCGGCATCCTCTCCATCATCGCCCTGTAGGGGTCGGAGGATTTTTTCCAGCATATCCGCCATTATGGTCATGCTGGGCTCAACGATGAAATCGATAAAACCGATTTGAGACTGCGGAATCACAGTGGTTTGCCGGTCGCACAAAGGAGAGAACGGTAGACCCAGTTCTTTTTCGCGATCGCCCTGCTGGAAAAACTCTTCCAGTACACCGATTGTCCATTTGTAATGCAGATCCCAGGGCTTGGCGGGGTGACTGATATCGCAAGCATGCAGGACCAGCTGGAGGGCTTTGGATTTGTCGATGCTACAAGTTCAAGAAAAAGAGGCATTACATAAACAATTCAGAACGCCCGATTAACTCAATCGTAGATTAGCCCAATCATACCACAAGAAAACCATCTATTACAAATATTCAACTGCGCTTACGCTGCTCTTTTAATTGATCACCACTTCTTTGCTTTACCCATTTATACTTAATTATCTATCCTGCGTACTCCATAAGTATTTACAAGTTAAGCATGCATGTTGAAAATGCTATACTAATTTTAGTCGATCACCCTGTGTCTTCTGTGCTATTTTCAAAATTTTTTTAACTATGCAACATACTTTTAAAACATAAAAGCTAAACCAGCCTACACATGGTTAAGTTCATGAAAGAAGGAGAGTTATGCGTATTTTAGTGTTGGTCCGTCCCGTAGTTTTTAATCTTTTGATAAAAGAGCTGGCCTGTTTTAACGATAAATTAGCGCACGTATCACAGACGCCATTCATATCATTCTATTAACTATCATATTAGCTACTTCATTCTTTTTTAGGCCCCCTTGTGATGTGCAGGTCGGCTTGCCCTTTTTGCGGCGCCAAAATGTTGCCTTGTTGTCATTTACGTAGCACTTTGTTTGATTGTTCTCGTGAAATTATGAACTACATGTATTGACGATCTTCAGTTGTACCAACCACAGGACAATAAAGGCTGAGACACACACTGCACATAACGTACGCTTGCTTGCACCTGCACGCTGCTTGGTCATCTAATGCAGCTACCGTAGACCGTCCGTAGTTACTGTTGCTTACCTTTCCGGCATACTTAAAAGCGACTTCATGTTTTTGATCTGCTGAAAGTGTATGCTCATATCGGTGGCTAAAACCATGTCGATAACCAGTGAGCGAAATTCTCTGTAAAAAACAATATTTTTGGTTGACTAAGTATGGCTGCTTATTCAAGGGAGCGCTGATATGGTGAACCATGCAGGCAGTTTATATTCATAGTTCTACCTGTATTCTTCTTTGGTTAAATTGGCAAGAATATTATGCTCATCCTTCTGCATTAAGGCAAACGATGCACTTAGGTGGTAGTTTTCTAGAACCGATCGATCATTGTACAGCATAGCCAGATTCGATCGTGACTGCACGTGGAAATTGTTAGTCGTTCCGGTATGTTCATAGTCATGAATAATAGCCCCAATCAAGCTAGCAAAAATTTCCAAATCGGATAACCAGTGCTGCAAAAATCATTGAAGAACTTATTGGGAGTTTCCTTTCTCCGGTATGTCGTATAATACATATATGACTGCGATGTAAGAAAAGATGTTGATTTCAATTGACGGATCAGGTCGTCGAACATGCATTCAGACAAACACATTCTTTTATGCATATCGTAAATCATAGCCGTACCGCTAAGCCCGTCTGGTATAAAAACCAATGCATAGTCTGCGTCACATCCGCCGCATGGATCAAATTATGGTAGGGATTGTTATTCTAAAAGATTTATTCCTTGTGACAGTTAACAACGTATTGAGAACACATCAACTATTGTGCAATGGCACATTAGCACATGATTACCTTGCTGTATCCTGCTTCCACAGCAATCATGTAATTTTCCATGGCGTAATTCGAAATCTATGAATACATAAAAGTGTTGAAATAATTTTATAACCATTTGTCACGCTTCCTGTGCAAGACTACTCTTGCACATGGAAAAATGCGCAAGACATTATACAACAAATTGTGTCTGCTTCCATCCATTAGCAACGTTACAATACTATAATAAGGTTAATTGGAAAACCAACATCTCATAAAAACTTATTAAACATAATGAACACGTACTTTGAATTTAGTCAACATGTCGTATCGCGTTAAGACTTCATTGGCAACATATCGCAATGATTGACCGCTGGACGCATCATTTAGCGCGAAAACATCGAACGTCCATTCATCAATAGTCTGCCAGCATAAAAATTTGAACGTAGCATGCAAGTATGGATATCGCTGTACTATAATCTATCAGCATAATGAGCATAATATAGGCTGCGTACATGAGGAGTGAAGTACAATATTACATAACACCCGAACTGACATTCCTTACCCGGAGTTGCATGACGATCTTGGGTGGAATATGAAGCACTTGCGAGCTGGACATCCTTCTGTAGATTCTAATATTACAATAAAGTATAACCTTGACATAAATAACACAGAGGCGGACAGAACACAGAGTGCGGAAGAGCGTAGTAACGCTCCAACATACCGTTCAACAAAAATCCCGGCTCGGATTGCATTGGCGACGCTTCGAAATTTTGGCTTCTCACTGGGACGTTTCACTACGCTTAATTTTCGCGTGAATGTTGACGCGAGCCACTCGCGCACTTCATTGGGCACGGCATGTGGCTCCACATCCGACAGTTCATCTTCGTCCTCTTCATTCAGCCTTCTAAACACCACCGTTCAGATTTTTGCTCACGTGGTCTAGGCACTTGAGGAAGATTCAAGTTTTACTAGTTTCCGTTACAAAAACGACAAACTTCAAATTTATGAATATTTAAACCTGTTAATCCAGATGACCTTTCAGATAGACGGTGTTGATCATATAACAGCATACTGCATATTTTTTTAGCAATAAATGAAGTATACATAACGTTTGTACTACAGATAATGTCCCTTTATAATCCAGGTAATGAGGTTGCGTCTATTTTATGGTTCTTAGCTCGTGGATTCCGTAAAAAGTACATACTGGCGGTTCACACAATTAAGTTACGGGAAAGGACTCAATACGCAGGATGCAATTAGTAGGGAAGCCAGGTTTAAACGTTTTGCAAGAGACGATAATAGACAGCTAACAACTATGCACCTTGACGAGCTGGGGTCTTTTTTTCGTTTTTTGACCATTGCAGCGAAGCTAAAAAGAGAATCACAGGAGTTGATGGGTGAGCTTGGCCTAAGATCAGTAAGCGATCCCGAGCCAGAGCCAGCAGGCAACTGAAGAGTATCATGTTTTTTGTGATTATTAGAAGATCTGCCATGGCGGGGTGAACAGCTGGGAGACTCAGACAGCGGGAGCCTACAAGGATTCGGGGGAAAACAAACAAACAAGCAGGGTAAAAAGCATGCGCAAGCACATTCTCGGGGAATCATTACCGTATTTTAAAGGGAAAGTAACAGTAATTCAAAAAGATCAAATTATACTTGCATGCTAATTTGTGTGATCGCTCAGTGCGCTTTCTGCCGGTGCAGTGTGCATATATACGCTAAAGGCTGATTTTGTCGACTACAGACTGGACTTACCTCTGCTCCTCCGCGTAGCAATGCTCCAGAACTTTGGCGGCAAACTCAAGATTTGCCTTGAAATCTTCAACTGGGACCTCATCTTTCGGCTTGTCCACAAGCACTTTCACCATATGCCGTAATCTGCAAATGTGTTTATCGTTACATGCTTTCTTCGATTTATGTATTTACTCTTATTTAAGTTGGCCAGCAAAACAAAAGGTCAAGCAAAGGAGCCACAATATCCCATTGTTTACAAGGATAATTTTTGCAGTGTATTATAACTTATTACTTGCACTGTTGTGGATAATCTTAATAAAGGACTACAAAACTTTGAACCAGTAAATACCAATATAAACGGCGCAATTCAAAAAATCGGATAATGGCCGTATAATTTATATAATCACTACGATCATTTTAGTCACTATACGATGATGACCTTAGCTTCTTAGAATATTTTAAAATCACGAGGAACCGTACGTGCTCGCTAATCAATAAAAGGTCAATTTCGTTATTTGTAATGTTTTACAGCATAATTCATGTCCTCCACCATGTAATCGCATTTAAGTTATTTTCAGTCACTATTTGCACGAATTATCAGAGGCGAAGCTCAAAATAAATAAATCTGTAATAATATCTTAGAAGGCAAATCGCTAACTATGACCGAAAAATAATATGTAATCACAGATTAAAAATAAAAGAAAGGTGGGTTTTGTTCCTATCTGCGCTCTGCTAGTGATTACTACAACAACCCTAATTGTGGACTAGGCTTTATTAGACAACAACATCCCAACATAGCGTATCCAAGAAGTGCAGGTGAATACGTGGTTGGAGACGGAAGGAAAGACTCCACGACCAGCTGACAATCAGGATAGTAAATAGTCCAGCAAAATCGATTTTTTGGAAGCAATTATATATCACGGTAGTCATGGCGCAAAAGAATAGACAGAACACCACAAAACCCAATTTAGCAGGTAGGAAGATTTGAAGGCGCTTCCCTTACCTTAAAACAGCGGCCTGAATCCCTTCAGGCGTATCGCAGGAAGGTATATCCTTCATTGTCAAATCAACTGCATCAACGTTAGTATCTAACGGCTTCGCCACATTAAAGGCTCCATCGGCGGCTCCATTTGCACTAGAATACGCCGATGATTTCCGCTGACGCAGCACAGAATTAGCGGAATTACCTGAAATTTCATAATAAGAAAGAAAGCTTACCGATACAACGCCAACACATTCAAAATTAAAATTATCTGAGCAGGAAGGGCTTGTATAAAGTACGATATACTAGGAAGCCCTTCATGTTGTGTGGAAGAAACATCGACCTACTACAGTCTAAATATACGAGTATAAGAAAATAAACAGCATATTGTAATAAACGTATTAACTGCCACAGAGTATATTCTCCTATGGTATGCGAAAAACTGATGCAAATTTGCAATAGTACCGGCTTCTTACGTGCCGTGCAACACTAAAAAGCTGCGATTGCAAATGATACTTATTTGAATATTTCACGTTTAAAGAAAACTCCTTACTTTTTAGTGGCGCTGGAGGTTGCCTTTGAGGAGGATTTTGGACGGGAGGAGCAGCAGTCCCTTGGACAGTGCTGTTGGCCGCCGAAGTAACAACTTCGGGAACGGATGTCGTCCCAGGTGGAGCGCTATCTGCTTGGCGAAGTTTTTCCGGCGTGTTTGCGACTGTTGAATTAAAATACAAAATGGAGTTAATTACGGACATAAGAATATTTTGGGGAATGTGGTCAAGGAAATGTGGCACGATCACTAAAAAACACATCTGCTTTCCAAGCCTGCGAGAACAGCGTTTTCTGCAGTGCATTTCCTTTTTTCGCTATTCTGACTTACTTGGCTTTCGTTAGTGTTATTTCTTTATTAATATTATTCGTTATTATTATTAATATTTCGTTATTAACCAATTTGTGTGACAGAATCATACTGCTCCTGTGTAACTATTTCATAGAAGATCCGTCTAATATAAACATCTCTCTAGTACAAGCATTATTTAATTGATAATCCCATTATAGTACTTAAAGCCCAAGTCGCTGTATTACAATTAACTCATACAGTCAGAAATCTAGTGTAACTAACGCAATCCAGGCACTTGCATCGTATACAAGATAAAAAATTAATCGCAGTAGCAAGCACATTAAACATTACTTAACATTTTAACAACAACAATTACCGGTTACTGATACTTTATTCATTGATATTAAAATACTTAATGCATTTTTATGCTTTCGCGGCATACAGTAATTTCAAGCATAGAGAAATTTATTGTAGATCAAATACCGCTAATAAGCTGTACCATATTAACGTTACATGCATTTTTGCCTCATAACAGCATGCGGCCAGATAACGCCAAATAATGTGAACCATTCAGCAGGAGAACATAAAAACCGTTTCTGCAGTGGGCTGATGATTATTTTCACAGATACGGTAAGCATCGTAAAGCGTTGTATATACAGAGTAAAATTACTTGTACAAATATTCGCCAATTGCCATTATTTAATTCTCCTGTGTAAACGTTTATACGCATACCCTGGTCAAATGTCACGTATAGTATATATTATGGGTAATTGAATTCTGAAATATTGATACGATTTTGTAAGTAATAAAGCATTCTTAGCGCACTTCATCATATCATTTTATATATTGCTGTACTCTGTAAATGACATCACGACTACTGATACGTGCGCTAAATTTTTAATGCGGGAAGTATGAGCAATGTGAATGCCGCACGTTGAACGTTTCCGTTGCAAAGCTAAAAAGAGATAATACTGAGCAAATATTGGTTTAACACGTAATATTGTGTGCCTTTCAAAAGTGAATACTTATGCTTACAAATAAAATCTTTGAAACGGCGAAAGGCATCCATAGCATTCCATACAGGTGCTAATTATGCACCAACGGAGCAGTTATCCGATACGTTATCAGACTGATGTCAATAAATTTTAGATGCTCATAAGATACAAAGTATTATAACGGCATGCACGATAATATACTGCCACCGCGGAATGAATCGCTCAATTATACAAAGCAGATCCACGGTCCACTTTTCTGGATAAGTACATCCAAACTTCCTGTATATAAGTGACCATTTCCAAGTGTTTTTATACAAGTCAAGCACTAGCTAGTTTGCCATCATAAGTAACGATGCTAATACATAAGTGCTATATGGCGCATCTGTGGGCAAGTAGCAAGCGAAGAAATAAGTGTAGTTGCACGTCTTTCAATCAGCAGCGCACTCTTGGATCTTAATCGCCCGCCGCAGTCGGGATCTAACTTTCATCTTATGCTATTTCACCACTTAATTTACGTTATAAACTCCGTCACAGCCAGTTCCTTGCGGAAAGAAAGCTTAAGGCAAAAATCAACATAGAGAAAAGGCTGATTTATTTCAAGATCCATCAAGCGTGCTTGGGTACTGGTACACAGGCACGCACTGTCAAAGATGCACAAATAGTTAGTGTGGCAACCTCGAGCATCGATGAAAGGCACAGAGCAGCTGCGTATTATCACGGGTTATAGGAAAAGACCACCCTTTTGCTCAGAATATTTAAGTACACCGACGAGCAATGACGACGGAATCTTTGTACATGGTCACATACATATTATTGATGCCCAGGAAGCGATACTTATGTATTGCACACACCTAAGTTTTTCCTGATGTCAGTATCTCTTCATTGGTTTAGAGAATTGCCGAGCCATCGCATGCCATTCATCGAGGCCTCCCCGCCGGGAAGCTCTGCTGAATTAAGTATCGTATTGTTTGTGGAGCTCTGCTAACAGGATACGTAATACCTTGACTTGCAAGTCTAATAAGCGACCTGTCTGCTATTGCTTCCCACACGGTATCATTTGTGCGGAATCGGATGCATGCATGTACAGCTGGCACCGTGCTCGGGCTTCCAGAATGATTTGGCGCCGTAACACTTCGCTTAATTTATTTTTCATTGACTATGCCATTAAATATAAAACGAAAATTGCTACTGCCATCAGCAAATGCACACGTTGAAATGAGACCGGCAAATGATACCGCATATATACACAGTACCTCCTGCTACTGCTGAACGTCCACGCCTGCCTTTAATTGCTCGAGTATCAAAAGGTTACAATCCTATGCTAACATACAGTCACCGATGAAGTTGATACTTACACACATTCAAAAATGTACGATTTTGCAGATCGTCGTCACCAGGCAGTAATTTTTTTGCTCTTTGGGAATTAATAATATTTGTTTGGCTTCAGTGCGTTTAATAGTAATAGTATAATAATTTTCAGGAAAGTGGTGTTAAACTGCAAAATTGTTTCTTACCCAAAATTAATTTTCAATTTTGGTGCATTTATCACCGCTGATTAGTTCGTATAATCATCTACTATTAATTGTTAGTTATTTTTGCAGTGTTGCGTAAGCATTTCGGTCAAAACTTATTTAATTGTAGTTCGCAAAAAAAAACTGGCATATAAGCTCCATTTTAAGTTTCGGAGTTGTAATAGTTTACTTCGATGACGAGCAAACGTAGTGATACAGAAGAGAACTATTAAAACGTATAACTGCAGTGACTAATCACGATATACTCGTACATATATTGTTACCTTATTATATGAGCTGAAAGTTTTTATTTGCAAATTTGCTGGCAACGGAAAATAAGAGGTTCGAGAGGATCAGATACCGTGCAAAATTTTTCTTCTTTAACTTAAATAGTTTGGATAACAACCGCATTAGCAGTATTGTAACAATCTTGGTAGCGAAAAAGATTATGGCAACGTTTTTGTCGCGTTAAGCGAAAATGATTATGGTCCAACATTCTTGTCTAAATGTTCATCTTGACTGTGTGCAGCGAAAGGGCATTAAAACCTACCAATTTTATATTGATATCCATCAACACAGACTACCGCACTGGTGGCAGCTGACTTTTTGCGGGTTAGCGGCTTGACAGTATCATCATTCTGCCCGGTATCCATTAATACATCCAGTGAATCATTTATCTAGATAAGGTCAGGTTCATACAAACGCAAGTCCCACAATCCGGTAGGCGGAACTTATTCCGACTATTTTCACGCCTCTGGATTCGGCAGATAAAATATCCTTTGTGCACATCAATTACAAATTTTAGGAGACATATACGCTCACCATGTATTTAACTTGCACGAGACGCACCGTATACACAGAACAGCAGTATTCACTAATGGTTTGACATGACGTTGTCAGGATGACGCAGCCCGAAGATTTGAAAACACACTGGTCACTTTCTATACATATATCCTAATTGTAGGGTTTCATATACAAAAATTTAATGGCAACGCGGGTGCTCAAAACTGTTTCTCCCACATACACATCTGGAGCTATTTACGTAGCCCATCGACGGATTATGATAGGCATAACAAGCCAGCACAATTGCATCAATAGCTGGGCTTGCAGTCAAAGTACTTATGTTGCCTTCCCTCAAAGGGGAATGGTAATTGGTGTCAAGTTAGATCTGTGCGGCTAAGCGTACGTGTTACAGGAATCCGGGATTGTTCCTGTCTATACTGCGCAGACGCCATTATACGTATATTTCAGCGTATACTACATACAACACACAACGTGGTCCGGAGACCGCTATAACGCTTGAATTACCAACGCCTGGTGCATGGGGAATGGGCCGGGGAGATTGCAGTTCGAGTAGGCCGCTGCTGATTATTCTTTCATCCTAAACGCACACACACGAAACCCCGAACTGAACCCACCAGTCAGTATATTGCATAAACAGGAAACACTGCACTGCCGATCGTTGTGCAAATTAGCTCCAGCGTATGCACGCCGGGTCCAGAGTAAGACCCTGGGTGCGACCTTATGCTTAACTTGTCGAAATATCAACCATCCGCTCAAGGGCATTATGCCGACTGTTAAGTACAATACACCGACGTCGTTGGCTTACGTTCTCCCTCTGCCGCTTGAACAGCTGTTTGGTGAGATATTCCGCGACTGGGACAAGCTGGACAAGAATGCGGTATTAAAGGATTAGGATAGTATGGCTGCTAGCGGAAGTTGAAAAAGCACTTAAGACACGCTTTTCAACAAGTAGCAAAATTATGCATGGAATAAAAAAGGTGAAATGTCGAAGGGATTACCATATGCCAGTGCCAATCTTAACTCCCTTACTTTTGCGGGGGATGAGAAGATGTTGCAAAATTCATGTGTTATGCAATAAAGTGTTTGCAGGTGTTCCCAGACTTGATGAGTGTAACTAACACGCAGAACTGTAATTACTGAACTTTGGTAAGAATAACAATTCCAACGAAGTCGAAAAAAACAGTGAAATGGCATGTCAGTTATGACATTGTTTTTGATTTATGACAGTATTAGATACTTTGACTTGATTTAAGAAGGAACTGGCTGTTCATTGTACACTGTGTACAACTTTCGTGTACATAATCAATTATCATACTTTATACAAATTCAAAATTTAGTAAAACTTACAATGTGCGAATTTTATTAACTGTAAGGGGCTCTGGACCAATGTACCACTCCATACCCTCATATCTGAAGACAACCGACATATATAGCGCAATCAATTGCGCTATGCCAATTGCGCTATGCCTTCAGATCCGGTTGACATAAGTTGTATCTCTCTAATGGTAAGCACGCCTTTTACACTTTTACTGATTCCAAATTATTAAATGTTTGTGATGCGAAATCTGTTGAAGTTGACTATTGATTGACTTTTCGCAACACATGTAACAGTCTTCGGCTATTAACTTACGGTCGAGGTGGTGTGCGAACGCTGAGACGTACGGGTTATGTTTTCTAAATCAGACGGTGACTGTTTTAAATTCGAAATGCTTAGGGTTAGGGGCTACCGTATAAAGTACAAACGATAATAATTTTGCAAAGCAATCAAAGTGCAACACAAAAACTGTGACGCTAGCGATCCGGAATTCACAAAGTAAAGCTTAAGGTACATATCTTACTGTAAAAAAAATAAGTATAGATACTTTGATACTTATCAGCTATAATGCACACTGTGTATTTTATTAAGCGCATGTGTGTGCGCTATGATATTGTCTGATCCAAATAAAAACAACCCCTCACTGTTTCTGTTCGTAAAAAAGGAATTATCGCGCCCACCCTGCTTATTGTTAGGTAAGCGGAGGCTGCAGCTCACAAGTTAGTAGTTAAAATTGGTCGATGTCCTGTCAAATTTTTCCGCCTTGTGTAGCAGGTGTTTTTTCTCTTTGCTTCAGTCGTCCCTGCCCGCATAATATGCTTAAAAAGAAATACCCGACTCAATCGTACCAAAGGCTTTTACGTTAAAACAAAACTGCGTGATCGAAACAATAGAACCCATATCTCGTGATTTATGGCGCACAGCATGGATTCAACATTGATCAATATCGTGTATACTTTGGTTAAAGGGTGTGCACCTTTGAGGCGTAAACACCGAATAATGGGCTTAGAGACATATGTACCATGTAGTCAAACACGACATTCTTTTCAATGACATCAACGACTTTTTGCGTTGCGAATTTGAGAAGTGACCGCATGTATAATACACAGCTACAAGACTGTTGCATCCAGATTTCAGCAGTTCTTGTATTCAGTAACTGTCAAGACCTATTTTTTTTACATACTACGTATATGTACGCCACAATTATATAGCAACATATACTTGAATTCCTGCATACAGAACTTTTCTTGGAAATTTGGTTTCTTGGTCCATAGAATCCCATAACTTGCAGGCATCTGATTCCAGTCACTTGCTGGCGTCAAAGTGTATTCTTCTGCTTGAACAAATCTCCAGCCGAAAATTATTTGTTTTTACGCAAAACATAATCTTTTTACGATACCGTATTTCATAATCTTACAAACTTTTTCTGTAGCACGCACATTGTAATACTGCTATCTACGGAGCGTGCTTCTTAATTTTCCTGTAAAAAAAGTAAATCATTGTGACAAAAATACGACCAGGTGGTGTCACCGTCAATGGCGACACGTAAACTGCGTCATCATTATGCATGTGATCAGGTACAGAATCTTATTTTTCTAATAATTATGCGATAATTTGCTTCAATACATCAAAGGCCTTAGATAAGGAAATGACGCTAACGTGCTAAATCGATATCTACGAGTACTTACATTTCTATCCACCGGCATGTAGTTGCATTTACTGGTATAACAATACCTATTTCAACCTACTGCAGTCCAACTACTACCAAACAACATGATAGTGTAAAAACACGCATTCACCAAAGCGAATAAAGGTTTAGTCCTCATATTTCAGAAACAAGAACCCAATTAAAATAACTTACGTACTTTAGCCCCTGTACGGAGTAACTGAGTTGCGGTAAATTCTAAATACAACCGCTAATTCCATGTCACTGCAGCATATCTGTAAATTTTCATTTTAATAAAAAGTAAGGTTAATTTAATGATTTTTTACATGGATCGTAATTCTCAGTGACGCTCCTGATATGGCTAACATAATAATTTCTGTCAAATATTAATATGCCATTAATTTGTGTGTGTAGTATTACTCATGAGACCAAAAGTGACCTCATTTGTCTATCGTGTACAGGTAGATTACTTTTTAGTCAGATTCAGTTGAGAGACTACAAGATGTCGTCACAATTCAATAGCTCTATCTTTGCTACAAGCCTGCGTTGATTTCCATGTACTAATGATTATTTGTAACTTTAAAAAAACTGCGATTTCAGTACGCATCAAAACGCTGCTATGGTTCAGCTTCTTAATTTCGGAGTTTGAAAGGACAGTTTATAAAGAATACTTTATATCTAATCACTCCGTATTATTATCTTGCTTTATGCAGGATCGCACTTAAAGGCGGAATTTTACTTAATAATATGCAGACATAGCTGATATCCGATCTTGGTTAAACACGAGTATTTCTACTACAAAGTAGTTACTGGTGCCAGATTGTCAACACCGGATACTTTCCCTAAACACGCAGTGCTAGTTGTGTATCTTTAGATCTGATATTTGGTAGTTTCGGTACAATTTACAAAAGAGTTGACAGAAGTCTCTAAATAATGAAATATAAGAAACAGGTGATGGCACTGTATGGTACTATTTCTCTCAAAAATATTGGTAGCGAATTAGCGGTTATTTTCCTCATTTACCACAAGATAATTGTGCATAAAACTTGAAATCAGCATAAAAGTTTAGCCGCGATAAACCACCATATGCTGCCGCCGGAGAGATAGTAAGTTTCCTTTTTAAGTCTTGAACATTTTTGTCGGCATAAAGCATGCCAGCATCATGCTAAAATATTGACATCAAGATAAGTATACAATTGTGGTAACAAAGGTGATGGTGCGAGTAAGTGCATATAATTATTAATCTGGACATAAATGTATGCAGTCCGGCGTAGTATTCGCACTAGAAAAGCAGTGAATAATGCTGGGGGTTACATTATTTATTGATCCGGTAGGAGTTAATAAAAAATGCAAAGCCTTGTAATTTTGGCACCTTTTCATTGCTAATTTTATAAGACGACGACAAACTCGCCGTGGATTTCATGTCCATTGAAATTAATTATATCGTTATCCACTTGATAGATTACGACGCACACCAGCAGCGGTAGAATCATGTTTATTTTTATGCACTGCTAAGTATTGCACGCATGGTACATTCAAACGTAAATACAAATCCTGTCGTTTCCGGTATGCGACGGGGATCAATATGCTGTCTAGCTCGATGCTCAGCCTCTAAGAAGCATACAGCACAACAAGCAGGAGGAAAATATTGAGTACTATTGTAATATTGTTGTCAAAAGAAACTTGCCAACCACTCATACAAAAAACGTGTACAATAGTGGAAAAGCGTGTTTTGCGCATACCTTTTGAATTTCTAGTTGGCTTCTTTTGTATAAGATCTTCGACCAGTAGTGCAGCGCCAGTCGGACGGCCAACGCATATTCCCATCAACTCGCCTGGCAGAAGACCATCAGCTCTGAACAGCTGATGACAGCAACGGAAACAACACTACGTTTATGGATAGTGAGCAGGACTGTGACAAAATGAACCGATACAAAATGGCGTAAAACCGATTACCAACTGTCCTGCATAATAGTAGTAATAATAAGGAGAAAATATCCATCGGCAAGCGACCAACGTCGGCTTGGCCATCAAAATCTTTGCATGAGTAAACGGATGCGAAATTACTGGTTTGGAAGGGAGGAACACGGGGAAAAGTAGTTAATATGGTTAATTCACTGCCTAGACAGTTTATACACACAGAACGTTGGACGATTCACATTAACTGGAACCCCTATATTCCGCGCGCTCTTCATTTTCCGATCGACAATTTTATGAGATTTGCAATTGTCGACCGCTACGTCAATGTTTGCTCGTACAACACCCGGGTTGGTTGGATAAGCGGTAAAGGTTATAAAACACTCGATTATTCGGCTTTGAACAGCAGGTAGGATGAAGGATAAAATATATGATTTAAAATGCCAACGTGCACTCTCTGATCCATTCTCTCTTTCACTCTCTCGTCCTGTGTCTTTCTAGCTTATAACACTCTAACAGGCTGAGCAATTGCAACCAGGAAGCACGGACCTGACAGCAGGAAGATCGAGAGGATCGTCCAGACTGTTAGGGATGTACATAAAAGCCTTCGATTTTTACCAGTGTTAATATTACGGGAAGAGACCTTAATAGTTCCCACACACACACACATATGATACCATTCGGTGCACTATACCGGCATCTACCGCTACTTAACTTCCATGCAAACCGGCTAACACGGGCGCCGCTCCCCTTAACAGATGTTAGCAATTTTGGACTGGTCCCACTGCTATACGTAGGTATTCTGTACTCTGCACCTGGTTACAGTACTGATTAGTGTACGTGATAACGTGGGTCGTGGCTGTATAACATGCTTATTAGATGGTTACGCTTGACGTTGTGCTTGAAAAGCAAGGCTCTCCATTTGACAATTGCGGGCCCTTTGGGCTTTTGCGCGGCAATTAATTATAAGAAGAGTCGTGCACGCTTACACGTTGCTGCATAAAATGCCGCACAATTTTACAAATCAATTCCAACGCACACTGACCTGTGATCTAACTATCCAAGTGAAAATTAATTATATGGTGTTAGTAAGTGCGGTTTACCAGATTGTGGTACAGCTACACCTAACATTACTGTGCATTTTTTTATGTTTACGAATATGCCGTACATGCAAGAGCTCTTTGCACATTTTGTTTTTTTCAGACTTAAATGATTCCGTTGTGTCACACTACTTTTCAGCACCTGAGACCTACAAATTTTAAGGATCGCTGACCAGGCGAATATTGTAAAATAAAGCTTGTACCCATTCCGGTGCTCATTACCAAAACATATTTGTCGAGATTCTGCCATTCTAAGGATGCATAATTATTAGCCGGTCAAATCTATCCGAAACGTTGGCTTATTTTAAGTTTAAACGCACTCTGTGTGATATTGCTGATAACTCCAGGCAGGAGTAAAAAACCACTTCTTTCATTAGAATTTACATACCAAAGTGCAGGCTTTAAAGCCTGAAATATTAACTGGTTTAATAAATGATAAGGATTAATCTGAACATTTTTATGGAAACCAATAGTAGTAGGTGATTAAAAGACAGCATGGTTTAATCAGTGAATTAATGCTTTTTTTGTGATCTAATAATGTCGTGTCTGTTAGTTTTGACCATTCGCAGCACAGCTTTCAGTTCGCGTATTAACAGTCTTTTTAATAGTTTTGTTGTCATATAGCCTGCGTACAAGCCTCCTTTTTTGAAAGAAAGAACTGAAAAGAATTATGCTTGGTCGCGAACCGCTAATAAAATAGTCGTATTTTTTTATACCCACAGTAAGTAGGGGACAAGTAAATTCTGAGGTACACTGTATGATGATGATATCTGTAGTATGTGACATAAGCACAGTCGCACAGGTAGGTACAGGCGAGTTTTTCCCACCCGCTGACAATCGACACCAGAATTTTAGCCTAATCCTACGTAAATAGGCACACAGGAAGCCACTGATGTAGCAGCTTAATAAGTCTATTTATATTAATAACATACCTTGTGAAACAGGAAAAAAGCTTTATGACGCAGTATCCACTGTCGTTTTATTAGATATCTTCCGCGAAAAGAGTACACGCGGAAATGATCGGAGAACTTCTAACATTCCTTTTTAAAGAAAGTATTGTGCAATAACACAGAGAAACCTGCGGAGAATCACAATCAGCAGTTCCAGGTTGCTCTAACAATCGCCAGAAATTCATTTGTACCGTGTCATCACATCTACTCTAGCGATTTATCTCAATGATACTTTCAAAGTTTGCATGTAGCTCTAGAAGAATGTACGTATTAACCAAAACATATTTTAGTGTAACCCGTAGTAAGCAAGTATTCAGAAGCCGCTAGAACTCCACTAAAATAATATTAATTTTGTGAATTACACAATGTTATACGAGCACCTTTTAGTGACTTTAATAATCTAAAAGGTGAACTTGGATTGTAATTCAATACGAAGGTGAAAAGGGCAGCATCTTCAGAAGGCTAAATTCACCATTTATGACCTATAGATACGAGTATGTGTAACCAGTAAGTACATTCAAGCTTTGAAAGATTTTCGGTTTGCAGAATATTTCTTGCATTCTTTGCATTTTACATCGAGAAAAACTTAAGTCAACCTTTCATTTGAAATTTGTTGATGCGTTACGGTATTGATACTTGTATCTTACCTTTTTCTGCCGCTAAATCTAGTTTTTCAGAATTGCAGTGGGACATTCCGTTATAATTAGACGTTCTGGGTGGACTGCGTCCGTTTTTCCTGGAAAACAAGAAGTACAATGGTGTCGGGACTGTTGGCTGAAAAATTATACCAAAAGAATGTTTAAGAAGAAAAACTTAAAATATTTCCATCAGCCGAAGAAAGAAAGATATATACGTCTGGTGTAGTATAACAAACTTAAGCAGTAAATATGTACGGGGTTCTGTCTTTAAAATTTACGGCAACGAAAATTTTTGTGCATATAATTTTGATCTCAAGTAAGGTGGTGTGTAATCATTTTTACACAATCATTCTGTAAGACTTAAGAGCTTCACTTCTTCGTTAACTCTTTCCGTATAAGAGAATTAGTTAGTAGTAGTACTAGCTTTGAGAAGCAGTAACACGCGCCTAGCATATTACCTATTTATGCAGGATAAATAAAAACGTACTCATAATCATAACCTAGCGCGGAAATGCATGACCTATCGTAAGCTTACTTGTAAGAAGTGACCTATCCGTCCAGGAACCGGCGGCCAGTATAACGCGACCTAACAGTCTCTCATTTTTATAGTGCAAAGCGCACCACACTTTGTTAGAATACTCAGATCCTATATAAACGATGTATCTGTATAAAAGTTTACAAGTGCTCTAAATTTTACAGTATTTGCACACGTAGGATAAAGGCCGGGCAGTTTGCTGGATTCGGAACAATAATATGTGCATGGAAACACACCCAAGACTACGCAGCACATGTATAAAGCGGCATTTATGCTGTCTGTGATCAATAATCTTCGTTTTCCGGTCGTATTTGTATTCTGGTGAAGTGATCCCGTCTGTATAGGTACTGTAGTGGCCATCCAGCAGCAGCGTAAACTGGATAGGAAACTTTAAATGTGTTCCAGAAAGAATATAGAATAATGCATGTTGTATGAATAATTCGACTTTTATAGCGCTTTCAGCCTAGTGGGGAATCATGACATATTGCGTCAACATGTTGCGATGGAAATCGTTCATTAAATAAAAAACAATCCAGAATATTGACATCAGCATCCTGAGCTAACGCATTATTTAAGAGGACGATAGTAAAATGCTACTAAAGCAAATTTGTCAGAAAAGTTTACAACGATTTTGGATCCGTAAAATCTGTTTGACAGTACGGCTACCAAGTACCAACGCTGGTAATTATCCACAGAAGTCAGCTACAATTTACTGTGTACAGTATATGCGTCTGAGCTTCCACAACCTTTCTGCCAAATAGTGGAATATGCATAAGGCAGTTGGCGAACGAGAAAGTTTAGATGATTTGCATAAAGAAATGCAAATTAAATTATTATTGGTTTCCGTTTGCTCACAGGATAATTTTCTACAGTCTGACAATGAGTTGTGTTACATTCACTTCCGGGAGCTAGCAAAACGCTTTGCGCAGATTTTTGTTGACTGTGCTGGCATTGACATGCATATGCTTTAATAGATGATACTTTTAATTTTGGCAATAATAATTATTATTATTGCGGTCGTTTATATAACTATGCGTAAAATTAGAGTATTTTAAACGTTTTGACTGCCCGGGCTGTGTTCCACATAAGTAATTTAAATCATTGAGCTTATCTTTTAAAACAAGCTGTATAAAGAGGTGAATTTAGCTTGGAATATAATTTGGTATAAGTAATATTTAAAAAACGAGCAAAAACGTATTAACCTTTGTGTTATCATTAATTATTATAGTTCCAAACGGAGAAGCCGGCATTTTTACAGTTTATGCAATGTCCGAATTATTCATACACAGCAGCGCCATCACAAATACGATTTGCTACAGGACCCATTGTGCTTTTCAAGTAGCTGGCAAATAGGTAACTGCGAACATTCAAGTGCCGAAGAAAGGTTGTGGGCACAAAGAGAGGATACGGCACAAAGCATATGAAAGCGGATTTGACTAGTTGAAGCTGGAAGACGTGATCAATAATTATCAGCTGAAACGATGCTACCGGAAATGCATTTAAGTAACCTTCCGCGTCCGATTTTTACCACACTTATACAGCAGCAAGCGTCCACTCTATAGCAGCTACAGTAAACAATGTTTTGCAACTTAATTTGTAGACAATATCTGTTTTCATATTTCGTAAATAATATCTTTGGTTCTGAATAGGATGTATGAAAGCAAAGAAGCTTACAAAATAATTTCAGGTAAAGGAATTTCTAAATTTATTAGATAACTGCGTTCTTTCTTCAGCTCCCGACACGTATTGTATTCTATATAAGTATGTGTCGGAGCACCACCAAAAATACGTATTTGTATATTAAGCAGGTACTGGCAGACAGGGTGACAGATAAGAAGTAGTAATCTGATTATGATGGTCTCAACAAAGACTGCAATGGTTTTCTGCTCCTACGATAACTCTCAGTAAAATATGATAAGATGAAGAGTAGAATTTTTTTCCCACTTGCACAAACACAGACAGACAAACATAATTTTATGATCAGTGAAAAGGCGAACTTATTTTTAAGGTTTTTTGGATACACCAAGTGGGCACTTCGGTCCGTAATGAAACCACAATAATTTATTGCACAAAAAATTAACGCATTGGTAACAAACCAAATTCCGTTTCTACGCAGCACAAGCTGGCAAAATATTAAAATGCTGCAAGCTAACGTCTGGCAAACTTAAAATTTAACAACGGGTAAAATTACTCAAAGCTGTTACAAATATGTAGTTGATAAACATTATCCCATGTTAAGACACAAAATTTAAGACAACAGTACAGAAAAGCTGCAACGATTTAGCTGCGCCAAAATTCCAACGCGAATAAAAATAAAACAATTGAAAAATGGAAAACATTCGCAAGTGGTTCTAGGCCGTAACGGTTTCTACTAAGGATTGCTTGATTAGTTCCCCGAAATCCAGTGTTCCAGTACTGACACTGGGTGAGGAAGAATCACCGGAAGTGCCTTCTGATGGGGAAGAAGTAAGATATGCACTGCCGTTCAGATCGTTCTCCCGTGAAGAGAGATTAACGAAAGAGATACTGGGCAATGTTGCAGGATAGACCGGCAGTTCCTCGGAAGAACTAAATTCCATAACCGGAGAGATCATACAGTTAGCTGTATTACGGTAAAAACAGGTGCCGGGTTCGTTCGACGATAGGTACTCGTTGTCTACTCCCGGATTATCTGAGATCGTCGTTGTAGATCTGCAACCAGAGCTAAATCAAGTTAACAATGCCGAAAACTAACATTTTTAAGAATTTGCGAAGGGAAGCGGAAAACTGCTAAAGTAGAAGTTTACGAAACAACCGCGACTACACCTGGAGACCTACAAATTGTATGCATTTTGTTTCGAAATACTACAAATCTGCAACTTTCGTCACGGTGCCCACTATGCAATAAATATTAGAGACTATCTTTATTAATAAACAGCACATGGCAGAAAAGACGTTGTATAACAGGAGTGCTTATTTTACAAGAAAAGCTTACGAGTCAATATCGTACACTGGCTGCATATGGTAATAGTCATAATTAGTTTGGCATCCATTGGTGTACGTGTTCATGATCATCGAAACAGAAGCGGCTTCTGACTCCACTGGGTACGAATTCGCGCTCTGGAGAGATGTATAGGCATAATCACACTGCAATCAAACGTAATCTTTAATTACAGCGCTCACTCCTGGAGCTGCACATTGATAAGAACAATTTGATCAACTATTTTGCGTTTTCCATCGTGCTGTACTGTTGGACTTACCGTACGACTATAATTACGTTTTAAACTCTTCTGACAATAATCTCTATATGCATCCGAGTAAGAGATTTATTGTTACAAAATTATTTTACTGAGTGGAACAAATGAGTACTAAGGCAAAACAGCGAAAAGTTTGTAAGCCATAAAAGCAAGATTAACCGACAACTGGGGAAAATTAGCCCTTACGGATTCCTTATTACTTACCTGGGATGTCTGCACATAAGGCTCGACGCGTTGATTACAAATGCCCGTGGAACTTGCGGGCGTAGTGGTGGCATCCGAAGCATTATAGCTCCCATACTCTTGTGAGATATCCGTCATTGTGAGATTACCTGACATTGTTATACGCGAAATTGTAGTCAAATAATGTGTTTTGACTCTAGTCGGGTTAAATTCTATGCGACCAAAGGCATTTTGGCACCCTTCTTTGGTACATCCGCACGGATAGGAATACCGGTCAACCTATAAGGTCAGTATCGATATGTTATGATTAATAATAAACACTTAATGCATACAAATGATCTAATATTAATTAACCTTACGTTTAAAAACCCTTTAGGATACGTTTTTTTTTTAAATTGATTGGGTTCGTAACTGTTGTTCAACCTTTCTTCTGTTTTGCGAAAAACCAACGTATTATTCTATGATTCTATACAACATGCGTATCTTCTTGGCAATTGCTCTACCAAACTACATTTTATTTTGTGCCACGCAGGTACATTAAACTATTAACTGGCCATAGACCGGCATAAATAATGTACCATACTTTTGCGTCATATTATCGGCATCGCATAATTGTGTACAATTTATTTTTAATTATGCTTACGCTAAGTTTATTTTGGCTGTTAGTGTTACTTTATATGTAATAGAATACAGTAATAAAATGTTTCGTGATACAATATACTTAAACGTAGACAGTATGGCATATTGCGTACATACAGAAATGAAACTGCGATGATATTAATCGTAAAATTTTATCAGTGTCCGCTTAAATAGGCTCTGCACCCGTACATCATTAAAACATTTTAGTAATTTGTTTTAACCAAGTTGCATAAATTATACGGTCGAATACATTCATTTTATACACGTATAAATCGAACGTGTGAGTGTTCATGGTGAGCGGCATAATCAGTAAATGATAACGGGGTTGTCCAGAATAAAGATGACGCGCAAAGCACTGGTAGTACCCAGATCGTTTGGATAAATTGGACTTTCAATCAATAATGCTAGTCGAATCAAGCCTCATGTAAATGAAACCATGATTCTACTTTACAGTTTGAATCGACCTTTCACTTCCGCTTTCATACGATGTTGGCGTACTGTGTCCATAGCGTAAAGTATGTGATAACTATATCTGTTGTCATCATCCTTAGGTTGCGCGCCCTGTGTAAGCTCCTGCGCGAGTCCTGTTTTTCAGGCGACGAAATCGTTCTCGTACTAAGAGACTGACCCAGTAAAGCAGAAACCGAAAGAAAATCGATTTAAAGAAGACTAAACGAGGGTTCAATCGAGGATATATGCAAAAGGACAGTACGACGATACTAGTCTTTCGAGCCCCACTGGAAACCCAGAAATATTGCACAAAGACAGCCCGATATGCCTATCTAAAATACTAAATATTACAAAAACTTCGCTTTTCTGAAATTTTTAGATTGCTGGTATGGTATATAAAGCAAAATATATTGTCGAATTCAAGTATGCATTTTCTCCGACTGTACTTTGTCAAAGGACAATACCGACACTCATAATCAGTGCAGGTTGCTGCAAATTTTAAGAGAAAGTAGCTAAAACTTTTAAAAATTATCTGAAAAATGTCTTATAATCTATGTCGAGTTCGGCTCAGCAATTATGATTAATTATAAAATTCAGTGCATTAGCAGCACATCCTGTAATTTATACTCATAAAACATTATCAGCCACTTCCGTTCTCGGTAATTGGTAGGTAAACTGATAAAGGTTTTACAGTAATTTTAGGTAATCTTATTTCAATTTCTAGCAATTTTATAACATAGAGGACTTACTTGGCAATTAATTTGGCCTAAGCTACAACTGCATTCAGCTGGGTTGCAGACGTTTTGGCATTGGCATCCACAAGCTATACAAAAAACACCGATGTAATAAGCAAAGAAATCTGCTGCTGGAATCTTTCAGAAATGTCAGAAACTTGTATACAAGTCACAAATAAAAAGTAAATTTTCTTAGGCCAGTAACATAATGATAAGAATTCATCCTTTCAGATCCTAAACAATGATCATTACTGTATTATAAAAAATAAATTGTTCATGCAAGAGCTTTTGTTACACTTCAACGATAATTAACACACCTTCTCGGGAATTGCGAATTGACTGGCAGTCGTTGCGCTCTGTTGTGTCAACCGGACAACCAGCTTCCTTTAGCAGATTTCTTCTCTGTCGAATTGAAATCGCAACCGGAAAACTGTACGCGTCTTCCGCTTCTTCGGATTCTTCCCCGTTTTCATCATCCTCATCCTCTTCCTCGTCCTCTTCTTCCTCGGGAGATTCTTCATCGGACTCTCGTAAAGCAACTTGTTGTCGTCGGATTAAATACTGCGTTCTGCTCGTCCGACATTCCTGCTCATGTTCGGCCAGGCTGAAATTCTTAACCGCGGAATGCTCATGGGTCATCCCTGAAAAATACGTCAGCTCAGTGTCAACCCATGTGATCATGAAAGTACAAAACAAATAGACACCGAGAAATGCGGAATAAATTGGAAACAGAATAGAGATAAACGTATTTTTGAAACAGCCCCAAAAAGCCACTGGTACAAGTTGTTGTGTCTATGTACTTCCTAAACGCACCGCTTACTGCACTTAACTAGAAATAGATCCAATCATCATCCAGAAACTACATGCTTTTCTTAAACTCACTCACGTTCTAATAGAACAGGAGCTACTACCCCGTTTATAACGTGCATTACCTTGGAGTATGTACAGTTCAAGAAAAGGAATTTTCGAAAAGCGTTGACTGCGATGAAATCATCAAATAATTAATTTGTACCAACTGTATCATCGACGTCTAAAGTACAACATCATTGCAGAACACTTTGGAAAGTAGTACCTAGCGTTACGCCTCCGGAACTTGGTACACAGGTGAATCCTTGAGTTCTTGGAAATAGATATACCGTAACGCCGGAAAACCGCACTGATTTTTTTCTTTTACACGATGGTTGCTCACAGGAAACGTCTGCAAACATAACACAAGTTACACAATGCGCTTGACTTTTATACTTTTCGAATATTATATTTTACGAAAATACCATGTACGTTACTGTAAATTAAACGCGATGAGAAATTTTCGTAGAAGGATGTCAGCAACCACTTGAGGACAAGGTGCAGTTTACACGGGAAATTATGAAGTTCATCTGAGGCTGTGTTTGCTTTTTTGAATCTGTGTCCTCAAATATACCCTCGTGTGAACTTAGCAACTCTCTCGAAACATTTCTGCGAGTAAGCCTATTCTATGCACGAGTGTCCATTTCATCGAAGATACAAATTCCATTATAAATTACGTAAAATTTCTTCCATTTTAAAACATTTTTAATATTCAAGGAAATACAAATACCGGTTGCGGATGTCGATGGAGCGCTGGGCACGTGGGTGCGGCCAGAGCCATTTGCAGAGCACGAAAGTAATCTGGCATCGCTCGTTCCTGGCGGCTGCCCGTCGACAGCCGAAGTATTATCGGGAAACGGAACGCAAAGTTGTTCCGATACTTCCTTGCTATTGTCCAGAGCCTCCTGGAGCTTCCGCTTCGGCATATTTTCGGAATATCATCAAATACCAGAAATCCAGAAGAAGTCTCATTGGCAGTTCAGTTAAATCTTGGCCATGGAGGATTTCTCATGGGCCACTTCCTGTGGTTGCCTTTGGATGACCATATCTTACACGGGCGGTTGACTTGGACATTGTCAGCCGAGCTTATCCAATCTAGAAATTAAGCATCTAATTTTTCCTTTCGATTATGATGTTCCTACATTTGGCGTAAAAGTCCTTGACATTTCAAATAGAGACCAAAGTTGCTGCTTAATGCGCCGTTCAACTAGCTGCAAGTTAAGCACACTAAATATATAACAACGTAGACGCATATTTGGAGAAAAGACTGCGCACGGAAAAGTGAGAGAGTTGACTAGCTGAAGGAGAGAGGCAGAGAGAGAGAGAGCAAAGAGAGAAACATGTAGATCGACCGAGCCAGTAGCCACACGCGTATTATATTGGATGCTGATGTACAATAATGCCGCACATGCGTATACAAATGTACAAATGTACGCATGCGGCATTTCGCGCTCGCAGTCTATTCAACCTAATTTTGCTTGTATAGATATAAAAAACAGTCTGCTTATGTTGCCTAATCAAAAACAACGGGATGTTAAATGTATCGTGTTGTTCTTACCGATCACAACACTTACAATTCTTTGGAAAATGAAGACGATTATTGCGGTGACTAATTCCTCCTTGCAGAGCTTCACACATAGCGCTACACAATCTCGTGATAATGCTCGTCAATGTTGATTAGATCAATACTTACAACTCGGCAGCGAGTGTGGCCACGGTGTATGACAAGCGATACGTATACAGTACATTCATGTAGGATGCCGTATTCAATTCTACGATGTGCTGCTCCTCGGAGTTTGCATTTGCCTTTACGAAAGTCTACTATCGCGCAAAGTGGTTAAACCAGTGGAGAAATATACGGCAAACAGCGACGAATGACGTCCGCTCCGTCGTTTCTGCCGTTCATTCGGCAACTGGTTTGGCCAGCAGAGTAATCGGTCTCGTTTTGCGCTATAATTTTCGACAGAATGAATCAAAATATACTACGGTACTCTAGTGCCGCAGTACTACGTTTAGACGGCAAAGCGCAAGTTCAGACGAGATTTGTTGCAAATCATATGTCCCAAGCGATGTTTGAAACGTGTTATGGTATATGATACTCGTTTACAAAGCAGAAGCTGGGGTCGCCGAGAATAATTGTTTATACGGTATCCATATCTGATTTGCGCGCCGAAATTTTATGAACGGTGCGCTAATTTAATTCAGTAACCTGAAGACAATACCACTAAAAATTTAAAGCTGCTTATTTCAACGTTAACTAATGACTTACAGAATGCATGCAGATATTAGTACAGTACTGTTAGTACTGTACATACTACTGTAAGTCTTGTCCGACCAATATCACAATGTCATCAGAGTCAGATATTTTGTTTGTATTAATATGTCTACTAAACAATGAAAATACGAAATTTATATAACACTGTATAATTGTAAGGAAAAATTAATAACAAAAATGGCCAGAAAGCGCTATCTTACTATTATCTGTACATGCCGGAAACTCTCTCTTTAAATCAATCTTACAGTGCACGTACAATCAACATGCTACTACGCACCAGTGAAAGTTCTTCCTGGTTGCTGGCTCTGTAAGATTAATACTTATTAATCGAACACTTATGTGTTTGCAAGCATCAAAGAAGAGACATGAGGAACGGGGGGATGGATACTGCGAATAGGGCACGCATTTTCGGGAGCGGCTACATTAGAGCTCCCCTAATTACGCACAACTGAATATTGCTTGCATTTTGGAGTTCTGGATAACATTAACTGTACAATTTACATATCGTAAATTTTACGATTTTGCAGTTGCTTCGCACATTATTAATAGCGCGCGCAATGCATTGGTAGAAACTTGGAACATCCTTCCAACCACGATTTTCTTTAGGTTGTACTTTATTCCGAGTAAAACAGTTTGTAAAAAATACGTTAGCTAAACGTTAGTTAAAGGCCAAAATTCGAACACTGTTCGAATTTTGGCCTTTAACTAACGTTTAATTAACGTATTTTTTACAAACTGTTTTACTCGGGTATTGTATCATGACCGAAAACATTGAAGAATGTTCATTGACTGTGATACCGAAAACGTTTTTGCAATGGAAAAATTATAATAAATAAATCTTAATGTATAGATATGTTTGATGTTATACAGCTATGTTAACGTTTCGTGAGGAAATGAGTTTGCAAAGTTTGGAACTAACGGTTAAACCATGGTAAGTTTGTGGTATTGAGCAAAGAAAAAGGGATGTAAGTTGTACGAGTTAAAAAGTACAGATCACAATGCTAGGAAATGGTTGAAGGTGTTCCACCAGTGCCGCTTTTGCACCAAAGCAACTGATTAAAGGCAGTGCCATAGTTCAGACTGTTGGACGATATAATTAGCATGGTGCTTAAAAATTATATATATATATATATATATATATATATATATATATATATATATATATATATATATATATATATATATATATACCACGGTATGCAATAATAAATCTGAGTTTTAAAACTTCCTGTTACCTGCGTGAAAAATTTTTCATGCTCAGAAAATTTGTTAAAAAAGTGCAAGCTGCTATAGTTGTTTGTAGCTAGAATGCCGTTTTATTGCCAGGTGTATTGTACATGTGTGTCCGTGAAGGGTTGCTTACAATTAATTTCCCGCACAAATCATGAGCGTGGAACGTGCACCAGCCTTGCTCCCTAACCATCCTACTAGATTCTTTACAGACTGCGTTAACAGGAAAAGGATAATTTAATGTATATTCGTCTTAGCCAGTAATCACCTTTTTATCTCCTTTAAAATGCTTAAATAGTTATTCATAAAATAATTTTGTTTATTAGTTATAAAGCTGAGTATGGAGAATCCATTTCTATTTTCTCCCAGACGGGGGCTTCCTAACAACAAATTGCTAACGAATACTTATTATTTGTACACAATATCCGTTATAGATATTGTCTGTCCTACTGTAATCTTAAGATCTGCTCTTTAAAAAACAGCAAACTAAAGCAGTTTGTGGCACGGTGCAAGCCGGTATTACAGAATACTTCTAATTTATGCCTGGAGCACAATGGAGCTGTCCAGCAAATTGCCTCAAGAGCCGTTTTTCGCGCATTTACTGAGTATTCGACACTTTTTCATTTGTCTATGGTTTTCACGGTGTGGGATCTACCTGAATTTTTACTGTAAATATGGAAATATGTAGAGAGACCGGATTTACTGTTGCACTGAAGCGAATTTAATCTGTTACTCTAATTTTATCTTTGCTGATAACGAAGCTTATAATCTGTGCAGGCTTGCACCTGCGCAGCAATTTTGCAAATTGAGTTCAAAGTTTGCTGCTAAGTGATTTTTTATGCTAACAAGTCGCACACGAAAATGCCACTAAATTTCGTTAGATTCGGCGAGTTTGGGGAGAAGGACGAATTAGTTTTGATTTACACGTCTATCCGACGGTCGCTTATTACAACCGGAGGTGTACAGATTGGCTTGGCGATCATTGAACTGATTTCCGCCATAATACTAGGTTCGTTGCTAAAAATTAATACCAATTATTACTGAGCATTAAAAATGGATCCCCATTAAAATGCATCATTTATATGCTTGTATCTGTACTTTGCAAAGACTGATAGTTAGCGGTTTTTATAATTTATTGTAGCTACTTCGAAGTATAGCACATACTGTATTCCAGCTGTACAGCCGAAATTTCATGAGCTTACAGCCTATTCTACTAGCCGCTGCATAACATTTTTTGGTGCTGCTCATATGCTCCACTGGCAAAAGTAAACTTCATCTAGGTTTCTGGGAAAGTGTTAGTTGACTGAAAAAGGTTTTACTTTATGATGTATAATAATCTTATACTGTCATTTTAACCGGAATTATAGTACTTCAGGAGCTACGGAGCCTGTACAAAATTGTCGTTCTCCTGACAGCAGCCACTAAAGTAGTTTGTGGGGAAACAATTTTCTTTAATAAAGTGATTGCATTTTATTGCAGAATTTCATAGTAATCAATACAAGGATGGCGATACAAAAAATGATGTCGAAAAATACAACACTATCGACAATCCTACAGCCGGACATGTCTTCGGTTACATAACCATTCTAACCATGTTGTTAACCGGGGCATTAGGAATATTCTTCGGATTCTTATGCCGCATGATAAACTCCATTCAAATGATTGCACCCCAAGTGAAAAAAGCTAAAGCCCTGGCCAGAACGTATATGTGTTTCCTGGCGGGACTTTTTATAGTCGCTGCGGTCACGGTCGGGCTGGAATTATTCTCGATGATCAGCTTCCGTACTCTGCCGACAGCAAACGAGGAAATTCCTAAACATTTTCCTTTCTCGTCAGCCATGATCATCGTGTTTTGCTGTGCAAATTTTCTTTTCGGCATTGTTCCATTATGCGGACTGTATCATAATGTAGCATCGTTGTCTGAAGAGGAAAAATCTTTAGCCAAATAGCTTCCATACATGCATGTACCGACCGACTTTCCTGGTGATCCCAGGAGTGAACTGTGCAGTATTGTGATGCAGTTTTAAACTGTTACAGTAGTTGTAGACATTTGTTACGTATATTGTGCAATAGTGTCGCTTACAATTAGAATATACGCTTATTATTGTTATTATTAAATTGTTAACCCGGTCCACTACAGTTAGATGTTACTGTAATTTGAACTGCTTGCGTCGATACTAGTCGTCGTAGAACGCGAGCAGGGATCTTACTGGTTACTGGTTAGTGCAGCTGAAGATGAGAATATGTACATCGTTGGAGAACTTTAACTTTGGGGAACCGGCAGCGCGTTATTGTTGCATTATTATATATATTATTAAGTTGTGAGACTGGTTTGTGTATTTGACAAGGTTTGTATTTGACAAGGTTTTTTCAGTGTTTTTTTATTACCGGTACGCCTATTGAAAATGCCTACGGCAGTACACCTGTTGCCGTGCTTGCGGTATCAGTCGAGTTTATCCAGCATATCTCACTAAAAATTCGAAAATGTGTAACATCCTTGAGCTTCTTCCGGCACTGCATGCTATGGTCAGCGAATTTCGTCTTGGTGCTGTACAATACACCAGCACAGCGAAGGCCGCATTCTCTAAGTGCCATAATAAACTTGTCACAGGTGTGGGCGGTGAATCATGGCTGACATGAAATATATGTAACCACCGCGGGAGGCATTTGGTGTTTCTCACAGCGAGTGGATCCCATATGTTTATAGGGCTAATTTTATTTTGACACATTTTTTTGGATAGAGTTTCATGACTGCTAGTCAGTCCGTTATCATCCCCTTGGGCCTCCGGACTTTTTGGGGTCTAGCTAAGCATTCAGATCTTGGATGAATTGCCGATAGTTGCACTATCCCTTATCAAGAGAAATTTTAACTTTTGTTGGAAACTTTGAGCCAATTTTGGTTGTGTGAAATGCCCCCGAAGAAAGATGCCCCTAGCAAAAAGACCGTCGACAAGCAGAAAGCTAAAATAGTTGAGGTACTTCCTCCGATTTGCCAAATCCTGGAACTTTTTCTGGCTCATAGACCGTGTGAAAATACGTTTTAGGATAAAACGTTTGGATTGAAAAACAAAAAGGGAAATAAGCAGCAAAAGTACATCGAGCAAGTCCAGAAACAAGTCACGACGAAACCTGTTCGGAGAGTCGTAAGTTTTTCACTGATTTCTTTTGGCTTACCTTTTCAAGTTTTCTTACCTACTTGGCTCTTTCCGTTGCATATCTGGTTAAAGTTTAATTAAGTTATAAATATTTTGCATTAGGATCCTCTTGACGCTACGAAGGATAAGAAAGAAAAAGAGAAGGAGAAGGCGGAGGAACTGAAAACACTTTTTAAACCCGTTATCGCTCAGCAAAAAGTCGCGAAAGGTATGTACGTGTACGTGTTCGCTTACCTGACTTGTAACTTGTAAGTAAGTTGGCTACAAACCTACACGTTAATCCATGGTTGTTCGCAGATGTCGATCCGAAGTCCGTTTTATGTGCGTTTTTCAAAGTGGGACAGTGTGGCAAGGGCGACAAATGTAAATTTTCCCATAATTTGGAAGTTGAACGCAAAACGGAAAAGCGGAATATCTATTCGGATTCGAGAGATAACGAGAAAGGTTGGTGGTTTTGTAAATATTCGTAATGTTTTGTGATGTTTTATAATCTAATATTTGTTTGTTTGTTCGCATTAATAGTGCGTAGCTGCTAAATTTGGTATCAAACCGGATAGTGGATGGTGCTCAGATAATCCTCTTTTCCTGCATGGGATGTTTTATGTTCATATTGTTTTATAGTGGATTGTTAGTCCGACGAAGCTGCGCAATAAATTTGTGAAAGTGTTCAAACTTGTTACTTGATTTAGTATACAAAGCATGTATTTTATACAGATGAAGGAATGGAAAATTGGGACGACGAGAAACTGCAGGATGTTGTCAACAAAAAGCACGGCGAGGAAGAGGCACTGAAGCCCAAAACTGACATAGTATGGCGCTTTGAAGTTTTCAATCATGGTTTTCTGAACGGACTATCTGCGTTTCTGTTTTTTCGGAAGCATATAAGCGAAAGTTCTCAATGGTATTGTATTATATTTTCAGGTATGCAAGTTTTTTCTGCAAGCGATCGAGGAGAGCAAATATGGCTGGTTCTGGGAATGTCCAAATGGTGGAGATAAATGTATTTACAAGTACGGTAATCGATTGGTGACTCTGATCACTTAATGGGTTACATGATGCTGCGATTTTGACCGGTAGACATGCTCTTCCTCCCGGATTTGTACTGAAAAAAGATAAGAAGAAAATGGACGAACAGCTGGAAACGATATCTTTGGAGGACCTTATTGAGAAAGAGGTACGCTCACTACGCTGGTATCGTCGCTGTCTTATCATGTCTTAAGAGTTTATTTTGATAATTAACACAATGTTTTTTCTGTTTTAGCGAGCTGCGTTAGGAGGAAATCTGACGAAAGTTACGCTAGAATCTTTTAAAGCATGGAAAACCAAGAAGGTAATCATCATTTTAATTATGTTTTAGTGTGCTGTAGACTTGCAAAATCATGGTTTAGTTAATAGTGGTAGTTTTAAGTAGTTATGTATGAGTAGTTTAATTTACAGTGCTTTCGAGTAGACTGGTTCTGATACATGCGTTTGTCTGGGCAAGATATAATTTGTTCTTTTTGGTTGGCTGCGGAATCGGTATAAATGTAATTCGAAATTGTAGCGAAAGGAACGTATTGAGAAAATGGAAGCCGACAAAAAGCGAAAGGAAAACGAATTCCAAGCGGGGCGGCTCAACGGGGTAAGTTTCGCTTCGAAAAAGGTTTGGATTTGCTGGAGCAAATTATTGACAATTTTGATTTTGATAGCTCTCTGGACGTGACATGTTTACTTTTCGACCGGAATTGGCTGGTGAAGATGACGATGAAGCGGATGATACTGTTTACAAACACGAAGATGACGTACGTTAAATACCTCACCTTTGATTTAATCGTTAGTCGATAGGAGTACTTACAATCTAATCATTCTAATGTATTCGAATAGTGAAGTATGATAGTGTGGTCTGTAAGGTCTTTACGTAATACGTACTCTGTAGACTCTGTTTTTACTCTAAGACTGTACTTTTACAAAGAAATGGTGCATAATTATTATTATTTTATATAGATAGATTGTACAAGTACTAGCTAAAGCGCATGGTTAAATTTCAGATTGAATCGGCTCAGTCTGTTAATTGTTAGGGATTTGTGGATAGGAAATTATTTTTCGGTGTGCTTACTTACTTTTTGTTTCTATATGCCGTTCTTGGAGGTCTGTCTTGGCACGATATTCAGAGAATGTCTGATGCTAACGGTAAAATGTTTCAGGAAGACGAGGAGAATTATATGGCCAAAGATATCGATGAGTCATTGTTTGTCGAAGAAGAAGTGGATGGAACTGGGACTATTTCTGCTACGACTATCAGGAGCGGCGTTACTAGTCACCTTCCCGACCTTGAAGCGGCGTCCACGCCGTCCACTTCGAAAGACACTATTGGCACGGATGTTGTGATAGTGGACGATGTTCCTGTTGATACCGAATTGTTTGACGAAGAAGATGATGAAGTTTCGGATGAGGAGGTTTCCGATGATGGCGAGGATGAAGAGGGATCAGAAACTCAGGAAAATAATGAAAAAGAGAATTCGAGATAACTGTGTGTAACGTCACGGAAATTGTCTGAAAGAGCGAAATTACGTACCGTCTACCGAAAGTCTTTACTTGCGAATTACTTATCCGTTACTGATTGTTTAAGCGTGGCTGTCTAACAGTTACGTGACTTACGTCGGTCCTTTATGTTTTATGCAAACAGTGTCGTTCAAATTTGAAATTTGAAGATTCATTATGTGGAAGATATTTCAAGAACATTTGAATGGGGACATGGAATTAGAAACAGAAAATGCATGAAAATGAAAACACATCAGCTTACAAGTAAGGTAATGTCATAAAGTTTTGCCCCCGGACTGTGGTATTGTGTGGTTATTTTATTCTAATCGCAATATTACGGACAAGAAATCAGCATGGAATGGACGGTTAAAGCGTTACAGTTTGAATTTTCATCGATGTCAAATCGTGTTTTTTTGTTTGTACTTATTTTCACTTTACAAATAAACAGACAAAGTACGTATTTTAAAAAGTGTAAATTAAATTCACCACAGGACAACGACACTAAGCAACGAAATGTCATACGAAAAATTTAGTTAAGTACTGTTATAAGTAACGAGTCAGCGACAATATTTTAAGTAAGTAATTAAGTAGTACTGTAGAATGTAGATACTGTATCTATATTAAAGGTTAAAGCACGTAACTAGGTACGGTGCAAATAGCTGTTTTGTGCACCATCGTGCAAACCGCATATAGAAACAACTTCCCTTTTATGAAATGCTTACTTACTGAACTACATGGTTTTATAGTTTAATTTGCTCGTTAGAGACAATAAAATAGATAATCTGGACAATAAAAAATACTTCGATCGACTTACTGGATTTTGACGATCATTATTACTGTAATATTTTCTACCCGGTAGTGGGTAGATACTGTGAGTCTGAAGCAAATCAACTTTTTTAATCGATTATATTGCTTATTTCAGGAAATTTTCGATCAACGAAGCAATTTTAATAGGATGGTAGAAAATAAGAAAAATAAGAGACGTTTTGATGGTTTGTACATCATACATACAGAGCCGGGGTTTGCACTGTGCGCTGAATGGGACAGCCACTTAATCGATGAATTTGGCATGAGTCATCGTGACGTATGGGAGTAGGATCATACGCCGGATGTACGTACGGATGCTGACTGTCCGCCTTCCACCTGCAACATAACGGATAATCTAGCCAATCTCTTCTGTGATTTGCTGTTCTCTTTTACTAGCGATGTATATGATGTCATAACGCGAAGTCTATATAAGTCCCTGTTACTTCTAATATCGGCATCAGTAGTCTGAGATTTGCTTCTGAGACTGCTTCCTAATTACAATTTCCTAGCGTTGTGAACTGTGATGTGAATTGGATAAAGAGACAGCAATACTTGTTCCTTCTGAAGTGCATAGTTGTTCCCGGATTATCGCTTAGAATACAGGTTTGCTCGTGACACAATCGTCCTAGCTCTTGCCGATCCTCACAGGACTTACGACCGAAAGTTGTGGTAGCTTGTTCCTGAGGGATTCCTGACTCGTGTTCCTGAATCGTTCGTCTTATTTCCACCATAGTTCTTCTGTTACAGTTTGAGAGTACGAGTGCCTACCGATTGAGCATTACAGGCGTGGAAGAGTAAAGATTGTTCATGGAGCCTTAAACGGCGTGAACGCTTATACACGACATGGCGCCCACCGGTGTCTTTTAATTTTCCCGATGTAACAGAAAATTATTGGTAGAAAGTTTGGTAGTAATTTACAGTAAAAGTGGTCCGTTTTTGAAAGGCGTCGAACCGCAAAGGTACGCCGAAGGAGGTCAGCGTTCCAGATCTGGCCTAGTTAATTTATTTTCAGCGAGCTTCCTCGCAATTGTGAGCTTCCTCACTGGTGAGCTTCCTCGCCAATTAAATTAATTGCTTAATTTAAATTGGACCGTAGGAAAAACAGTCGAAACCTCAAAGGTCGGCTGTGTTAAGTAAAACTAGTACTGTGTGGGTAATTTCCGGGTTGTCTGCGCAAAGCAGTAACCGCGGCGAATAAAGCGTAATCTGCAGTGTCAGTGTACCTGGCCTGCAGATAGAGCAGATAGTAAGCACCGAGCCATTGTCAGTGGCCAGGTGAGATAACGATCTCCAGCAGACTGATAAAGGCAAGCCGCAAGCGGTAGCCAGAAGCAGCAGCTAGAGAGAGTTGACCGTAAAAAAGGTAAACACCGGCAAACGGTGATTGACCTGTGAATTTTAAATTACAGCAGCACGCAAAGTGCAGCTGTGTAATTTTCGAATTTGCTACAGTCGAAACCGCAAAGGTCGACTGTGTTTAAAACTCACTTAACAATTCAAACCTAAAAGGAGGATTGGGAAGTGACGTAGTAGTAATTGCACAATTGCAATTTAAGAAACAGTAGCACAATCGCTGCTGTACGTATTATTTTAAATAGCCGCAAAGGTTAATTTTAAAATAAAAGCAAAATGTCGGGCGGTTCGATTCCTAGAAATCGCCCACCACCGCGTAAAATCCCAGACAACAAAGTGATTATTGGGGCGTACGATGGGTCGAGAGCCCAGACAAGGTTCAAATTTAACGCAAAAGAAATTCCGTTAAATTTGATGTACTTTGCTCTTAATGTTGAACCACCAGAAGCACAAGATGCATTCTGTGGGAAGTCATGGATTGATTATCAGGAAATCAGGCGGTACTTAAATTCCAAAACGAGATTGCCAGCACATTTTAAACCTTGGATCGAGTACGAGGGATGTATCCCTGAAGCTTACCTGGACATCACTGATGAGCAGTTTAAAGCGGCTGTGCAGGATGCAAACAGGTGGCTGCCAGAATACACGGAAGATTTGAACAGACGAAGAGAGGCGGCCCAAGCTGCACTTACAGCGTCGAAAGCATCCGGAAAAACTCCAAAAAAACAGGCAGCAAATGAGCGCGTCACGCGCGGTGCCAAGGAAAAAGTTCCAGCCCAGGCATCTGGTGCGATATTGGATGAACCCATATCGGAGACTCCAAGTGTGGCTGAGAGCCAGATGGAACCCCAGTCGTCCCAGTCGGGCAACAATTTGATAGCGCTGTCGGCTGCAGATAAGGCGGATATTTCGGAGGGATCAGAAACAAGAGCAAGTAAAAGCATTCGAGGTGGAACAATGACATTCCACCCGGCACAACTAAAATTACACAGTTTTGTGTCAGAAAAGGATTTCGAACAACCTGATGAAGACTTCCTTACTCAAGCTAGGGAAGTCGATGAGCAGTTAGCTGCGGCAGAAACTGACCAGGACGTGGGCTTGATAGTCCGGCAAACTATGCCCGTATTGATCCAAAGTCTCCGCACGCTCATCGCATCTACAAAAACAAAAGTAGATGAAATGGGCAATGCAATGTCTTTAGACGCTCGTGTAGATGCGGAGCGAAACGAAAAATTGAAATTTCAAAACGATTTCAATGAAATGCGTATTAAATTTGAAAATGAACAAACAGAAAATGACAGATTGGCCAACGAAATACGCATAGCGAATGATAATTTGCATGCTTTAAGACAAGCCAACAGAAACGCGGAAACCGCGTTTAATGCAGTGAAAGATGAGCGCGATACTTTAACAGACACGAATCGTAATTTTGAAAAACAGCTGGAAGATGCTCAGAGAGATCTTTCAAACGCGAAAGCTACGATTGATGACCTCAGTGCTCATCCAACACCGGATACAGCAAAACAGATCGTGGATTTAGACCAAAAATTGAATAAAGCACTGAGGGATTTGTCCGCCGAAAAAGATGCGCACAAAGTCACAAATAAAAAACTGACTGACGAGCAGAATTTGTCCACAAAACTCACCAAAGATTTGGAAGATGAAAAGAAGCGGGCTAAAGATGCGGAAGACTCTCTACAGCGTGAACTCACACAAGCGAGAGTGCAGCTGAATAACAAGTCTTCGGTCGGCCCGATGCATATTCCCAAGGAAAAGGATGATTCGTCCCAAAAGGAAATTGAGAGGTTGCAGGGTCTGTTGACCACAGAGCGAGAGAATGTTCAAAAGGCCCAAAAGGAATTAAAAGATTCGAAAAAGGACAAAAGATGTGATAATTGTGAGAACGCGATTCAAGCGAAAAATACAGCACAGGCTGATGCATATGAAAAGTCTGAGAGGTGTAATCGGCTATATGAAGAAAATGCGCAATGCCGAAAGGAATGGCATGAAAAACAAGACCAACTTACCAAAATGGAAGTGGACCTAAAGCAAGCGTATGACGAACTTCGTCGGCTTCGAAATACAGATGCTGCTCTTGGCGGCGGCGAAGGATACTTTCAAGGGGAAGCGCCAGTAGCAACAGGAGACGTATTTCGTCCTTCCGCCTTTACACCATTTAATCCCCAAAATTTCTCGTCATACGTGGATCAGCCTATAGCTACTGGCAGTAATCCGGCTGGCATCTTACGCAGGCCTAGACAGGAATCACGAGTCGAATTCTCGGAGGCTCAGACCATGCTGCGTTCATCGTCAGAAAGTCAAATTCCAAGGGAAACGGCACCTGCCAAACAGAGGAAAAATGGCTCAACAGATTTACGCCAGCAAATTCTGAAAAGAACAGCTGACGAATCTAGTCGCCAGATGCGAGGAACAGAAAATAGGGACAGTTCCGATACAGAAAATGAATTGATGGATGATGCCCTGATGGAGGATGAACACCGTCGCCCCAGTAGCACGGCCAGCAATGAGTCTATGTCCAGAAATCCTCAGCTGGAGGAATGGTTGAACAAACAGACCCAAATTTCGGATAGAACGACGCTGACACAAGAAAGCGTTGTTGAACTCCTAGCAAAATTTGTGGAAAAAGACAGCGATAAAACAGTAGGAGCCATGAAGTTACTTGCCTTTGATGATGCTCACCCGGAAAAAATCCAAAGATGGCTCATGAATGTTGAACAATGCAGAGCCACAAATAATTGGAATGATGAAACAATGTGTCGCAGAGTAATCGGCGCATTCACCGGTCCGTCCTTTCAATGGTTTGAAAAATTCTGGAAGGACAATAAAGGCAAATCGTGGTTAGATTTCTTTAAGCCGGCTATTGTAGAGCACTTTAACGGCTCTCTTTCTAAAGCCGATATTCGCCGGAAAATGAATAACCGCAAATTGGAGTTCTATGAACCAGTTCGTGCTTACCTTGATAGCTTCCTCCCATGGTTCGAAGAATTAAAAGTATCCGATGAGGAACAAGTTGAAGCACTCCTAGAGGGCG